CAGGTTATTTGTTTAAAGGGGAAAGACCCCTCTCAAGAGAGACACAAATAAACACTGGCTCAAATCAGGGGCAGCCCATGGTGTGAAACAGCAGATGGCACTCCCGTTCCCAAGACAAGGTGCACAGTACTCAAAAGGGCAGCCAAGTTATTTTGTTAGAAAAGTCTCAAAAGCAACCTCCACACACTTCCTGACAGTGAAAATTAGTTATCAAATACTAACAATTTCATGACGCCAAAAATCAGCTGCCTTTCAGCAGCCACCTTACTCAGCACAACTCCAACAAAGACCACTTACCACTCTCTGAGTACTTACTAGTGCCATTTTATGAAAATCATGAAATAAATGCGTTTGTTTGTTTGTGGACCAGGACTAAATCCATTTGAAATTAATTTTATTCCACCCAATGCATTTTCTTATTTGCATTTACACTGTCAACTCTCTCTCCTGTTTTTTTGGTTTTGTTTTATCCTGGTCTGTGACCGTAATAAAGTTCATTCATATCTCTGCTGTTTGCATTTCGCTCGTTTCACATTTCTGCACAAAGAGAACATTCCAGTTCTTGCCTTCTACAGCATATGAACATTTTACCTGGCTTGGTAATATTTATTTAAAATAGAGGGCAGGGGATATACTAGAGTTTGTGAATTCAAGCTACAAGTTTGCATCCAAAATATCAGTTCTGTAAAACACAGGTTTCTCTTTGCTATGTAGCAAAACTATTACAAGATCAAAAGTAGCTATTATCGCATGGTCTCATTGAGTGCAAGGCGAGAAAAGCAAAATCAGAATTCTCTAAAACCGCCTCCATACAATATGCAGTTCAATCAAAAAACAAATAACAAGCTGCTTTTTATAAGAATGGACTCTCCAAATGGACAAAAACAATGTATAATTTGTTAAGAGATTAAAACTTTGGGCTTCCACCATGCAACTGGTTCCCTGATGCAGGGCGGAGCAGTATGTGGAGGCCACCAGATGTTGTTGGGATTACAATTTCCATCATCCCTGGCCACTGGCAATGCTGCTTGGAGCTGATGAAAATTCGAGTCCAACAACACCTGGAAGGCACCAGGACTGCCCTAATGCAATAGAGAAAGGCAATTTAATAATAATAATAATAATTAATAATAATAATAATAATAATGGTCTTTCTGCAACTTATGCATGACATGGAAAGGTTCCAGAACAGAGACAACAGGAATGACCAGGTGAATAATCTTTCAGCTGGTGGTGTGCTTCTGAAAAAAAACAAGTTTTCAACACTTGACTTCTGCAACATGTGGGGTGAAAGAAAAGTGATCTAACCACCTAAACTGGATTAGAAAATATTTCCCAGGCATTAACCAACATCAGTAAAGAATGAATCGTATTATATTTTCCTGTTAAATAGTTGTAGTGTTGACTGGAAAAGACTTACAATCACTCTCCTCTAGCAGGAGATAGCCCTGCAAATGCATCTCAATTTGACCACGGAATCCAAACAGCTTTGGGGGCTGCACCCAGATTCAAACTAACCTCTTCTGAACTCTACACACACATACACCCACTATTGACAAACATAGAATCTTACCTTATAGCACACGGTGGCAGAATCCATAGTGTCCAAGAGTGATGTGGAATCCCGTAATCAAGGAGTTACTTTAGCTCTGTAAGATCTCTCTTATTTTGAGAAAGAAGGAAACTGGCGCCTGCAACAAAATGAATATAACAGTGGAAATAAATGGGACACATAAAGTATACATGACTGTATCTAGCATATGAGAGAGCAGGAGGGGAAAGGAGGGCAAAATTGGAGAAGATGGGAAGAAATGGACACACACTATACTGCTAAAATTCTGATGGGGTTTTTCCAGAATATTTTCCCTAGTTTTGCAAACAATAATTCAGGAAGCAATTGTCCTTCCCCTCCTCCACTTGCTTGCTAGCCAACCAACCAACCAACCAGCAGTTGTGCCTTCCAGCAACCTTGGGGTGGGAAACCTGTGGCTCTCCAGATATTGTTGGACTACTACAACTCCCATAATTCCCCACCCATTGGTCATACTGGTTGACGGCTTATGGGAGATGAAGTCCAACAACAACTAGAGGCCACAAGTTCCACTGTCCTGCAGGAACCTATCTGAAAGCTAATGCAGCAAGCCAAGAATTTGTTAGGATGTTGCTGAGGATTGGGTTGGGAAGTCTGAAAAAATTACTGTGAGATAAAACGTTTATGGTGTACTGTTAAACTGAAAATGTGTGTGTGTGTGTGTGGAACCTATCTTAAAGCTGTGTGAAACCATACTCCATCCTCTGTTTGCAACCCCAAACTACAGCACACAGTTATATAATAGCTACACACACAGCTATCCTCATCTCTGTCTTTTGCATCAAGTGAACAAGCAGGGAACTAGGATGCAATTGCCTTTTGCCAATGGTCTGCTCTTTATAGGGAAATTTTTACTCACTACAAACAAGTGGGAAATTATGAGGTCCAGCGCCGAGGGCCTTCTGGCGGTTCCCTCATTGCGAGAAGCAAAGCTACAGGGAACCAGGCAGAGGGCCTTCTCAGTAGTGGCGCCCGCCCTGTGGAACGCCCTCCCATCAGATGTCAAAGCGATAAACAACTACCTGACATTCAGAAGACGTCTTAAGGCAGCCCTGTTCAGGGAAGTTTTTAATGTGTGACATTTTATTGTATTTTTGGTCTCTGTGGAAGCCGCCCAGAGTGGCTGGGGAAACCCATCCAGATGGGCGGGGTATAAATAATAAATTATTATTATTATTATTATTATTATTATTATTATTATTATTATACAAGTGATCTCATAAACACTGGTGGAATGCTGGTGTAACAAGGAGAATAAGCATATATTAAGCATATAATTCCCTTTCTGAAAATGAAAATAAATGTTTCGTTAATTAAGAAAAAGACAAAAGACGAAAACACTGTTGTAGAGATATACAGCAGCAGCTGCAAGCTTCACTTCTATAGTGTCTTATTGGAGTAAGGCACAGCAGTTACTTATGCATTACCCATTGTTATACACAATCCCCACCCAAAATACAACCTGGGTGCCAGATGCGTGCACAGAAAAATGTTTACATGCAGAGTGAGTGTGCTAGCTCGGAAGGAGGTGGGTTTGGAATATGGTGTTTAAAATGCCATGTTGAATTAAAAGAAGAGTTAACATATACCACACCCCACTCTAAGTTGTGGCATTCAGGACACTTCCAAGCATTTGTCAACCAAGTCCCATGAAACTCACAACAGCTTATTGTTGCCCTATATTGATGCTGCTCCCCCCAGATCATTCGCACTACCAATAACAGATTTATTAAAGTGAAGTTTTAAATGCAAATAAAAAAGAATTCCAACTGATATAGCTAACAATACATAGCTATGAATTTTTGAAGTACCTATTGCCACATAGACAAAACAGAAGCTTCCTCCATATAGCAAAATTTATAACTATAGTTTTATTTCCAGATTGTATCCAAAACTAGCCTTTCCGAGCAAACTACTATTTTTCTTTAAATGGTAGGAACCATGAACAACTGAAATTGACACTGCTCCGCTGAAAGCAATATCCATGTTTTTAAAATCTGACACTTCCACACTTCTGATGTGTCTTGAATTTGCTCCTGGTTGTTTTTTGTTTTTGTAAAACATTTTTGTTCCAATATACAAATCAAAACAGCAACCTTTTATATTCCATAAAATTTAATTTTAAAAGTGAATGTCGAAGATCACCTACCCTTCTGACAATAAAGGGTTGCAGCTCTTGTTTGGGAAAATCTCATATTTGGGAAGACTGTGCTTTGTTCTCCACTGAATTTGTTAAAATTCATAGCCCGCCTTGCAATAAAAAGTGCCCAAGGCAACTAACAACAATAAAATCCACAATGGAAAATAAACCTTTGCTATTCAGCTAAGTGCCTATATCATTAAACATTTCCCAATGTCCAGGGTATATTTAAATGCTAAAGAAAATCCAGTGGCTTACTAAGATTATAGAATATTACAAAATCTTGGACCGGCAGCTTTAAGATTTATTTGTAGCAAGTAAACATGCCTACAAAACTTTTGTTTCCTTTTATAAGGAAGACAGTTCACCAGGGAAGCTGCAACAGATCAGCTGTAAAAGACCAGTATCAGTCCACATTACTAGTACAGTATTCCATATTGCAGGTATTTGCAGGTGATAAGAGGGAATTTTGCCACCCACCCAAAAGTCAGGGGTCCAGTTTCTATACACCAGGCAGAGCGGATACAGCTTTAAGGTACATGTCACATTTCAGAGAGGTTTAAAAAAATTATGAAACAAAACCCTACTTTTGCAAGTTCTTCTGACTACTCAGAAACTACCAATCTTACAAGTTCTTCTTCACTCAGGTTTCTGTGAATGCTTTTGCGCTCAAAGGAAGTGCGCCTGTGTGCTCTCATATTGTTTCCGGAGAAACAATGAGGAATCCAAAACATGTTAGCACCCAATTAAAAACCCTCAAGGGATTAATCACCTTAAAAATTCAGAGCGACTGGCTTCTCCTTGGGTGCTACAATGTTTCTTTCTACAAGGCGCAATCTGTTGCAATAGAAGGGGGCAAGGAGGTGGTATTCCCCTGACCCTTCCTCCAAAAATGTGTGTGTGTCCTTTGGGTGGTAGGGAGGGGGGCTAAATTAGTTCCTTTAGTTTCTTAGTCCAACTTTGTTTTACAGTGGAATTCTGAATTTCACTGGAATTTATTAGACTGAACTACCACAACTATCTTTAACGTTTAAGCTCCCCCTTACCCCCAAAATCCAATGCTTCTGTCTGCACAAACACAAAAATCCATCACTGCAAATTTGAGGGAATGGTAAGAAGACATTTAAAGTAAAGAACACTGGAAGTTACCCTGTGATGAGGGATCCATAGGCGGAGATCAGACTTGCGGTCCATCTACTTCAGTATTAACTACTACATTGACAGGCAGTGGCTCTCCAAGAAAAGACGGCAGTCTTTCCCAACCCTACCTGGAGATGCCAGCGATCAAACCTGAGACCTTCTGCATGCAAAGCAGATGTTCTACCACTGAGCAACTGCCATTTTCCCATGCCACGTTCCCCCTGCTTTTAAGATTTGAAAAAAAATTATAATACTTTTTTGTGATGCTTCTCCTACTTCCACAATATCCTAGGCATGCTCCCCCACCCCCCACTCCACCTAGGACCACAACTTTCAAGTAGCTCTTATTGCCAAATGGCAACTATACTCATTAAAATTCATTAAATACACCTAGATTCTTTCTTTCATTTTCTTTTGAAGGGGTTTCCGAGCTCCCTGACAATCTGCACCAGCTCCAGCATTGTCGGTCAAGTTCCAAAAAGAGAGGCATCAGGGTCCAACCCCACCAAGACGCTGCACTCTCTGGCCCCAAAGCCCCCAGACCCAGACCTGTAAGAGTAAGGCTGCCCTTGCTCAGTGGCAAAGGAAAACCGGTGAAAATAAATAATAATAAATCTCACATTTTTCCAGGACTGAAGGCCAGCAAGGCAAGACTCTGGGGCAGACCCTGATTCAAACCCAGCCTGGGCCAGGCCACAAGGAAACCGCCTCCTGAAACTGCTCAGATCCCGACAGGGGCCCAGCAAATAAGAGGGAGGTCCCTCAGTCTGGCCTGCTTTGAGTAGCCAGTTGCCTACATAGGTATATATATATATATACCGTATATACACCCCGCTGTTACGTGGGGCAGAATAGACGGGCGGGCACAGAGGCTGATCGGGATCCTTCAGCTACTCCTCGCAACGCACTTCGAAAGTTGCTTACACTGCGCCTTATCCCACGGGCCAGATGCACTTCTGTGGGGTCCGGAGTGAGTGGCGGCGTTGAGGTGGGGGGAGAAGTCGCACCATTATAACCATGCCCACCATTCCTCCTCCGCTCTCTCCCCCCCCCCAAAAAAACCCCACATCCTCCTCTCCCCCCCCCCATGGCCTGCCTCGGAGTAGTTGCAAGGGCTAGAGGGCTGCGCACTCCGCCTCTCGCTCCCCATTTTCTCTTCCTGCCCGCTCAAAGTTGCAGGCGCGGGGCTCCCACCAGCCACTTGGCCCTGCGCTCTGTGGACGGGGCGGAGTGTGCATGCCCGCGCGTGGATGCGAGAAGAACTCGCGCGGGGAGGGGAGGGGGGACGGGAGGGAGGGGGGTCCCCCACCTCCCCCCTAATCTCTCTCTCCCCCCCTCCCCTCTCCTCCCTCAGCTACATTCCTCCTCCTGCTTCTCCACCCGGTAGCATGCATCTGCAACGTCACGCCCCCACCCCCCTCTGCCCCCCCAACTTCCTCCCATCCCCGCCTGCTCACCTGCGCCCCCCACACCCGCTGCGCCCCCTTCACGCACCCCCCTCTTGAATTTGGGGCTCCCCGGTGTTTTTCCTCGCACGGCCGTCGGAAGCTGCTCGCAGACCCCCCTCAGCAACCTACCTGCACAGCTCAACCAGCCTTGAAGTGGAGGGGTGGGTGGGAAGTCTTCCGCCCTCCTCCGTCCTGATTGGCCGCGGGGAGGACCTGGGCGGGCGTGGTTGGAGGAAGGAGCGTCAGTCAGGGGCGGAGGGGTGGGGCTGGAGGACGGGATTGATGCTGATACCTCGGGTTTTTTTATCCCTCCCTTTGCTTGTGTTTCCCGGAGATGTTGGGAAGGGAAGGGGAGAGATGTAGAATTTTGGGGGGGGAGGGGCTTCATCCTCTTCCTCCCCATATTAAACCACATCCCCCCCCACACACATGCACACTATACCACAGTTATTTGCATCTGCCCCCCAACTCTCCCTCTTGAGAGCAGCTGGAGGAGCCCACACTGCATGCAACAGTCCACACACAGGAGGAATTCCAATAGGCGAAGCCTGTGCAACTATTCTGTCAGATAGGCGGGGGGGGGGGAGGATCGGAGGCAGGAAAGAGGGCGGCGTATATTGCCCCTGAAGAAAACAAAATAATAATAATAATGTCCCTTAAGGCTGTTATGGGGTCCCCTTGTTGGGGCTTTGCAATTAAAGGCCTCCCGGAAACAACCCTCCCCCCAAATTAAAAGCTCCACTGGAGAAATTTTGCATATTCCGTCACTGCGTTTCAGCAGGGCCCAAAGAGAGGAAGTGGAGAGGAATGGGGTTTGGGTGCGATTTGCAACTAAAGCTCGGGGGTCTTCTCCAACCTCTTAAGGAGAAGGCATTGTGGGTGGGGGAGGCGAGCAGAAAGATTTATGATGGGTGTATGTCTCGCTGGCAAGGATCCTAGTTTTGGTTTGGCCTGCCTTGAGTGTGTCTCCCATAAAATAAAATAAAAAGCTGGAAAGGTGATGGATATTCCTTTTGTTATTATTATGTTTGTTTTTTAATCAGCTTACACTTTGTTTTTTTAAAGAAAACTGTTGCTAGGTGATCTGCAAGCCAACGAGGATATGTAAAGACTGTCAGCTTTCTCAAGGTGTGTACCCAAGGCATAAAGAAAGAAATAAATGCTTGAGGCACACTGTTCAATGTTCTCTTGTACAATTTTTTTAATATTAAAAACAAGATTTAAAATGCAATGTGTTGACTTGTCATCCACACAAGATTTTAATTTAAATGTCAGAACGCACAAGTTCACCTGATCTGAAAGCAGCATGTATGCATGTAGATTCACAGTGAGTAGAGCTCAAAGCTGGAACAGAGGGAGCCACAGAAACCTTATTGTAGATAGAAGGCAAGTAGTTTGACAGTTTGTTTCTCCCATTGCTTGAAACCAGATTATTTGGAGGGGGGGTGTAGCACAGCTGTATAAAATAAACGCACAAAATTTGCTAGCCTCCAAAAATATATATATGCACCTGCTAAGGAACCAGAGGTCTGCATTGCCATCTTGGCTGCAAAGGAGAGAAAGTCTCCTCTTCTGCATCCACAATGAACACTCGGACCATTAACTTTTTAGCAACTTACTTTTTAAAAATTGCCTTCTAGTAGGAAAAAATTGCTTTCTCTGCAGCTAGCATGGAGACCAAGCAGGCTCCCAAAGGAAGAATCCATCCTTCTATCAGCTCATGCTCCATCTTTCCTCTACCATGTGCATGGAATTCTTGGTCACCTATGCTTACCAAGTGAGTTGTTCAGTACAAAGCTAGGATGAATGAACATCTGCCAAAGTATAGCAGATTCATAAGTAGACACCTGTTTCAGAATAGGGAGTTAATTCAGTCACTAAATTGAGATGGTTTCTTCTTATTAAATTGAGATGGTTTCTTCTTATTGTTTTTAACATAGCTACCTAGCAACAGAGAGTTCCTTTGTGAACATCATCCATTTAAAGCACACACCCTCAAAGAATCCTGGGAGCAGTAGTTTGATAAAGGTGCTCAGAATTGTAGCTTTTTGAGAGGTAAACTGCAATTTCCAGTATTCTTTCGGGGAAGCAATGTGCTTTAAATATTATTGAAATACTGTACTGAGGTGTGTTGCTTGGTACTTTCAAGACTTGGGGCAAACGTCAGCGACATAAAATTACCTCTGGGCAAATCAGGGTGGTATGTAGGTGGCTTGGTCATGTCTACAGAATAGAAGATGGCAGGATCCCTAAGGACTTGCTCTATGGCAGCCTTTCTCAACTTGTGGGTCCCCAGATGCTGTTGGACTACAACTCCCATCACCCCTAGCTAGCAAGGCCAGAGCTCAGGGATGATGGGAGTTGTAGTCCAACAACATCTGGGGACCCACAGGTTGAGAACCGCTGCTCTATGGGGAGCTGGCTTCAGGCACCAGGCCCGTTGGGCAGACCAACTTAGCGCTACAAAGATGTCTGCAAACTTGACATGAAAGCTAGCAACATCAACCTTGCTGTGCAGGAATATCTTGCAAACAATCGCAGTGACCAGAGGAGGAATGACTACTAGGTGTTAGGCAAAGAGAATAAATGCAGTGGTGCATCTGCAGCACCACAATCAGACACATTCATCTGTCCTAGCCGCAACAAAGCATGTCTCACCCGTATCAGTCTCTACAGCCACAGGAGACATAATCTTCCAACAGGTCAGCCCCAAAGACACACTCCTCCATTGTCTCTCAAGACAGACAGATGCCAACCAACCAACTTCCTGGGTGGAATGTCACTAGCTGCTGTTCGCAGGGTGCCCAGTCACTGTATAAGCAAAGTTTTTTTGTTTTGCTTTTTAAAAAGTGGTTTATCGGAAGGAACAGGAGATCTTAGAAGAAGCACAAAAGACCCAGGTCTCAAGCCGCATGGGCCAATCTTAACAAAGATCCTAGTTACAGAGGATAAGTTCTTACCTTTTCCTTTGGGGCATTAGATATTCTCTTGCTGAAGGTTCCCATTAAATAGACTCTTCACACAGTAACTCCTGCAGAAACAGCAATGGATTTAGGGCTAACTACAAACTGAAGTCCTCTGGCTATAGAAGATAATGAAGTTAAAGCTGGAAGACCTAGGGGGGAAACATGCTTTCACATCTTCTAATTTAAAGGCTTCCTGTGAAAAGCGGTGGCCACAGACCTTGGCTGTGTACATACCATAACTTGATTTTAATCTGTTCTAAATAATCTGGATCCAGCTCTGTCAGTGGAGGCTCAGGTAGCCTCAGTGGCTAGAAGTGCCTTTTACCAACTGCAACTAGTTCAACAGCTATGGCCACTCCTGGACCAGGAGAGTTTGACCACAGTACAGTGGTACCTCAGGTTAAGTACTAAATTCGTTCCGGAGGTCCGTTCTTAACCTGAAACTGTTCTTAACCTGAAGCACCACTTTAGCTAATGGGGCCTCCTGCTGCTGCCGTGCCGCTGGAGCACGATTTCTGTTCTCATCCTGAAACAAAGTTCTTAACCTGAGGTAATATTTCTGGGTTAGCGGAAGCTGTAATTTGAAGCATATGTAACCTGAAGCGTATGTAACCCGAGGTACCACTGTAGTTCATGCACTGGTTATTTAAAGGTTGGATTACTGCAATGTGCTCTATGTGGGGCTTCTGCAGTTATTGCAGAATGCTGCAGCACGATTGCTGACAGGAGTAAGGCCTTTTCAGCACATACTGTACACCTGTGCTCAGGGGACTGCACTGGTTGCCAATTTGCTATTGGGAAGAGTTCAAGGTGTTTCTATTAGCATACAAAGACCTTAACAACTTGGGACCTGTTTACCTACAATATTGCCTTACCCCAGGTGTGCCAGATGTTCCGGTTTGATCAGCGGAACTGTCACTTTTTCAAGTGTCACATAATACGCACACCGCATCTGTAAGAACTCGTTTAGATTGGCAACACCAACACTTTGGAACTCCCTGCCTTCCACTCTGAGACCCCTGGGTATGGGGCGGTATATAAATTAAATAAATAATAATAATATTGATACCAAACAGGTGCTTTCGCTGTATACCTTTCGGTGCCTGCTGAAGACATTCTTATTTACATAAGCCTAATCAGTTGTTCAGAGTTGTAATCTGTTTTTAGTCTGTTTTATTGTGGTTTTATCTTCTTCACGTTTTACACTGCAGTGGAAAAATTTTAAGTGATAATTTTGTTGTTGTTTTTTTGTAAACCGCTTTGAGTTTTTTCCTACAATCAAGCGATACATACATTTTATGCAATGACAAACTTACATACATAAATGCCATTTTAAAAACATAGATTCAGTACCAGTGGAGGCTTGCCCATGAGGGAAAATGGGGCACTGTCCCACCAACTTCAGTCCACCTCCAGCCAGCCTCACCTTCCTGTTTCATTACTTCCTACCTCAGTCCAAGGAGTGGCTCTGTCTGCCATTGTCTCTGGCTCCACCTACTGTTTATCTCCCTGCCTTTCGCCCTACCAGTTTCGATGGGCACCAACCTCTACTGTTCACTGCATCCATCTTGAACTATTATCATTTCAATATAAGTACATTGGGTGGGTGATTCCCAACTAAAAGATTTGAAGCAGACCCATTGAAATTGACTGGAGCTACTTAAGCCTTTGATTTCAATGGGTTTACTCTTAAGTATGACAACATTGTATTAAATAAATAAATAACCTTTTTATTTCCATTTATGACTTAAAAATATCCCTGGGATTTCAGGAAGATTAGTGAGGGGCAGAAGTGGTGAGAAAGGAGGTGCCCAAGGCTTCCACCCTTTTTTCCTATATCTTTGGCATGGGGGAGTATAAAAGGGCACAACCAATTTAAGTTGCCTCACTGCCCGCCACCTTGTTTACAGTGAGGCGACTAAGGGGGTTATGAAAGGGCAGCAAACTGCTAGCTGTTCAACTGATTGTTATAGGTATTTCTTATTGTGAGGGTTTTGCCGGGTTTCTGCCTCAGGTGCCAAAATAACTTGACCAGCCTTGGGTACTGTTCACCTTGTCTCGATGACGGGAACTCCATTAGCTCCTCTGCCTCAGGGAGCAAAATGTGTTTGGCCAGCTCTGGCGCTTTCTGAAATCATTCGCTTTAGCCTGGTGTGCAACAGGCCCAGCCCTTAAATCCTGAGAATTTGCCCTTTCTTTCCAGTTCTCTCAGAATTTCACTAAGGATTTGATCAGGGCCTGTGGTAAATAGGAGGGTAAAGTCACTGACTTTATGTTCCACATCATTACAGTGGTACCTCAGGTTACAGACACTTCAGGTTACATACGCTTCAGGTTACAGACTCCGCTAACCCAGAAATAGTACCTCAGGTTAAGAACTTTGCTTCAGGATGAGAACAGAAATTGCGCGGCGGCGGCGTGGCGGCAACAGGAGGCCCCATTAGTTAAAGTGGTACCTCAGGTTAAGAATAGTTTCAGGTTAAGAACAGACTTCCAGAACGAATTAAGTTCTTAACCTGAGGTACCACTGTATCAGCCTGTTTATTTTCTTTCTCAGAGAGATTGGTGACATTTCTCTAGAGAAGGTGACGAACGAAGGTGAGAGACAGGAGGCAGAGCGGCCTATAGAGCAGAGGTGGGGAACCTCTGGTCCAGGGGCAAAATGTGGCTCCTCAAGACCTTTCCATCTGGTGCAGTGGTGGCTGGTCCATTAGGGAGAATGGGGCACTGCCCCACTAACCTCAGTCTGCCCTCAGCCAGCCTCCAACCCAGATTAGCAAGGCAGCACTGCTTGTCAGCTTCCTCCTCCTCCTTAATCTTAGCATTGCCCTTATAAAACTCAGCAAAGAGGATGGGGACAAAACTGGAATTAAGATGGCTCTGTAATTACTGGCTCTGGCTCCACCTACTGTGTGTCTCCCCAATTTCTGCCCTACCAGTCCTAATGGGCACATCACCATTAATCTGGCCCTCAGAACTTGCCCCAGACTTCACCCACTCTCCCAATTGTATTTATGGCTGATGAATCCCATCCGTTCATGATAATAATTTTATTATTTGTACCCTGCCCATCTGACTGGGTTGCCCTAGCCACTCTGGGCAGTTTCCAACACATATAAAACATCAGACATTAAAAATTTCTCTATACAGGGCTGTCTTCTGAAAGTTGTATAATTATTTATCTATTTGACATCTCATGGGTGTTCCACAGGGAGGGCGCCACTACTGGGAAAGCCCTCTACCTGGTTTCATGTAACTTTACTTCTCGCAGTGAAGGAACCGCCAGAAGGCCCTTGGAGCTGGACCTCAGTGACCAGGCTGAATGATGGCGGGGGAGATGTTCCTTCGGGTGTACAGGGTCAAGGCAGTTTAGGGCTTTAAAGGTTAGCATCAACACTTTGGATTGTGCTCAGAAATGTACTAGGTGCCAAGAGAGATCTTTTAGGACCGACTTATATGGTCCCAGCGGCCACTCCCAGTCACCAGTCTAGCTGGCGCATTCTGGATTAATTGTAGTTTCTGAGTCACCTTCAAACGTAGCCCCACATAGAGTGCATTGCGGTAGTCCAAGCGGGTGATAACCAGAGCATGTACCACTCTGTTGAGACAGTGCACAAGCAGCTGTTGACTGACATCATGCAGGATTTGGAGGCTCCAATCCTTTTGTAGCCATTTCTTAATGAATTACTATTCCAGGTCTATAATGTGTAACAAGGAAGAAAGCAGCAAGAATCTGAAGTACTTTTCAGATAGAGTGGTCATATGTGCTACTCAGCAGCAATGCTTAATGAAAGTTTAAAATTAATGCTTCTGCATAGAGCACCTGGGCAACAGCATAACTCTTCTTATTTAGCGAATTGATTGATGTTCTCTAAGGAGATGACTGTGCTGTTCACATATGGCCCCCATAATATTGCAGCAAAAGCAGCATGAACATCTATAGAGAAATAGTACCTAAAATACAAGTCTGGGGAATACATGTGGTATTACAGGGTTGCTGGACATGCGTACTCCTCTTTTTCACTAGGCCCCATATCCCACAAACTAAAGTTCTTTGTGCACATGGTAAAGGAATCTAACTGAAGGCTGAAGTCATTGGACTAGGCTAAATGAGCAGCAATGATTGAATATAGGCTATTGTGAAACATGAATTCCAACATGTAATGCAATAAAAAAGAAGGTAACCAAGAATCCTCATTCAACAAATAAACATTTTACATTTGAAAAAATAAAATGAGGCAGGGTGGGCTTTGGCTAACAAAAATTTCCTCTGGAAAACTTAATTGCTTGTTATTCATCCAATTGTCAATTTTGCTCCACTTTTTTTCAGCCAGTAAGCCAGTCTGCTGACCTTATTTTGTGATATGTGAAAGCACTCCCGTCCCAGCAGTCATAGCAGATGATCTAATTAACAGCTTATTTTCAAAATATAACCACTCATTAAATGGAAAATGTAACAGATGACCTCACATTTTTAAAAGTATTTCTGAAAAGATCAACTTCTGCATAGCCATTGTAACTTTCTACAATCTCCACGCCTACTTCTAAAACAAAACTAATTGCAATGTTCTGTGCATGTCTAACTGAATCCTATTGAGTTAAATGGGACTTACCCCAGGGTAAGAGGGTATCGAATTCGAGTCTTAAAACATTTAAAAAATGAGCACAGTAAAGTACAAGCGGAGCTTGCAGCAAAAAGTTGCAGTGTGGAGAATTTTGGGTTCCTACCACTTTGTTCCTCCTCAGTCTATCTCCTACCATGTGCCTAATGAGCATGTTCTGTCCTTACCGGGCTGCCATTAGGTCATCCCTTTGTTTGTTTTTTCTTGAAGCTGCTTGTTTTTTAACCTTGCAAACCTTGGGGTCCCCCCAAACCTGCTAATACACCTTCCTCTTTTGTATGGACGGTGCTGCTTTGGCTACATAAGGACCATTGCCGTCTGCCTGACTCCTGCAGGTCTGTTCAGGAATTGAGCTCATTAATTACAAATACAACAAAGGCCCTCGAAAATATATGCTGATGCCTTTAAAAGATGTGGAAACTGATCACAATACATTTCTGTGAAATTTAAACCATTTTATTGTGCATAATTTGCTCTTTAAAACTGTAAGGTTATCATACACTTTCTTGATGGTCACTGCACAAAGGCCATCCAACCTTTGTTGCAGGAGTGCTACAAAGGAGGAAAATTTTGGCTTCTTTAACACAGCCTAGCATCCTTCCTCACAGAAATAGCCTCCTGGGGTCTAAATTCCTACAAGACATCGGAAGTACTCAAACTTACAGGATTAAAAAAAAAAACCCAAACAAAAAACAAAAAGGAGACAGATAATTGCACAATATTTTTTTTTGCATCTGTTCATTCAGACAACACTTTACAAAATAGTTTTGAAGGGGATACTGCCGCAAACAGGTGGGGGTGCACCACCAGTGTAAGGTTTTGATTGGATTAAGGCTTCCATTGTCTTCTTGGCATTCTGTTGTTGTGGATATATTTCATTGCATTCTTTCAACACTGCAAATCTACACACTTATTTTCTCTAGGAGTTTACAACTGCGATAGCATTTTTATATTCCCAACTGCCAGGCGCAATTGCAAGGAGCACCCGACAAGCAACCAACATCCTGTTATGGACTTGTGTTGCCTACAAATACCGGCAAATGATGTTTTAGAAGTTAGTTTGGTAACGTTAACTCCTGGGTGGAATACTAAAGTATTTTATGGAAGTCTCTATCCTGGCAGATTGACAAATCTAAAAGCAGGGATGCTGGGCTTTATATATTCTGTAATGTGTTTGTTCACAGGAGACACTGTTGTTTTTAAGGTCATTTACATTCTCTGGCATTTAAGTTACACTCTAATAGTATTCAGAAATGTCTTTAACACATTCCAGTCCTGTACTTCCACACTTGTCTCTGAAGAACGTGGAAATGGTCTCTGCTTACTGAAGAGGAAAGAGCCAAAACTAAGACACATTTCTGGGGAAGGAACAAGAAACTGCTTCATCAGTTACTTTCCCACATCTCTCAGCTCCCATATAGCAAATCTTTTTTCCATGATAGGTTTCTCAACAAAAAGGAGGTTTTTAAAAAAAGTCTTTCCTCCTCAAAGAATCATGTTTATAAAGATGAAAGAGCCAAAGAGTCAAATAATGACCCAAAAATGCATTTCCATTAATTCTGTGTCAATTAAAATCTGATGAATGATGTGCCTGGGGTGTCGGTGGAGCATGAGAATGATGCTGTTTCTGTGGCAGGAGGAGAAGGGAAGAATCCAACAGTATCAGTCAGACACACATCCAAGCTCAGAATCCACCTTCTGAGGTTAAAATTCATCACTTTCTACTGCATGGAGCTGTGTGTCATCCGCGTCAGTCATGCTGCTTGCCTGGGACTCATCTGTGCCAACTTTTGGAAGAAAAACAAAATACACAAACAAATTAAGCCATTTGTAGAATTCTTGCACATTTCACAAAGTAGGGGCAAAATCCTGTATGAACAGACCATTCTATAGCAGACCTTAAATAGTATGTTCCAGTCCAATTTATGGGATATATTACATTATTATGTACACCACATATTTTTACTTGCCAACCTGCCCTCCCCTTGCAAGGCTCAAGAGCACCATACAGTACCTCTCCATAAGCAAACTGCTCCTGCCTGAGATGTCCACAATTCAGTTTCCACACTCTCAGTCTCTATGTGGACATGGCCTGCACTACCTATAAAACTTTCAGTCAGTTTGTGATGCTAATAGCAGAAACAATTTAGCATTTAAGCCAAGCATTTAGTATTTAGTTGTTAAAGTATTTCATATACATTATCCAGTTGAGGCCATTCATTCATTCATTTTTACATTTACAGCCCACTTTTCTTTAAAGTAGCTCAAGACATAGTGTACACTGCTTGCCCTTTATTACACCCCTGTGACTTAGACTGAACAATAGTAATTGACTCCAAGTAAACTTCATGGCCGAGGGAGAATTTGAACCTGGGTCTCTCTGGTCCTAGTCCAAAGCTCCATACATTACACCACAGTAAAAAAAACCAACAAAACAAAACAAAAAGCAAAAAACTCTGAGACTGCAAGCATATTCTGGAGCTGACCCAACACAGCTCATATTCATCTGTGGCCTTATGTAAAAGCTATAATTTGCACAAATACATCAATACTAGTGTATTTGTTTTAAATAACAGTGGCCGAGAGGAGGATGGCAGGAATAGCAAGGGTACTGTATGGAAGTAAGCAAAATGGCAGTTATGTACCAGGAATGTCAGCATGTCTGCTCCCCTTGAGACTCAAGCCTCCTCATGTGGTTTAGGCTTATTTATGCTCATTTATTTATTTTTTAAGTATCAATTTCCAATCATAAGAGCCACAAATTGCTTTTAAAAAAAAACCTGAATAAAAAGTTGGAAAATGGCATTTTAGACTCCACGTTGCATGAAGTAACAGCCATGCTAAGTGCTAAGACCGCTGCAATTACAACGCTTTCAAGTTATTCAAACGAGAAGCCTCTCCATTTGCCTCAAAGGGGGGGGGGGGGGAATCAAGAAGACCTGCCTGACTCATATGGGCAACATTCGCTGATCTGCTCCTCTTGTGTTACAGGCTCTTCATCATCTGGAAGGTACCGCTTGTCAATGGCCTCTTTGATCTGGTTGTTGGCTCCTTTGGGATCCAAGTCCATTGCCCAAGAAAAGTTCATCAGTGCGAGATGGGTCTGCCCCAACTTTTTATAAACCTAGCGAAACAACAATCATCAACGCCAATGTAAGTCAATAAATTAAATGTTTGCAGCAATACATGCTTGCCTCTACCAAATGGGAATATCTAGAGCTCTACATAAATGTCAAGAGTTGCTATTGGAGGGTGATTTGTCAATCCAGGCAACAATGTTCAACCTGTTCTTTATGGGGTTGAACAAGTTTGCAGTTCTGAGATATTGCAGATGCAGCTTTGTCTCCCAAGACTCAAGCTGGCCATGGAGTGCCTTCCACAACAGAACTCAAGCTGCATGCTAACTCCAACCCTTTCTGGACAGAAACAACCATCCAACTATTTTAGGGACTCCACTTTGGATTTGAGTAGGGCTTACTCCTTAGCATTTTATTTTCCTGAAGACATCTCACAAGGCAGCAGATGTTTAGGATCAGTTTTCCTTCTCCTAGATGGCCTACCTTCCAGCTGCAATAACAGCTAACTGGGATCAGGTTGGAAACAGCTTAGTTTCCTGTCCATTTATTGGCCCAATTCAAAGTGCTGGCACTTATTTTTAAATCTTTTCACAGCTTGGGACTAGGGTACCCGAATATTTGCCTATCTCTGTGTGCAGAGATCCACATTTTGGGGCTTGCCTTTCTAGCTAAGCCAAAAATTATAGTCACTAGCCCCTGCCTAGCAAACCTCTTCACAAGCCTCTCTCTTTGTACAGTGGCAATCAAGGATTCCACATTGTTCCACTGCTTCACAGTGTTTTGGGGGGGTGTCAGTTTGGTCCCACTTGGCCAAGATGCCCCAGGTTCCTTGGCAGCACAGCTGTCAGAATTACAACTTCCCTTGTGAAGAGTGAAGGTGAAGAGAGGGTGGAGATTGGCAAGCAATTGCCAGGATGGCCTTTGCCCCACTCTGCAGCTTCAAAGTTGGCAGGAAGGCTAGTCACTCATTATATTTGCCTTATGGCACCCCTATTGTTGAAGCCTGGTGCAGCATAATCTCTGAGCACAAACCTGTATAGCACAGCCCTTCCCATAATCATCAACAATCGCCTTGCTTTTCTTTGAATCAGAAAATGCAAGGGAACCCATCTTACAGCTGTAATTCAGAAGGCTATTCTCAGGCTGGTTCTTACCTTTCCTATTAAGAAGTAAACAAGAGACTCTTTGGGAACAATTTGCTTCAGTTCTTCAAGTTCTTGTAAAGCATACTGAAATGACCAAAAAAGACCCCAAACCATTGAGCAGTTTTTTCTGAGAAATATGAACCATATAACAATATTAGAGTTGATACTTTTGGTCACGAAGAGTCAGACACGACTAAACAACTAAACAACAACAACCTTTGGTACAATACAAATAAATCTTTCTTCCAGCAATCCTAGTTAATTGTTTGACACATGTATTTTCTATGGGCTTAGAATTTGTAATATTATTATTTGCTAGAAAACACCAAGGCTTTTGGTTTCATGTGCACCTAGCCACCTGAAACACACCCACAAGGGACCAGGGAATGCAGGAAATTAATAGATACTGAACAGAGGGGGGAAAGACAGATCTCTCCTCCCCAAAGCAGGATGACAGAAGTATAACAAGGTTCAAGAAATAAATAGCAACCAGGGCAAGAGAGCTGGTATAATTACAACAAAAAGGAAGGTGAGTTATATGAACAGCTGGGAGAGTTTTGAGGCACATGACTGTGTGAGCGTCAAATAATTTAGTGCCAGCTTGTAGATGGTCAGCATATTTTGCTTAGAAGGATTAAATGATCCAGACTAATTCAATATATCCATTCTCCCTTTCTCCCAAACTAGGAATCATATTATACCATAAACACTTGCTATAAGCGATATGATTGGGAAGGAACCATTAGATAAAGCGAGATCTACTGTGGAACACAACTTGTATGAGGCAGCAATTAGATAAGAACAGACCCCAGAGCCCACAGAATTTATTAAAGAAAAAACCCAACAAATTCATAGGAACTTACTCCTAAATTAACATGTTTAGGATTGCCCTACAGGTGTTATGCAATGGCTGTAGAGTGTGTCCAAGCTTTCAAAGGAAACACAAACGGTTGCTGTTCAAGAAACTCAAAAGTGCAGTTCAACCTCATTGCAAATGGCTCACCTTATACTTCTCATTTGCAAATAATACTGAGGCTCTATGGAATTTGCAGAGGGGGTTCTTGGGATCAATATTAATAGCTTTGTTCAAAGTATCCAAAGCCTTTTCAGATTTCTTCAGGGCATGCTGAACCTGAAAAAGAAATGATTTATTTATTTGTTTTAAAAGGACAGTGCTTGCTCATTGTTTGGATTTGCCAATGTCTATGTTCAGGCCAGGGGCAGAATGAAGCATGATTTACTTACAACTCCAATGTGGCACAACAAGACAGAGCTCTGAGGGTTGATATGAAGTGCTTTCTGGAAATGCATTTCTGCAAGGCTGAATTTCTCCTGTTTGTAGTAAATCATTCCCAACCCATACCTAGCAATTTTAAAACAAGACTGTATTAGGCACCAAGCTTGTATATTATTAGGAAGGACACTTTCTATAGGCTGAGAGTGTAAGTGCACAACATTAATTGAGTGGCTGACTTTGAGCAACACAGGTAAAATGAAAAAGATTTCATAATTCTAACAGCATCTACACAATATGTTAATATTCTACTCCCCTATTTTGAAGCAAAGCCTTTATATGATTGTTTCAGCACCGTCTAGTTCAAATACACTCTCCCTGTTACAATCCAAGTCAAGTTTTTCTCTCCCTACCCTTTATAAGCCTATAAACCATGACAGCTGCTCAGAACTGCTTTGACATGGTAAGAGTGCCATCCTATTACCAAGAATATAATATTTAGTAAGTCATTTTGTCAAATAAAATGTAGCAGAGCAGCAACTCTCACATAAGTGGGGAGAGATGGTTATATATTTTATAGTGCAGTGGCATCTAAGGTGTATTGCACAATGCATAAGATTATGCTTCAAGCAACTGCTTGGGAGCCCCAAGGGAGGTGCAGTGCTGATACAGAGGTGTTCCCTGTTCTCTCCAACATCTCACATGGGAAATGTTTGTCAAAGCCGAACCCTTTTGAGCTTCCAAAGCTTGGTAGAGATAAAGATTGCTTGAGGATGCTCAGTTTTAAATATATATGGTGGTTTCATGCCAATTAATTATTATTATTATTATTGACGGTTTTATTGTTTAAGGCTTTTTACTTAAAGTTTTGAGCTTTACACATTTGAGAATGTATAACTGGGGGAGAATGGCATAATGAACTTTTCACGTGCTGCTGGCAGTGGTATGGAACCCTAATGATGCCACAGCCATTTTCAGAGGCAACTATGTCAGGACAGATGCATGTCAACTGGATGCAAGTCAGGAGTAGGTAAAGTTGGAGACAAAAAGAGGGATCCCAAAGAGACTGCAAGTAGACACCTAAAATTTTTATCCTTGGGGATATTGTAACTCATAAATTTTTTGCTTCTTCATTCTCTCCTTCTCCCACTCCTGGTTTTTAACTAATTAGAAATATTTCTTACCAGGCATTATAGTGCCGAGGGTTCATTCTAATTGCATTCCTAAAGCAGGCTAATGCTTTCTCAAGTTCCTCTGTCAACACAAATTCATGCCCTAAGAGAGTGTAGGCGTAGGCATAATTTGGATCAACTTGTATAGCTCTCTGAAAGAACTTGATGGCAATGTCATGTTCCCGTTGCAAACTGAAGCAATTTCCTGCCGCACACCATGCCTGGAAGAAAGAAAAGCAAAATGGTAGAAGACATACGATAGTATTTTTCTCCCGTTTTTTGAGGAGGTGATGCAGTAATGGAAAAGACAGAGTGCAACAAGTCTGGATTTAACAGGTGCTCAAGTGCCTGTTTACATGGCAACACCTTTGTGGATACTTGATTTTTTAAAAATAATGCCAACCTCTAATTTGCTTTTTCCACAATCAAGAAGCGAATCAGAGACTGAAGTGTGTTTTAAAAAATGCCACAACAAAATGCCCATGATGATACCTCTGGTGAATTTTTATCCATATCAGTTAAGTCTTTTGAAAGCACCGAAAGAGCCACATCTTTCTGCAAATGCCACAGTGTTGTTGAGTAGATTTCCATCCCTTCCACTCGGTAGTTTTCAATCCTTCTGACTTCAGAGAATATCCTCTCAGCCTATGAGAGAAATTAACAAGTGGCATTTCAACAACATGAATTAAAAGACTTTCTGCATGATCACATTTGGATGATAATTGTGTGTGAACAAGTCACCCATATGGCTTCTCATCAGGGTTTTATTTCTTAGAATCACAGAGACCTTGGAGGTCCTTCTGCACAATGCAGGATGTAACCATGGCAGCGTCCCTGACAGTTATCCATTCTGCCTCGACCTCCACCTCCGAAGACATACTGTTGCAGATCTTACCTACATGTAGTTTCCCCTAATACTTAGCTGAAATCATTCCATCCATTAGTCCTGCCCTCTAGAGCAAAAAATAACAATTTTGATCCATCTTCTGGGTGACAACCCTTCCATACATGCACAGAAGATGCTGCCTTCTCATATGTTAATACATGACCACAAATTTAAATCTACTCTAATAGATAGAGCATAAGCATATAGGCTGCCCAGCACCAGAGAAGCCCTGTTGCTGTTAAGCCCGCTTGGGGAATGGTATGTAGGAGAGGGTCCCACGAAAGGCACTAACTATGCAGAGGCCTCCTCAAACTAGGAACTGATGTTGCATAGTTCAAAGATGAGAGAGTAATCCAAATCTATGTTAAGTGATCTTGAAAATACAGTACATTGGCAGGCATGCAGCACAGAATAGAAGCATTCCACATCACGCTCACCTGCATATATTCCGCAAGCTCAAAGTAAGCTCTTCCAATATGGCACAGTACCCAGCCCGTGTTGTAGTGGTGAGAAGGCAAATGACTCAGTATATGAATTGCTTCTTTACAGTTGTAAGAACACAAGGCTAAATAACCTTTCCCCATGTCACGGAGAAGGCTCATCAAACCTTCTAGGAGAAAAATGCAATAAATACACAGGAGAACAAAGGAGATTAAGAAAGTACAAGCCTAAAAGCCCTATAGTTTCAAAAATGGAACATATTCTCAAGAAGCCAAAATGAGAAATAGAAAATAAATAAAATGCCAGTATGTGGTCTAATGAACAAGGTGCTGACTAGGACCTAGATTCAAATCCTGACTCTGAGCCAAAGTTACACATTACAAGAAACTGCTAACTGGATTATTCTATATGTCTGCCAAAAATCTGGACATCATTCTAACTGTATCAGAAAGGGAAATGGTTTTAAATGCACTATTTTGCCATGATTCTAACTGCTCCCCCCCCGCTTTTGTCTTATTCTCCACCCCCAGCCTTTGGGATGGCTTAACTACTACAAATGAATTCTTAGGAACAGTCCACACACCTGCTGCTGCTTTCTGTAACGTGAATGCCTGGATTTGTGGTGTTACGGAGGCAATCTTTCCTTCTGAAATGATGGACGAATCAAGTTTGGTGATTTCCAAACTGTCATTTATGTTTGGCTGTGTGATCCCTCCCTTATTGGTTTTACACTTTGTCTTTCGGTTTGCAATTTTGGGCGGAAACTTCATTTTTAACTTTTTACTATTTTCCTACGAGAAAAGAACAAATGTATTTAAGAACTCGTTACCCTGCAACCAAAACCAACAGCAAAGCATAATATTCAGGGACAGAAATCTAGATGTACTGTTTCTTCTGGAATTTGGATCACTAAACTGGAAGGGAGAAAAGGCAATCCAATCCAAGCTCCTATCATATAGAAGAGCTCTCGAGTGACCTGTCTGCTATCCAGAACACAGTGTGCAAGAATGAGGGAGCAGCCATCAAACTAAGCATCAGCACACAGGGGTTTGGAAGAAACTTAAGTCACGTTTTAAGTATGATGTCTTTGGACTAGTCTGCGATTTTGTGCAGTAGATATATCTATTACTGAATACAAGATACCAAAAATGACGACACATTTATATAGCAGTATTAACCAGGTGACCAATGGGATCTGTGATGGCCACAACAGCTTTGCATCCAGCTTCTATTATCGTGTCCTTTGTTCTCATCTCCACTGGGGAAAGCTGCACAAAAAGGAGTATTTGAGTTCAGTTCTGCATACCAAGCAGTTCTCACCCAATATGAGCTGCTCAACAATGAAAAGAAATGCATGACTCTGGATAATGGTAGAAAAACCCATGAGTTTAGGAATACTGGCAGAAAGTAGAACTGTTTGCAGAACATTTGCATGTATGGCTTGAATACATGCTTTCTAGAAGCGATCTTCCCCATCAGGGAATAAGGGTAAAAATCCAAAACAAGAGGTTAGCCAGCTATGACCAGGGATGGAGGAACAGATGGAGCAGCAGAAAAGGCCAGACCTCTATGATCTTTATAACTGAAGAAGGGAAGCGTTCTCTGTAATGGTATTGTTTTCATAGTTTACCATGATAATCTGTTTTGCAGCAAAACCAGGGAATCTTGTAGCACCTTAAAGTCTGCCATATTTATTATGGCACATAGTTTCATGGTCTACAGTCTACTTGAAGCGGATTCTACGCCGAAATAAATTTGTTTGTATTCTAATTAGATTTGTAGCCCTCTTAAACATTTCTGCTTTTCATGTTGGCCCTTGTTAATTCCTCGTAATACTATTGCAATATACGGCTTCTCCAACTGCTCTCCATCCACATATGAGATATCTAATCACCAAGGGCATCACAGCAGCTGGAGTCCCATTTACCTTTGTTGTAGAACTATCACTAGAGAATAGGCGTGAACTTCTTCGAGGCAGCACATTAGGTGGAGCAGCAATGGTTGGGCTCAATACCTGAGGGGTTGTACTGAAGAGAGAATAAACAAAACTTCTTAGCGCGACCGTCAACAACTCCTTGTGGAAATTAGGGCACGTATGGTATGCACCCACTCCATTCTAATGTCTAAGTAGAAATGTGGGCAGTATGACAACAGCAAAAGAAAACGATGGAGAGAAAAAATTACCTAGAAACAAGAAGACAATACCAGCAAGTCTGCCAAGGCCCTAGTCTCACTACGGACTGGTTAGGCATTGTGGACCATTGATACCTGAGTGCTCTCCCTGGCACTGTAGCTGGGGTGCAAGCCTTATTGTGTGAGCAAGTCAACATACATAGAGTGAATAATTGTGCCTATAATTGGTATATAATTGGCAGTGAAGAGGGTCTACTTTGTCACCTCCATGCCATCCTCAAGTATACAACTTAGGTCCAAGATACCTGGCAGGCTGCCTCCCCCAGTACAGATCAAGCTGAGCTTTAGGATCTTCTGTGGAGACCCTGCAGGTAGTTTCATGACCAGTGAATTGTCACTTGGTGACAACGCAGAAGTGGGCCTTCTCAATTATAGGACTCACCTTCTGAAATGCCTTCCGTCAGGTACACTGTGAAGAAGAGATCAGTTTTCCTGGACTCAGCTTGTTTTTATTTTTATTTATGTATAAGTTTGCTTTAAACTAGTTTTTAGGAAATGTTATTGAATGTGATACTTTTATTATTTTTTATGAAAGCTACATATATAATTTTATTCTATGAAACATATAAAATGTTTATAAATAAATAAATAAAATCATGATCCAGGCATAGGAAGACATGTCATACCTTGTCTGTGGGCCTGAACTCTGTGTTTGTGCAACAAGGATTGGCGTTACTTCCCGACTATTTCCACTTTGTGAGAAGACTGACTTTGTTCCAGCTTGGCTTATTCTGGTGACAGTCTATATGTGGAAAAAACAGCGCATCAGACCTATGACAGTGTTATTAAAAACCACTGGTATTGCTACTTACAACTCATAAAGCTAAGAGGAGTTATCTGCTAAAATATCAATAATAATAATAATAATAATAATAATAATAATATCCAGTCATTATGTGATCAAGAGAACTGCATGATAAACAGAAAATGGCATGTATTTCTAAACACCGGTGGCTATCCTATCACATTGCCAGGCAAAGTCTTTCCCTTTTCCTCACACCATAGGCAGACCCAGTGCAACCCAAGAAAACCTATTTCCACACTATATTCACTAAATCAGGGCAACTGTGCACAATCCTGTGCACTATTAATTCCAGTGAGATTTTTTTTGGGTGGGGAAACTTAAATTTATCACATACATTATCTCTAAACCAGGAAACAAGACAAAGCAAAGTTATTTTGAATTAATCCACCTTTTTAGGAAGACTGAAATTTGCTAACCATATCAATACTTGTGGCCAACCTTGGGGCTGAGAAATAGTCAATGAAAATAGTAATGCCTGATTCAACTGTCCATTAACTTCCACACCAGTCTATGGAGAAGCTCCCATTTTATGTAGTAGAAGCACTGGACAATGACCAGACTTTGGCAAATAATACGTTTAACAGACATTAACAATAGGAGACAATGGTGGTAACTTTTATAAGAACATTGCAAAAGTTCTAGTTTTAAAGACAACCTTAGAAAATAAAAGAAATATTTGGTTAGCGTTCAAAGATATTGACTGCAGAAGTTATTGTATCAGAGATAAGGCAATCAGACAGTGTCTACCACTTCTCTCTGTGGTAGAGAGTTTGCCTGCAAAATAATTGGAGGCGGGGCGCCAGCTTGCAAGGGCGACGGGGGGGGGGGCAATGTCACGTGCGTGATGCCACACATCCCGACATCATGTGCATGACATTAGAATGCCGGGAGAAGCCAAGGGTGGAGCCAAAGCAGCAGCTGCATGGCTTCAATGGCCAGCACTGCTATTGGTGGGAGGATGCTTCAACCCTCCTTCCCCTCCACGGCAGGAGGAGGAAGAGAAGAAGAAGCTAGCCACTGGAGCTACTCCATGCTTTGGCCCTGCGCTCTTTGGAAAGTGGGGAGGTAGGCCCTCACCCCCAAAATATTGGGGAGGCCCAAAAGGGCTCGGCCCCAGGAGCTGGTGCCCCTGACTGGAGAGCAAATACACAGAAACTGAACACCCATCAAGTTGCTTTGACAAAACTAAAGTTTTCTTCTTGTGACTTTTTAGAACAATTATCCAGATTTTTATATTTCCTTGCCTTCAATCTCACATGCACACCCTTGAATGCAAGGTACCTTCTTGGAAGGGGCTCCTGGAGGTGGCACATCAATTACTGAAGAAGAATTTGTGCAGTTTTGTAAATAGGATCCATCTCCCGGGCTAGGGGTTTCTAATGGCAAGATTCCAAAGCTGAGAAAACATACAAGAGTGTTTGAAAATATGCATGATTCCTCAAAGAGAGAAGTGAGCGGGCAAGGAGGAAAGAGAGAATCTTACTTTATAAACTAAGGACAAATTGCAGGGCAATGGAATTTATAAGCCCCAGTGAAAATAAGTTTCTAGACAAACAGTTTCCTCATTGTTACATACACAAGCTTGAAGACGTAAAAGCAAGAAGTTCTAGTGATCAACAATAATAAGGTATGTAAAAAGAAGCTCTAATTCTTTGAGGACAAACACACATTTTTCACATATATCCCAATACTTTCATATAATATTGCAGTATTCGTATACAGCTTGGTGGCATCAACCATGTTCAAAACAATGTGCATGTGTGGTTTTAAATAGAGGAAACTAACAAATTTAGCACCAAAACAATCACATGTGGCATGTTAGGTCAAGAGGACAACTCTCCTAAGCATACCTTCATGCAATTCATGGTCAAGCAGGAAAGCCCTATGTGCTTGGGTCTCCCATACCAACACTTCATACACTGTAACTTATTTTGTCAAATAGTGCTTCTAAATGCTCACAAGCCCCACTTCTTATATCAATTCCTGAAATGTAGCTATATTTTTCTATTACAGCAGTAACTACTAAAAAAAAAATGTGAATCCTTCCAAATTAACAGACTCAGACTGCAATCCTAAACTTAAAACAAACTCCCCTGAACAGTGTGAGGCCTGCTTCTGAATAAACATGCACAGGACTGTTCTGATATTGCATCTTAAGCATTTGTACACTTCAGCAGAGGCATAAACACATGAAAGCAGGGGAGAATATAGAAATGGATGTTTTGATTTATGCAGGCAGTGGCAGGACAAACTTTTCTGTCTCTGTCCAAGAGAATAAAAAGTGACACACATATCACTTAAAAATGGCAGCGTTTATAAATCGGTGGAATAACATTTCAAGTCTATCCAAACATTATCCTACTGACTTGAAAGCCGCCAAAAGAGTGCAAAGGGAGTTCTCAGAGAAATAGCTGAACCAGAGTTTGTCAGAAAATTCTACTCTATTAATTTAGGTCTTAATCAGACCTATGGATTTATCTACCACCTAGCAAATCTGGGAAGAATATGTAGTCACCAATTACTGCTGCTGTGAATGGTTATGGTTCTTGTACACATTTAAACTTTCTATACAGATGTCACAGATCCTCTGGACCTCTAATATATCATAGCCCCTACTACAAAATATTTGGGTTTTCCTGCACCAATGTGTGTGACTATGCATCTAAAACAGTGAGCTCTAATCCATGAAAGCTTATGCCACAGTAATTTTGCTAATCTTTACAGTGTCACAGGACTCTGCTGTTTTTCTTATAGTCATCTTCAGTAGGCAGCCTTGAGGATACTTCAGATTCTTTCTTTACCTTGGTGTTAATGGACTCAGAGCAGCTGGTCCACCCAGAAGACTCCGGCCAGTTTTTGGTTTGTTTTGAGCCTGTTTAGTTAAGAAGGCAGTTCCCGATCCAAGAGGTACAGCATCTGGTGAAATTACAGCCGAATCAATATAAGAGATGGAGGAATCTGTGTTGGAGGAATATTTAGAGTTGGAGGACTCCAGGTTGAGTCTGTTTAATTCCTGAAATAGAAAAAAAAATAAAATAAGAAAAAGCAGCACACTTCCCCCCCCCCCCCCCAATGATCACTCTCAGTGTAAGCAATGATGGTAAAATATGGCTGATAAAAACTTACAAGCGTGTCTTGCGGCGTTTCCGTAAGAACTGTCTCTGGCTGCCTGTGGGTTATGCTGTGATTAGACACCACAGTTGTGCAGGTGTTAGGCAAGCAGCTGCTGAAGTTCTGTATAGATGTTAACTTGAATGTTTGGTCAGGGTCTGGCTTTTCACCTTTGTGAATGAAGAGAAAGGGATTTGGGGTAAGGGAAAAGGCTTCTTTTCAATGTGACACAAATGAAGAGATTAAAATGTTATGTGTTGCCCCCCCCCCCCAACAACAGCACAGTATGGAACTGCTGTCTGAACTTATTGCTACATGGTGCTGTTAATATCCAATTGTTTAAAATGTGTTTTTAAAAAAGATACCCATCAAGTATAACAATTAGAGCATGGCATACATCTTCACAAACACATCCTTAAATACTTTTCACATTATTACTGAAGACTCTGTGTTACAGGAAAGCTGGTAGAGACCTAACTGCTGATGTTACTATTTCCACCAGGGGGAAGCTATTTTACTATGCATCACTAACAATACATGAAGTGCCAAGATCCATCTAGTCCTGCGTTAATCTTTCTCCAACAGTGATCAGCCAGATGCCTGCAGGTAGAGATCTAGTCTAGGGCACTAAACCATGGGTTGGAAATATATTTTGGGCCTGTGAAAGATTTTGAATTTTTAGAAAGTGCTTTGGGCAACCCTGCCCTGTTGCTTCTCTCCCTCCAGTTTACTCTCCAACACAGACAGATGGAGTGCACATACACACACATTTTGCTTTTCTACCATATCTGAGTAAAAGTCAGGATCCAGCAGAATTGAATAGGCCTTATTTTGCAAGCCATCAGATTAGAATTTACATTGGTAGACTGTGTGGTAAAAATTACCGATACACTACTTCCCAGCACCACAAAGGCATTTGAAGGCATGGATCTTCATGACTTTTTACAAAGTGTAAGACCATACAAAATTTCCAGTGTTTGCCTCCAAGTTACCATTCCATTCACAGATAATATTTTTCCTATCCTTCCCAAGCAGGTCTCATTAACTAATGCCTCCAGGAAGATCACAAGTGGACAAGGTAGGAATGGCAATCACCTGTTGTTGGTTCCCAGTATTATGTGCAATGAAATGGATTTTCTCCAAAATGCAGAAGTTTCATTTTGCTACTATGACTAATAAGCATTGACAAGTCTATCCTCCAAGCAATATCCTAGCAGGAGTTGTGCAGTTTGGAAGCATCATGATCTACTTAGTTTTGTTAAATGTACAGTCTAACACCAATGTGCACCTTTCATCTTGGGCCCTTTTATATAAATTATACATATTCCCTATAAATGAAATAACCAACCTAAACAGGGCTGATATGACTTTAAAAGTTTTCATCTTGCATTTTTAACACTAATCTGTCCAGACGAGAAGATGTCTAGCTTTCCCTACATGTTATGCTAGTGGTAGCAGCAGCACTGCTTTAAGTCTTTCTTTGCATTTGAAGCAGAGGCAGAAGAAGATATGCATATATCTGCTTTTGTTTGTAAATGGCACAGATGGAAATGATGTACAGGACTTCAACCCATGGAGTTTCCAGAGGGCCAGTACAGTTTACATCCAGCCCAGACACTCCACAACATTACATTTCATGTTAACGTCTTCCAGGTTTTCCCCATACTCCTTTACACAACAGCAGCACACTACAACTGTTTTAAGAAGACCAAGATTACCATGCATCACAGGAACTCAAGAGCAGGCTGCAGCAACTGCCCTCTTCCACAACCCTATCAGTATTGGGAAGGGTGACTTATGGCCCACATCTTACACACCATGAACACAAATGACTGGCAATCCATAGCAAAATATTCCTAAATTAGGGCTGGCATACGTCCAGATCTTCCGGGACATTACTGGGATTTCGAAGGCGGAATTGACGTCTGGGGGGAAATGCTGAAGAATCGCGGGTTTTTTTTATTTTTTTGTAAAAATAATTTTAAAGGGGGGGTTCCCCTAAAAAAGCTGAACAACTTTTGGGGTGTCCTGGTTTTTACTTTTTGAAATATGGCAACCCTATCCTAAGTAGGCATAAACCTGAATGTTTGAGTCAGAAACTTGCAGGAGGCATGCTGTGATAGCACACTCAATCAAAGAACAGCTCTGATGCAAGCTCAAGACAACTGTGAGACAACTCTTCCTGGCAGAAGCAAAGACTGAGAGGGCATCAAGTAAGAAGGAACCAAATGCATTCCGTGGGTTGCCTCCAGCCTGCAAATGCCACAAAACTCTCACCTTTCCGTCTGAAACATAAGCATGCATGCCCCTAGTACAAAAAACCAACGGAGGGGCCAAACAGCTGCACGGTACCAGCTTAGCCCTGGTACTGCCAATGAGGCTGTTATGCCCTGCTTGTGGCCCTGCCCCTTTTGCACCTGTCACAACAAAACTACCGCTTCAAGTCACATCATGGTGAGATTGGCTCCAGGCAATGGGAAACAACTCAGGGGGGTTGAAGAACTCTTAAAAGATCAGCTGAAAACCTGGAACACAACATTTCTGTTTTGTTTTAAAGAGTCATATGCTGATAAAGTGGTAACATGGGGAAAGTCAAGTTTATGGGAAAAGGAAGATGAGATAGCATGAATTCTCAGGCTCCAGAGAAACCAGATACTTTGTCACTTTTCCAGAACAGGAAACCAACTGTGTGCTACCAAAACAGATTCCACAGTCTGGTTGGCAGGCACAGCAGCTGCCCGGTTTCACTTCATATGATATATTTCATTTTAGTGTTTGTGAGGATCTGGTTCTATTTACTTATCTATCTGCCAGTCCCTTGAGATGGGATACAATGAAACACCAAGTTAAAAAAAATATTCAGATTGCACAACTGGCTTCACCGCTGGAAATAAACCAGAAAGAACCCTGAAAGGCATGGATTAGACACTGGGATTTGAAATATACATACTCCATGCTTGTGTGGAATACATTAACAAAAACAATGAAGCCATTTCTGAGGAGAGAGGAGGAAAAGCAACCAGAAGTATCCAGTCCCATTCTTGCTCAATCCCAGGTTCAACGGTAATCGCCAAGGAAAAGGTTTTTGTAAAAGTGTTTTCCACATCATACGCTGCTGCCGTAAGAGAATTCAATTGTTCAGTAGACCTGGATGAAATCAGTGAGATGTCTCCTTATACCCTCCCTCCAACTCAAATCATGAATTCCAAAGGATGGTAAAGAACCCATCTATTCCCAGGGAAGGAGTTAAGCAAAACCTACCTATTTCACATAGTGATTCAAAAGGGGACCAGAGGAAAGGATTTAAACTAAGGCTCTTTTGGTAACATTCAGATCCTTTGGCAAGCCGATCTGTCTTGCTGTTAAGAGAGAAAGAGGGAGGGGGAAACAATGAGGAGAGATTCTGCAGGAAAATGAGAACAACGAGCTATTTCTACAGCTTGCATAAATAACCACAGAAATATCTCCTGCAATCAGCTACCATTATTTTGTTAGGTGGCATGGAAATGGGGGCATTTGTATTTTTCCAAATTGAGCAACTTGAGCATCTCCCACACACCATATGTAAACTGTACATTTCTACATGGCTTCAGTAAAAACAACAGGAAAACCGGTTTTTGTTGTTGTTGTTGTTGTTGTTGAAGAATGGTACTGCTTAAACTGCTTCACATCCATTCTGGAAGAGAATTTCTTACCTCAAAATGAGCAGGAAGCCCAAGGGAAGACATCTTTATCAATCCTTGTACTTTAGCACCAGGGACCAGCAAGGGTCCAGAAATATTCTATCCAGTGATGAGTACATGGTAGCTACTCTCTGAACTTGCACTGGACTCTGGGGGCATTTAGAAGCTTTCCAAATACCTCCAAACCAGATTGCAAGATCACAGACTACACCTTTCCCTAGGCTCTGCAAGAGGACAGTAGCACGCTCTGACCTCCTGGTTGGCTCTCAGTGCAGCCGCCAAAAAGCAAGCCTTCTTACTGCTTCAAATGCCTCTGAAGCTCAGAGGGATATCAAGGATGAGATTTTGTCCCTTCTCAAAGTTGGGGGAAGGGAATGTTCAAAAGCAATAATAAATCTTGACTAGCTATTTGTGAGCCCAAAACATATTGAAATGCAGGACAACAATGCAGCAGAGTAAAACTTGCAACTCTTCCTAAGGTCTTTGTGCAAGACTGCTCCTGTATTTTGAAGTACTGACAGTCTTTAAAAGCTGGGAATGTGTTCATCCCGTAGGACATGATAGTTCTTAGGATGTGTATTCTAAGGAGTAGCAAAGTTCTGCAATAAGACCAAAAAAATTCTAAACTAAATATAGAGCTGCCTTATAAAATCAGGCCACAGGCCCATCTAACAGACTGGTCCTTTCCCGCATAAGTAGATCTGCTCAAGAATAATTATATCAGCCTGTAGCTTTACATCACAAATGAAGGTGTTGATTCAGAAGTAATTTTTATGCTGCTTTTTGCTAGGGAAATTTGTATGTCTCCAAACTGAGAGCTAAGAACTGCGCACCTACAAGCAGCAGTGCAAAAACGTTTTGGGAAAAGGAGGAATCTAGGGGAGATAGCTTGTCCCTAAAAAGAAAAGAAAAGTCATACCAGTATACATGCCCCAGGAGCGAAAGCATGAAGCATGCAGAGTCACCAAACTCTGTCACAATGTCATCGTGGCTTTTCTGTTTGTTGAACACACCACCAGACAAGATCTGTTCTCCTTCTGCAAGTCTGTTTAAAGATAATAAGGTAATAAAAATTACAGAAGCATTGATGGTGTAGCCCAAACCAGTTCACAGCTCTGCCACAGACAAGGTGGGTGCTCTCAGATACACAACTCCCTCACATGGTTTTTGTGAGTATAAACGCTTCAGATTATTTAAACATTCCACTCCACCTCCAACAATCTATCTTGCTTATCTAGCTCTAACATGATCTAGAAACAGAAGCCATTCTAGGCAGAGCATCTCTACATGTTGGACCCACAAAAATGTGCACCCTATCAGTGGCACTGCTGCTAATAATGCATAGGGTAATCAGGATGTCTGTGTGGAAGCAAGCATCCCTGCTTTCAGGGACAAAATCAGCAATATGAATGGATCACTTACGGCATATCTGCCAGCACCAATTGGTTATGGATAAATCTGCCTTCTTTTTTTGAAAAACGAAACAAAAACATCGTTAATATTAACTTGATTTTGTCTGGTTTGGATGACAGAACATCCTGCAGTTAATTCAAAATTCCAGGTATAGGGCGATATATAAATTCAATGAAGAAATAAACAAAAACCAAAAAAACTGGATGTGAAACCATCTGAAACCATGTGACCACACCAGAAAAAAAAGGGGGGGAGCACGCAAGTGCAAGGCCTGTGGCTGCTCTCTCCCATTATGCTAAACCATGATGGTTTAGCTGGGCATCCAAACCAGGCCAATTTCTTTTGCACTGCTATGGGCAATGTAATGGTAGAGGTAAGCATAAAATCTTTGTCTCTGGCTCTTGCATGCTGTTTTCCTACTGGCCTCTCCTTTCTTCAACTTCATTGATATTTCCCATGCCTCCTCCTGTCCCCTGCTCTCTTCCTATCCTGCTCCCTTCGCTCAAAACACCCTGTCTCTAGATTCTCTGTTCTTTAAATTCCATACCACCTGGCTCTCCTGCCATTTGGCTCCCCATACTTCAGTAACCAAACACTTTCTTCATTAAATCTATGGTTTGTCAAAACTGTGTGGCTAACATATTCATCTTTAGAAAATCCATGATATCACAACAGCTCAGTGAGAGAAATTTGCTGATGACAGGCATCAAACATTTATCAGTTTCATAGGACTGTTAAGTGCCCCCAGATGCTTAACACTTACAGCTCATCTAATTTAGCATTTTAAAACTCCTAGCTGGACACTTGTATAAAATTTCATTCTTGATCTAGGAAGAAATTTCTATATTTTTTCACCATTTCCTTTACAAGACCTTCAGCATGTTTAGTGATTTCTAGCACACTGGCCACATCTGAAAGTGAAAATGAATTTCATTATGCTATTATCCCAAGATCTGATGGGACAATAAATGGCATCGGACTCTCTTAAAAATATTAACTACAACTTCCAGCAGCACCAACAAACCAATAAGACAACTTACTTGCTGAGGTCAACACAGCACTTGGCAAGCAAATATTTACACTGTGGGGTGGTACAACTGTGTCCTTTAAGAAGCCTGTATGCCTTGTATGCTTTTCCTGAGCGATAGTAACAGGTTGCCAATAGGAACAGGGCATCTTCTGAGTGCACTGAAGAAACGGGTGGGGTGGAGAACATTAAGATCCATCATTTAAACCTCTGAGTGCAAACAGTTTATCTATCTATTCCTGGCCATATAAATATGATTTCCAATGTCAAAGAGAACTGAAGGATTAGTAACATCAATTATAATCTTTTACTAGCTAGTTAGGGCATAGAATCTCTGTGCATCCGCATCTTATGAGGGACAATAAGATCTGCTGTATAACAGACAACCACTGATGTACTTCAGCCTATTCAAGGTTAAGAGGTGTGCAGTGATTACAACCAATGGAATAAGTTTTTAAAACATATTCTAGGTACTCATAGACTCAACCCCTTTAACCAGGTGCTATTAGTATTGGTCTCAAAAGCCCCCCCTGCCACTTGTGGCCATGCCCCTTTTCAAAAGGAGCAGATACAAAATATTTTAATAAAATAAAGTAAGATATCCCTAAAGTTGTCATTTGGAATTAAGGAGCAATACTTTCTTCCAAACAGAAGGCAGAGCTCCCAAACAAACTAGAATCCTGACACACCTTTTAAAAATAAAAATTAAGCAATGTCTCCACCTTCCCTGATAGCAGTCTTAAAATATAGTTCAATTTTTTTTAAAAAACGCATATTTCATTTTTTTATTTAACCATTTAAGCATATTGTAAGACATACATACCACTAGCCAACTTTTTGTTGACACTCTGCACCTAACCATACCTGCTTATTTACAATACAGTCATACCTTGGGTTAAATATGCTTCAGGTTGAGCGTTTTCAGGTTACGCTCTGTGGAACGTAACGGAACGTGTTACTTCCGGGTTTCGCTGCTCGCGCACGTGCAGACACTCAAAATAATGTCATGCGCGTGTGCGGAAGTGGCGAATCACGACCCGCGCACACGCGGGTTGTGTTCGCTTCAAGATGTGGACAGGGCTCCAGAATGGATCCCGTTCGCATCCAGAGGTACCACTGTACAGGTGTACCTTGGAAGTCGAACGGAATCCCTGCCAGAAGTCCGTTTGACTTCCAAAATGTTCAGAAACCCAAGCACGGCTTCTGATTGGCTGCAGGAAACTTCTGCAGCCAATCGGAAGCCACGGAAGCCCCATTGGACATTCTGGTTCCAAAGAATGTTTGCAAACCAGAACACTCATTTCCAGGTTTGTGGCGTTCGTGAGACAAAATGTCTGAGTACCAAGGCGTTCGGGATCCAAGGTACGACTGTACTGACATCCACCTATAGCCTAATGAACAATGCAGAAATTGAAGTTCTTCAAAATACACAGATAAATTCACAAAAAGTGCAGACCAGTAACCACAGCGGATGCATACCTTCTGCATACAATCTCTCTGCCAGGAACACGGCATCCCGGTAAGCATAGTGGTTAAGTGCCTGCCATATAGCGGCCTGTATGAAAAGGGTGGGAAGGAGGGAGAGAGAAAGGAAGATTAGCACTATAAACCAATACTAAATGCACAGAAAAACAAAACGAAAAAATAAACACTTTTCTATCTATCTTGTATCTCTTCCCTTGCTGATTATTGTCCTTCCTGTTCCCAAATATTCATTATTTCACAATATATTATGCTACAACCCTGAACAGCATTTTATCTGGGAATATTTCTACTCCTCTGTCGGTGTCGACTAGAAGGGCCTACACTTCATTTCAGAAGTGTGTCCAATCAATTACCCTCAACAAACCTATTTCCACCATTATAACACATTACAAAAATCAAGAACACCACATACATTTATTAACTATGTATAAAGTGTTTGTTGGAAAATTCACTTTGTCAGGGATTGAAAGACCACATATGACACACAGCAGGTAGGCAGGTGTTTCAGCCACATATATTCACATTACCCCCTTAGCTATTATGGTTACTTGATTTTCTTCTCCTTTTAAAGTAAGTGTGATAAAAGACTACTTTGGGGGTATTTTGCAAGAACGACCAGATTTTGTAATCTATGCATAAACTAAAAATTCTAAATTCACTAGCATAAAACATGAAGTTGTGACTCCTACACTAGAGTATCACAAGAAACTGCAAGTGTGGCTACAGCTGGAAGACAACAAATGTTAACATTTTCTCTAAATACCCAAGAAAAAATTAAATAAGGCAGAATAGGACTTAGCATACCAATTCCAAGAAGGGTTATAGAAGTACAGTTAAGAGCTACCAATAGTACTGTCCAAGTACTGGATGGTCCAAAGTAACATGAAAAGAAAGCCAAACATTTCAAGAATAATGCAGCTGAAATCACAAGAAAACTTAAAGGTTCTTTTAGCGTGTGCAGTTGAAATGAAACACAAAGATGATTTGGCTGACATGCTCTCCTCCTGCCCTTGAGGCAAATGTTAACAAAAAAGAAAATTGGGGGGGGGGTGAAAAGGAAGGGGAGGGGAGCACAGACAAATAAGATCACAGTATGTTTTATGATCCAGGGATAAAGATCATATCAGATCAACTCAGATCTTTAGGCAAAAAATAGGGCACAAATGTGTTAAGATATTTGTACCCCACATTCCCACTTTTAAAATGGAGGCGCTCAAAGTAGTATACATGACAAATCAATAAAAGCAATAAATTTATTGCATTATACAAGAAATACTAACAAGTACATAAGAATACTTTTTAAACCAGCAATTCAAGAAATAAAGCTAACAGTAAAAAAACAGCCAAGACTAGAACAAGGAGAATTTTACATGCATAAATTAAAAGTTTGCCCGAAAAGAAACTCGGTGATGGAACACTGGCAAAGCTATAGCAAATGAACCTGCCAGGGCATGGAGTTTCACATTCTGAATAAATAGCCTTCCCTCATATCCTCACTAATAATACTCTCAGAAGGTTAAGGGATGTGCAAGAAGGCCTCACAACATGATCTGAAAGGATGGGCACATCAGTAACGGTGGAGGACATCCTTTAGATATTGTACAGGCAGCAACCGTTTTAGCATGTCCAATACGTGCACAATTGTACCAAACCCGGAAGTGCCCTGAAAAGTCACAAAAACATCACCAAAGGGGGCGGAACGGGGTAGCCTTCCATGGCCCCGCAGATGTGTGCAGGGGTCCAGAACATAATCCCTGCGCAAACCGTTCGCTGCCTATGTCCTAGGTCCTCAAGAGCTTTAAAAGTCATGCCTAGCACCATGAATTGCACCACAAAATAGACTAGTAGCTAGTGCTGTAGATATAACAGTGTGACATGTTCCTGAATTCTGGCACCAGTCAGAAGTCCTAAAGCAACTTTTCCACTAGCTTGTTTCCAAACAGTCTTCAAGGGCAGTTCCGAGTACAGTAATTCAGTGTAAGACATGATGTGACTATGAGCAGGTCCACTCTGGTGCAGTTGGCAGACCAGCTGAAGCTGAGCAATTGTGTTCCTCACCACAGACACCTCCTAGGCATCCTAAAGCAAGGCTCAGCTTTGTAGCAGTGCAAATCTGATTTGTTAAGGAGCATGCAAGTTCTTTGAGAACTAGGGATGTAAGGAGGAAGCAATTTCTGTCCCATCCTGTGCTCACCACAAACAGCACTGATTCTATTCCACTACAGTTCAACTTGCATTAAAACCTATATTATTGATCTCACTATCTGCTGCGGCCAAAACTAACATACTTAATTATGTACTTAGTTTCAATGCATTTCAATGGAAGGAAAACATCAATAAACAATGTAGGAAACAATTATTTATTTATAGAACATTTGCAGACTTGCATGATTTCCATCCTTCACGCCAGATGAGCATGCAAATTGACGCAATTTCTACTCCCATTTTGAGTTTCCAACATACTTTTTCGATGTCCCTATCCAGAGCACACTGACACTCACTGGTTCAGTTGGAAAACTAATCAAGAGCACTTCTGACTTGTCTAGATTGTGTTTCAACTTGTTTGTCCACATGCAACCCATCACTGACCTCAGACAACAATTCAGGACCTGCCCGGCCCTGTAGGTGAGATCATACAGAGTTGTGCATCATTCACATATTACTAATGATAACCAACACCAAACACAAATAATTTCTGAGAAGTTTCACGCTGATACTAAATAGCAAATGGAACATGATGGAATACTGTGGGACACCATAGGCCCCAAACCAAGTCACTGAACAGATGCCCCCACTTCACTATCTTCTGTAATCTGCCCTGAGAAGGACCAGACCCACTGTAATATGTACCCCTATAACCCACCACAGCAAAGTGACCCTGGTCAATGGCATCAAAAGACAATCATCCAGCAGACCCAAAACAGATGCACTGCCCTTGTCTAGTTAAGAAACACAAGAAGCTGTCTTATAATTGGTTCATCTAGCTCAGTTTCGTCTACACTAACTGGCAGAGGCTGTCCAGGATTTCTGACAGGGCTGTTTCCCAGGCCAGTGTGGTGTAGTGGTTAAGAGCGGTAGTCTCGTAAGTCTGGGGAACCGGGTTCGCGTCTCCGCTCCTCCACAAGCAGCTGCTGGGTGACCTTGGGCCAGTCACACTTCTTTGAAGTCTCTCAGCCCCACTCACCTCACAGAGTGTTTGTGGTGGGGGAGGAAGGGAAAGGAGAATGTTAGCCACTTTGAGACTCCTTAAAGGGAGTGAAAGGCGGGATATCAAATCCAAACTCTTCTTCTTCTTCTTCTTCTTCTTCTTCTTCTTCTTCAGGCCTACCTGAAGAAGTGATGAGCTGAACCTAGCACTGTGCAGATGTACTATCACTGAGCTACAATCATCCATCAAAGCTATCAAACCCATTTACGTTCCAAAACCAGGATGGAACCCACAACGAAATGGATCAAGATAATTAGTCTCCTTCAGCAAATCTTCGAGGTAGGCCACCAAAACATGCTCAAACATCTTACTAAAGAATGGAAAGTGGACATTGCCCTGTAATTGGCCAACACAATGAAATCTAGAGTGGGCTTCTTTAGCAGAAAATGTACTACACTTTCTAAGCTATATGACGTAGCTTCCTTCCCGCCTCCTGCTCACTAACTCAGCCAATCCTCCTTGGATGCCAAGATGTGCAAAGGTCATGTGATCAACTGAACACTCCCAAGAATCCTGTACACATTCCATAACGAAATAACAAACAGTTGCCAGAAATACAGCAAGTGGATCTATCAATGAGTTCAAATTTGACTCGACAATCATTGCATTGCCATTGGCTCCTCAGGAAAACAAAAAGTCAACCTGGCTGTTCGATATGAGAAAGGACACTCAGAAACAACTGTGTCAATGGAAAAGCATTTCCCCATTCCAGAGGTCAACCAGAGTCTCAGCAAGGCTGTTCATCAAAATCCTCTTGTAAAGAACAGATTGGCAAAGGCTGACTCTCATACCTTTCAAGTAACTGCCTATGCCCTGCAGTATGACAGCCACAGTGGTATGCACACTTTAAGTTAGACTGAATGCTTACTTGGGCGCATTGCTAAATACATGCTTGGCAGCTGCCCACAATTCTCAGTGGAGACCTGAAAAAATATGAGCACAAGCATCTTTGACATAACCTTTTCCTTTGGCATAACTTTTGGAGGTCAGAGTGAAAGAAGTGAGAGAAGAGGTCATTTCTAAGATTTTCCATCTTAACAGGAATGCATGGTTTTACCTTGCTCAGCTCTACATAATAAATAATCAGAGAGTCATTTTACGTCAGCTTTGAAGGTGCTTTCACCTTGCCATTCAGAAAAGATGGCACTGAATTATAAATTAAATGAGGAAGAGTACAGAGTAAATAAGGAGACCATGCAACAAAATAGAGAAAATGCATTACATGGAATATGTGCACATAGTATCAAATGATTCCATGGAGTTAGAATATTTGTGGGGCTGGAGGGAAGAAAACCCTATAGGATTAAAAGAACATGAGAGAAGAGAACAAGAGGTCAGCACTGTTGTAATAAAGAAGGGGAAGGCAGAGTACAGTCATACCTCATGTTATGTCCGCTTCATGTTCCATTCTTTCAGGTTACGTCCCATGGTGACCCGAAAGTACCGGAAAGGGTTACTTCCGGGTTTCGCCACTCGCGCATGTACAGACGCGCAAAATGACGGCACGCGCATAAGCAGCAAATCACAACCCCCGCGTGCACAGAGAAGCCGCTGCGGGTTGCGTTCTTTTCATGTTGTAAATGGGCCTCCGGAACGGATCCCGTTCGCAACCAGAGGTACCACTGTACACTGAAGATTTTAAAAATCCCAGCTGCCTAGTCAGCTAGGCTTCTAACATTTGGATGACACGCCCTAATGCCTGCAGGTTGGTCCGACTCCATCCAGATATGTCACCTGAAGATCTCATCAAGGCTTCTGGACTCATGAAATATTGTTCCGATCTGGCCCTAGTCAGTTTTCTTTCTGCAATGGAGGAGCTGAAAACATGTGGATGTCTTTAGATAATTGGAGAATGTTATGCTCCATATAGGCAGGACCTCCTCAACACAACCCCAGCTCAACAAGAGCTCTTCCAGGTAGTGTTTTCTGGAGGGAGAAATCAGTGTTTGTATGTTAACATTCTGATTGTCAAAGATGACAGGGTAGGGGAGAACAGGAGGAGATCTAAGCATGGAATACAAGTGTGTAAGAGAAGAGTCTTCATGGGAAAAGTGAAGAGAATAAATAGTTATATGAAGCAGAAGGAAAGAATATCTGGGAAGAGCACCTCGTTTGTGTGCAAAAGGTCCCAGGTTCAATTCCCTGCATTTCCAGGCAGAACTGGGAAAGACCTTGGCCTAAAATCCTGGAGAGCTGCTGCCAACAGGCAACACTGTATAACCCAATGGTCTGACTTGGTAGGAGGCAGCTTCCAGGTCCCCAATGCTCAGCTCCCTGGAAAGAAGACCACTGGGCGTCCCATGTAAATGCATGATATTCGTATGACTTATTGCAGTATATGTTCTAACGAGAGAAAGGGCGACTGATTGAACAGGGGTCCTTGCTGGGAAGATGAAGTGGGGGGGGGCGGGGAGAATAGAGACTGAAGAGGGCTGAGAAGAGGGGATCTCTCTTAGGAAGGAGCAGTCAGCTAAGAATGCTGGGGGGGGGGCGAATCAGTGGTAATTCTCGGGGTAGGTGGGAATGCAGAGAGGGTGGCTGGTGGGAGATTTAAGGATCTGGAAGGAAATGGGGTTTATCTAAAAACAACACCACATGGCACGTTCCAGGGAAAGGAGTGGGGGGGGGAGAGAATGACAAAATTCGGGGGTGAGACGCGTGAACAAGTGTGTGTGCGCGACACCCACAAAGGGGGGGGGAACGTTAAGGAGAGTGAAATTTTAAAAGGAGAAACCCCTCCCCCCGCTCCCAGCAGAAAGGGGTTTTTTGTTTGCTTGTTTGCTTTGCTTGATTTTTTTTGGTTTTGCAAAGGGAGCCCTTGCCCTGTCAGGGCAGAAAGGAGAGCGGGCAGGAACCCAACTGCTCCCCTTCCGTCCCCTCCCACCCGGCCTTCCTTCCTTCCCCCGCTCCCCCATATACAGGCCCATCGCCACCGGGGTCCTTACCTGGACGGGTTCTTGCAGCACAGTCATCCTGCCCCGGCTCCCCCCTCAGGGACAGGCCCCGGATGAGGGAGGTGGGGAGAGGGCGCCCCCTCTCTCCTCTCCTCTCCCCCTCCTCCTCCTTCCTCCTGACAGACTCCGCCTCAGTGGGTGACGCGACGGCGGCGGCGGCCCGGACCCCGTCTCATTTAAACTGGTAGCGACCGTTAACCGGGCCGTGGAGGAGGGAAGCGAAAGGAAGGGAAGGCCCCGGCCCGTCAGGAGCCGAGTCTTCCCGAGCGGCAGGCGGAAACACCCGACGGCGTGGACCTCTTCCTCTCTTTCTCGAGCGGCGACGGAGAACGGCCCGAGCGGACCCGAAGGCCTGGAGCTCTCTCCGCTTCTTCCCGAGCGGCGACGGAAAGGAGCCGAACACACCAGTCTGATGCTCCGCCTCCTTCCCGAGCGGGTGACGGAAGGGGCTCCCGGACGTGCTCGAAGAGCAAACTTCCTTTTCCACGGCTCTTGACGGAAAGAGCCGAAAGAAAGCGAAAGCACGCGCGGCGTCGAATTGGCCGGCTCGGCGGAAATCATCCAAAACTTCACCCCGCTTCCTCTCGGCTGTTGACGGAAAGAGCCGAAGCGGCCCGAAACAGTCCTTGATTTGAGGCGAGAGGGGTGACCTCCATCATGAAACTTATTCTCAAGTATTATCAGCTCAGAATTTGGGAAGAATATACTGTGGGGGAAGTTCATACCTGGAATAGACGAGAAGCTGGCTGCTCTCTGAGATTTGTGTACTCACTGATTTTGTTTTTAAGGGAAATATTTCCTTTGACCTCTTAAAGAAATATTTCCCCAGATTTCCTTAAAAGTAAACAAAAACAAAAAAACCTCAACACTGATGAAAGTATGGAGAATTTCTGCTGAAGCCTCTGAATCTTCTTTAAATTTTTTAAAATAAAATTTATTTTTGCAGGAATAACTTTATAAAGGACTGAACTGCAAACAGCTCAAGCCAGAGTACGCTACATATGTAGGTGCATGGTGTTTCAAAATACAGTGTGAAATCAGAGGACAAAATTGCAGCTTATTCTTGGAGCAAAGAGATGGGCAGCAATTCTTCCATCTGGGCTAGTGGGCTTGATCCCTGTCTGTTTCAGTTGCCCTATATATATGTACATGGGTCCCTTGTATCTAGTAATAGATATAAGGTTGGGAGGTGTGTGTGCTTTTTAAAAAAAACAGCTGCCTTGATCGGTACGTAACATCAGGAAAAGTACATATTAATAAATAGTTCCCCTCCAGAACAGTGTCTTATTGTGGGTGTATTCTGAAACGTGTTCTTTACATAATAATAGTGCAATAGTGCTGGGTATATTAGTTGTTCTGTGTTGCTTCCCCAATGAAAAGTTATGGGATTTCACACACACACACAAATACTGTGGTACCTCGGGTTACATACGCTTCAGGTTACAGACTCCGCTAACCCAGAAATAGTACCTCGGGTTAAGAACTTTTCTTCAGGATGAGAACAGAAATCATGCTCCGGCGGTGCGGCAGCAGTGGGAGGACCCATTAGCTAAAGTGGTGCTTCAGGTTAAGAACAGTTTCAGGTTAAGTACGGACCTCTGGAAAGAATTAAGTACTTAACCCAAGGTACCACTGTAAATTGCAGGAAACGAAGCAGCATAACTGACTGCCCCATCACTTTTACAGTGCAAATAGTGTTGAAAGTGCAGTCACATATGGCTGCCCTGACAGCATCATAAAAGGGCTATCCAGAAGGGCCCTTAATCTGTGTTGGCAAAGAGTGCTGAACAAGGAGATTTGTACAGTCAGCATTCTCTCCCTGTTTCTATCTAAACTTGAATTGTGGATCAGACATGGATCAGACACTTCTAGGAACCAAACTTGGCCTTGCTAGCCTCCTCCGCCCCCTTTCTTCATCTCTTCCCGTTCCCTGGACTGCATGGATGATGCCACCATCCAAACCATCTTTGGTATGGCGTGCTTTCTTAATCTTAGGCAGCAGGACTGCCACCATCAGCTCTCCTTGGGCAAGGATGCTATTTTTACCTCACTTCAACCCCCCTGAGCCATACCCCACCCTGGGAGCCGGGGAAGAAAACTTTAAAAGGAAGCAGCCAGGCACTGGCCATTGTCCTGGGAGGATTCACCTAGATTAAATTTCTATTTATATAGACCTTCTCCAGCAGTGGTGGGTGGTTATGACGAAAGGGAGAACAGCTGGTGTCAACCAAAGCTTTTTATAAAACACACTGTGTGTTTCTAAGACCACCTATCTTCTGGGAGAAGCTGTGTCCTTAGCAGGCCAGGCAAGAGGTGCAATTCTGGGGTAGCCGCAAAGCCATTCAGGTGCAGGGCCTAGGCATTGTTGGGTACCCAAGGAGGGGCCCAACACCACTCTCTGGAGATCTCCAGCCCTCAGCCTCTTTGCTCCTGCTGCCTGTGTTCACCTCTGAGCATGTCAGCAATGACAAGAGTGAGGAGGCAAAGCATCTCTCCCTCTGGGTGGTATAGATTGGACATAGAGGAGCAGCACAAGTGAGTGGTCAGCAGTGTCTTGGAGCGGGACCCTCAGAGGCTATTGAGGGCACCGTACCCAAGGCTCCCCCCAAAACCTAGAACCAGCACTGGTCAAGTGGTCCAATTTATATAGTCAAGGTAGTGGCACCACTAAAGTGACCTAATGCCCATGGAAGACCTTATCATAATGGAGTCATGACGATTGATGATTGGCATGTCTGCACCAATTTAACAAGAACAGACATTGTATTTTATCCCTACAAAAACAAAAGGCTCCAGATTCTCTTCTTAAAACACCATGATACTTAAATTGATTGTGTGTGCTGATTGTGTGTGGGGCGGAAAATATTGAAATTTCAAAAAAACTGTCCAGATGTATGCTGTAAAAATAAGTAATAAATTCACAGATGTAGTGCTTTAAAAAAAATAACCAAAGGTTCCCTATACACAATTAATTTTAATTGGAGTAAATATATGACTAGATGCAGCCGAGGCCCCAAAATCTGTAGCAGGTGAATGTTATACTGCCACCAGAAAAATACACTGTTTCATGTACAGAAACGTAATCCACTCATATTATACCAACACTGATATCTCCTGTCAGTAGTAATATCAATGTAATATTTGTAATGTAATATTAATGCACTAATATTAAAGTACTAATAATGGAGAATGGATGCCCCGCTGATGTTACTGATTTACTAGGTAAATTCTAAGTAGTATTAATTTTCTCTGCTACATTGTGCCTCTGCAGCAATAGCGCTGTGTCCTCTGGGATGCATCTCTCATCATGTGCACAGTGCAGTAAAAATGCCAGGCGAAAAAAAGGCAGCAAACCCAAAGATCACTGTCGCTCTGCATGATCTCAGAAATGTGCATCTGCCACCTATCCCTGCTCTTGCATTCCTTTCTTCCTGTGCTGACAGTTAAACCTGGTCCACCCCCCCTTCAAGTGTCATTATTTTCAGGTGGGGCTCAATCACATACTGTACTGTCAAATTCAGGTTGTGCAGTTATAGTTGGTTGGGAGGTTCCCCAAAAGACAGGACAGAAGCAGACGTAGAAAACCCACTGGGAACATAGCCGTCAACTTTTCCCTTTCCTTGTGAGGTATCCTATTTGGAATAAGGGAATTTCCCTTTAAAAAAGGGAAACGTTGACAGCTATGACTGGGAAGTGTGAGATAGCATTTGTTTAAGTATAATATTATCTAACCTATCCTGCAAGCAAATCAGAATTAATGCTCATTGAAAAGCCAGTTTTGTCAAATGTCCCTGCAAAAAGATCAGGATGAATGTTCAATGAACAGGTCATCTGGAAGCACCCACAGAGGTTTCCTCCTGTGTAAATAGGTAGAAGATTGCAGCCTTAATCACTTCTGTTCCTGTTATACCAGGTCAGGGCGAACACTAGTGTAGTTAAAAGTTTCCACAAATAAGGAGACACCAAGGGACCATGTATAGGACCACTCTTTTGCTTTTTGTGGCAGTGACATTCAGGAAGAAGGGGTCATCTTTCAAGTGATGGAGTGGCTTTTGGGGGGGGGAAATATGTATTGAGCTCACTGAAGTTCGAAATAAAATTTAGGCAAAAGTTAAACGGAAATGGTATCTGTGCGCGCAGACGTTTTAATTTCAATGGACCAAATGTAGCAGAAGGAAAGAAGAATGGACACAACCGAAATAATAAATAAAGGTTTAAAACTGATGCAGGAGCATGCATTCTTTATATACAGAGGCTGTTACACTGTGGAAATGGAGAGTCCCTCTTACATGCCTTGTGGCAAATGCAGCTCCTGGGCAACGTAGAGGTGTGCGGGATATGAGGTAAGAAATTCTTGCTGGATGGATTTTTCCCCCTCCTCCCAAGAACCTGGAAGGAAAGCAGACGATAATTTTAACGCAGTCAGGGGGAGCCAATATGGAAACCACATTTGCTATCCCTACAGGAACAGATTCTAGACATTACAAAAGCATGGATTAGCATGGCAAGAGATGTCTTCTCCAGAAACGGAGGCAAGAAAAATGCCAGCTGGGATTGATAAAAGGCACCTGTGGCTGTCACCGACACCTGTCTATTCAGGTGCAGAGTGAGCTTGTAACTGGATCAGAGGAGGAAATTTCCACCACATTTATCACAGTATCTTTATTTTACGGTTATCTTAATTTTGTTTGGATTCCAGTTTCAGCTTGTTTAATTTCACCCAGTCTTCACAGACCTTCAGCCATTTATTTAGAACTGAGAGAGCAGCTCCCAGTTGCTTAATTAAAGAAATAGAGCTGAATGCTCTCAACATATTGATGACACTGTACTCCAAAGTTCCTTGTGGCTTCATTAAGATATCATGCAGCATCCACAATAAAATGTTTTGCATTAACTCAGCGCCTCCCTCAGCTAGTAATCTTTCCAAATAACTTAACAAAAGTAATAAAACTTCACATGTGAGCTTAATTTATGAATTGCTGTGCCCTGGGCCATGTTCTAACTAAGATTTATAGGGGAGCCATCAACAGTACCTAAAATCTACATTACACTTTTCACATTTTCAGCACAGAAAGCAGTCTTGGTTTTTTCCATTGCTGATATTTGGACACAATGGTTGCAGTTAGGGATGTAAGACGACAGCGCTTTCCATTCCGACCTGCATTCATCACAAACAGCGCTGTTACCGTTCTGCTGCAGTTCAGTTTCTGCCGAATACTGTTACATAAGTTAAACAGTGGGCAGGGGGAGGAATATGTAACTACGGTATTTAAATAAGTTAGGGCTCATCCGCAGTTAAACTCCCCGCCTCCCGCACTTTCTAGACAGAGGTTTGCACTTTCCTGGTCTGGGTTGTTTTTTTTGGCCCCACCACTTTCCCCAGGAAAACCCGCTCTTTAAAGCTGAATCAGAACAAATGGCAATTCGGGTTTCCTGCAGAATTTTTTCAGCGGTAAAGAGCAGATTTTCATGGGGAAAGCGCCATGGCGAAGGTGCTCAGACATGGAGCTTTAAAGCACGGACCCGTGCCTAGAGATGTGGCACAAAAGGAAGTCTGGATGAGGCCTCACACAACTTGCAGCTGTTTTGATATAAATGGAATGATGTAAAAAAATAAAAGAGTCCTTAATTGTGTATTGTTTGCAGATTTGAAAAAGGCAACAATGATAATGTGAATGAGGATCAATTGTATTTACTTGACTGATTTTCATTTCTTTCATTTTTAAAATAGTTTTTATTGGAGATTTTATTGGGTTACAAAAGTATGTGCATTGTGTCTTATTTTCAGGTCATAGAGTCTTCTACATAACAGTTACATGCGATGTGGGACATTAATGCTGTATAAAGCTGGGGGAGAAGAGATGTGGATGTAGAGAGAGGGAGGAGAAGGTGTGTGGTAAACTTAACATTCATTTACTTAGTGTATGTGTGAGGTTTTTGTGTCGGCGTCACTTGGGTAGGTTCTTTTTCTATTCATTTATAAGTCTTCATTGGCAGTGGGGGAAGGAGCCCAGGGCATGGTTGGTTGCCTTTTGTTGACTGCAGACTGCAATAGTTTCTGCTAACTTTTCCATTTTTGTAGGAATTCTCCAACATCCCTAGTTGCAACACACACAGGTATCTGGGATGTTTCAAACAAGGAAAGGGGAAAAGGGACTCACTTTAAGGATTCCATCTTCAACCAGACATGATGTGCTTGACAAAAGCTGAGAACACACAACAAAGAGTTGTTAATTTTCATAAAATCAGAACCTTATGCATGTTCACTCAGAAGTGAGTCCTCCTGTCTTCAGTGACAGCCGACTCTTAGCTCCTTGCTGCCACTATTGCCTCACCACTGCCGCATAGAACAACCAGCACCACCAGAACAATTTTAAAGGTGTTCAGCACAAACCCCACAAGACTATTTGTTTGGAATTGGCAGGTTTTATGCACTCTGGAGAGGCCTTAGTGCCTAAAAATGCCATCCAATTCTGGGGGAAATAAAATATTTATGGCTTAAAAATAAATAAAAATCCCCATAATACCAAAACTTGGATTTTTTTTGAACTAGTATTCAGATCTAAACCCAAACTGAACAGTTCCCAAATCTGTCTGGACTGAATCAGGCTGTTTACTGAAGTGCCAAACTGAATTTTGCAGTCAGTCCAGTTTCCACCTCTATTTCATATTATCTGTGCAAGTCAATCAAGTTAAGCATCCAATGCAAAGCATGAGTAGTAATGTATTGCTCAGCGACTACTGGTCAAGTGCACATCATACAGCAGTAGCAGGAGTCCCAGAAGCGAAAGAAAAGTGTGGGCAGATCCAGAGTTTCCCGATAAGTGGAAGTTTTGTTTTGTGTTTCAAAAGAAAATGTGGGTTTGTCCTACCTTCGTAGTTGATGCAGCCATTGGCATCTTCTTGCCCTGCCATTAGCTGTTCTACTTCAGCCTCCGTCATCTTCTCCCCTAGGAGCGGAAATCAAACATCAAGCTTTGTTTCCCCCCTCCACACACAAAAATTGTTCTTCGAATAGACTAAGCTGCATCAAGCATTCTGCATATTAGCATCATGATCCAGGGATTTTTAGGAGCAGCAGAGGCTTCTGAATATTAGGGGAAACAGCTATAGCACCGTAGTAAAGCATATTCCCTGTGTGCAGAAGATCCCAGGTACAATCCTGACATCTGAAGTTAGATCTGGGATAGAATCAGTGTAAACCAGACATGTGCTGAACTACCAACTCCCGTCAGCCCCAGCAAGCACAGCCAATGGCCCTGGGTGATGGGGGCTGTAGTTCAGCAACATCAAGAAGGTCTTTAAACCAGGGGTGGTACTAGGCTTTATTTCAGCAGGGTCAAAGACCTGGTTTGGCACACCCACACACATTTCTGTACACCCACCCACAGACTTGGAGCCTCAGTTGCCCCCCTCTGGAGGCTTCCCCCAGGGCAAAACCCCGGATAGCCCCCCTGTGGTTATGGCTCTGTGTAAACAGTACTGAACTAGATGGACCAGTAGGTCTGACTCAGTAGAAACCAGCACCTCATGTTCCTGCTGTGCTCCCATGGGTACAGTGCCTAGTACACCAGCCAGCTGTGTATAGGGATTAATGTAGCAATCCCACATTACCCATTGGCAGTGAGAGCCAGTGTGGTGTAGTGGTGAAGAGCGGTGGACTCATAATCTGGTGAACCGGGTTCACTTTCCCACTCCTCCACATGCAGCTGCTGGGTGACCTTGGACTAGTCACACTTCTCTGAAGTCTCTCAGCCTCACTCACCTCACAGAGTGTTTATTGTAGGGGAGGAAGCGAAAGGAGATTGTTAGCCGCTTTGAGACTCCTTAAGGGGAGTGAAAGGCGGGATATCAAGTCCAAACTCTTCTCCTCTTCTGCTGCTGTCTATTGAGCTCAATAGAATGTGCGTTTTGCACAGCTGGCACTGCAGAACTCGTGTCCACACATGAATTGCATTCACCCAGTATCAGTGATGGGAGGAATGTTTGTGAGAAATGTTCCCCCACCCCTTCCTTTTCACCTTGAAGCAGGAGTGGGGAACTTGTGACCTTCCGGATGTGATCAGACTCCAGTTCCCATCAGCTCCTGCCACCATGACCCAATAATGGCCAGGCATGGCTTTGATCTACAGTTCCCATCATCACTGACCACTGATCCTGCTAGCTAAGAATGATGGGAGTTGTAGTCCCAAAACAGCTGAAGACAAGTTTGGAAAACATTGATCTAGTTCCTCTCCCATGCTTTAAAGGTAGGCAGAGATGGTATAGAGGATGCTGAGAGCATAAGCCAGGGGTGAGGAATCTTGGGCCCTCAGGATGTTGCTGAACTAAAACTCTCATTAGCCCCAGCAATCGTGGCCAATGGCCATGTCTGCAACTCTGAGGGGTAAACTACAGTTCCCAGGATTTGGGGGAGGGGCGGCAGGGGGGCACCAATGTGCTTCATTGAATGGTGTGTTTGCCCTCTTACTCTCCCTAAAGTAAATGTATGTGTGATTTGGGAGAGGTTATTCCCTAAGATAGATGGACCACATAAGATAGAAGGCTGAGGCCTGCTAAAGCAGAATACCTTCCACCATCTCCTTCCACCATCATGCCACAAATTTTATGACTTCCTCTACCTAAAGTAGCAAGGACATGGCGCAGTTCAGCCCCCATGACGGTGCCATTCCCTTCCTTGTCGAAGACGCGCAGCCCTTCCACAAAGTCCTCATAAGTCCCCTGGTCCTTGGATCGGGCAATGTGCTGCAGCATTGGGAGGAAGGTTTCAAAATCCAGCATCTTCGCGCCCAATTCTGATGAGGAAGAACACAGAGATGAAAGATGGTGGGCGCAGCCTTCATAATAGGCCATTTGCAACAAACCACAGCACACAACTGAGGGATGAGCTTGAGTGCACCCTTCTCCTGCTCCCTCCTTCCTTCCCTCCATCTTCCTTTCATAAACTTGGCTGCCTCCCTAGTTGCTTAAACCACAATTCCTTGAAATATCTGAACTGCGGGTTCAAGGATGTGCTCCCTACAAATCAAGAATGCTAACCAGGATCTGATTTGGGAGAAGCGCAAATTTCAAGTTTAACCCAGGCCAAGAGAAACAGCGCTTGAGCATTGCTTATATTAATTATTATTATTATCATCATCATCATCATTAGCTGCCTATCTGGGCAGCTCCCAACAGAATATTAAAACAACAACTGAACCCCATATGTGTAATTTTAAGCTGTAATTTTGAGGAAAATTTGGAAGCTGAAAAGGGCCAGATGCATCTTATTTTGTAAACTTGCCTTCGGGTGTTGGTTTCCCCAGCACCTTTAAGACCTCTGCGTTGGTTGGGTTCTGTCCCAGGGCTCGCATGACATCGCCACACTGGCTGTATGTAATCTTCATCTCGCCCGTTGGAGTCCTGTCAAACAGCATGAAGGCCTCTTTGAACTCTGCGCAAAAGAAGGGACCAAGTTACCGGTAGTTCTTTGCACAATGTCAGGAAAATATACCCATGATGCCCTAGAGATCCCACCCTAGGTCTGAGGAGCAGCAGAAGAATTACTTTTAAACATGAAGAGTCTGAGAATTATTTTTTTACATACTCTTAACGGTGATTGGGGAAGGTTTTTTGTTTTTTGTTTAGAGCCATTCTGGTCTATTTTTCCAGCTCCGCAAAAGGAAGAATATACTGTACCACAGCAGTCCTATTCAAGAGTTTTGCCTCCATCGCATGAGGGAAAGCCCAGAGTTGCACTCATGAGCCTTGTCCCCCTCTCATATTACTGTTGCCCTTCTGCGCCACAGTCCACACAAATCGTTGATAGAAGGTCTGAAGAGGGGAGTCTGCTCAACCTATATAAGCTTCCCATGTGGTCTAGAACCCTTGATCATGCAAGGGGAGCCTATACAGTTCTCTCTCAACTCTGAGCTCACTGGGCAATATAAATATTGGGTGCACCCCTCAGAAAGTGAAGCTTTTTCTCAAACCATTTTAAATCACCTTTACAAATATTCAGAGTCACCAACTACCTTCCCTGGCACAGCCCTGGGCAGGCCATAGGATCCCTGGTTTTCAACAGCAGTTAGCAGCCAAATGACCCGCTAGTGATGCTTTAAAAAAAATAAAATTGCTGAACGTCTCCACTATTTTAAACAGACAGCAGCTGTGCACCCCCAACCTGGATCCCCCTGCCAGGTTCACTGCTGAGAATTGCTCGCTCCCTGGCTGCTATTTGCCCCAGAAGGAGAAGCTTGCAGTAATCTGTATCTTCATCAACAGGCAGTAGAGTAGTAAGGGCTGTAGAGTTATTTCCTGCAGAAACTAATTTGCCACAGGAGTTGTGTTTTCAACGTTTTTCTGTACACTGCTAAGAAATGCTAATGTAAATGCCTTAAATAAGAGCTGCGAGTTTGAGCAAACTTATTTAAAAGGTGTTGTTTTGCCTAAATTAGCATTAGGTTTTGGCCCAAGGTTACAACCCAGTGACCTCCTATTTACCTTTCAAGAGGGGTGTATCTGGAAAAATAAAGATTGGTTTGTTTTTATATGTGATGGGTTTCAGCTTCTCAACTTGCTGCAAGATCCTCTCTTTATCCCTTAATTCTGCTAGCCGAGTGACAATAGCCCTGCACAGATCTGCTTTTGCCGCCTTCTGCCGTTTGGCGGAAACCCTGTAGGCTCTTTCCACCACAATGGGGTCATCTCTGGTGTCTAACTTCAGGATACCCGGCAACCACTCCTCCAGGAAGGCTACCAGGTCCTGGCCCTCTTCTTCCTCTGGCAAGCCACAGATCCTGAGGATATGGGGCTGCACTTGGTCCTCGATCTTCTGCACCCGGTCGCTGAGGCGTCTGTTCTCGCCAACCAGGGACCCAATGTCCCGGTGGCAGTCCTGTACCTTTGCTTGCTCGTTCTTAATTGTGAAGCTCGTTGCTGTGGCTGACCGGATCAGGCTTTGGATCAGCCCTTCCAGGGTGTCCATACGTGAATTCAAAGCTAAGATCTTACTATCAAAGGCCTTCACTGCCTCTATGGTTTGCTCCATCGTTTTCTTGATCTCCAGCAACACCTCTTTCATGGAGGTGTCTCCACTGTTGAAAGAGGTCAAGGGCTCAGCACCAGTGTGCAGCGCTGGAGACATGGAGGCCCAAGAGGCATCATTTTGAAACCTATGGAAATCTTCAGGCCTATTCACCGGCGGAGTTAGCTTGTTATTCTGCATTTTAATGCCAGGTGCAGCAGTGCGATGGCTGCCACATATGAGGAGGTCTCCTGTGACATCACAATGACCCTTCCTGAACCTAGGGATTCATGCTGTGCTGAACTTTAGGTGTGCATGGGTCCTGCTGCTGCGTCTTTCTGACTTCTCGAAAAAAAGGGAACTCTCAACATGACAGTTCCTATGGATCTTAACAGAGGGATGGGGAACCTATAGACACTGTTGGACTCCCATCAGCCCCAGGCCACTGCTGTGTAAATTCTCAAGGTCTTCTCTACAGTTTCACTGCTTTCCCCAATGTGCTCTATTGGTCACCGCTGTTGATCAAGGTATAAGGATGGGGGCGAGAGTGAAATCAGATGCTCGATATAGATATAATCGATGGTATCTAACACCAAGTAAATTGGCAAAAATGTATAAATCTAAATCAAATAAGTGTTGTAAATGTAAAGAGAAAGAAGGTTCTTTTTATCATACGTGGTGGTCTAGTAGTAAGGTTAAAGCTTACTGGGAAATGATATATACAGTGGTACCTCGAGTTACATACGCTTTAGGTTACATACGCTTCAGGTTACAGACTCCTCTAACCCAGAAATAGTACCTCGCGTTAAGAACTTTCAGGATGAGAACAGAAATCATGCTCCGGCGGTGCGGCGGCAGTGGGAGGCCCCATTAGCTAAAGTGGTGCTTCAGGTTAAGAACAGTTTCAGGTTAAGAACAGACCTCTGGAACGAATTAAGTACATAACCAGAGGTACCACTGTAATGAATTGAAAAGGATGTTTAAAATAACGTTTGTAAAAACAAAACAAAGCAAAACCCAGAAGCTTTTTCTTTTGGGAATTATAGGGGCAGAACTACTTAAATTGTATAGAAACTTATTCATGTATGCTACTACAGTGGCAAGAACATTACTCGCCCAAAAATGGAAAGAAGTCATCCCAGCAAAGGAAGAATGGATACTAAAACTCATGGAATATGCAGAAATGGCAGAAATTACCAGAAGAATTAAGAAAACAACAAACTTTTTATAAAAGAATGAAAATAGTTTATTGAATATTTGCAGATAAATTGTAAACAGGTAAGAGTATTGGCAGGATTATCATAATAATCCGCAGTTTTCTAAGCGTATATATATATATATATATATGTGTGTGTGTGTGTGTGTGTGTGTGTGTGTAGATGAATAGGTAAAGGTAAAGGGACCCCTCACCATTAGGTCCAGTCATGGCCGACTCTTGGATTGCGGCACTCATCTCGCTTTACTGGCCGAGGGAGCTGGCGTACAGCTTCCGGGTCATGTGGCCAGCATGACTAAGCCGCTTCTGGCGAACCAGAGCAGCGCACAGAAATGGCATTTACTTTCCGCCGGAGCGGTACCTATTAATCTACTTGCACTTTGACGTGCTTTCAAACTGCTAGATTGGCAGGAGCAGGGACCAAGCAACAGGAGCTTACCCCGTCGCAGGGATTCGAACTGCTGACCTTCTGGTTTAACCCACAGCGCCACCCACGTCCCTTAGTAGATGAATAAATTAGCTAATTAAGTTAATTTGGATAAGCAGAAGACATTAAAAACAAATTTAAGGAACCACAGAATGGGGGAAGGAAGTCAAGTTTTGAAATGTTAAAATGATTGTAAAATTAGTGAAACATATAAACCTGAAAAGCATAAATATATATTTATATTTTTAAAAAGAGTGAAATCAGATTATGAAGCCTGCAAAGTCGGGATGGGAAATTGGTAGCCCTTGAGCTCTTAGCAGCCCCAGCCAGCACGGTCAATAGCCTGGGATGACAGGAATTAGACCCCAGAAATACCTGGAAGACGCAGGTTTCCCTGTCTTAACAGACAAATTGTCTCACACAGAGACAAAGGGTTGTATTCAACATAGTGCCAAGGTGAATGTTCTGTTCCGGAATGTTCTCTCCCCGCCCCCTCCAGCCATGTGTCCCCTAAATGTGTTCTGGGTTCCCCCATCCCAATGCTCTGGAGATGATTTTGGGATGGCATGAGGCATGTTCAGGGGGAATAGAGGGGGAGAAATCCCTTTGTGCTAGTACTAATCCTTGTGGTAGCACGAAAAGTTAAATACCATTCATACTCGTTAAGCCAAAGGCATGCTGGGGCCTAATGCATACAGGCGTAATAACCTGTCTGTTCCCCCACCGTGTGGCATTTGGCAAAGTAGCACCAAGCTTAAGGCAGAGAGAGAGAGGGAAGTTTGGAAGGCATGCAGCCACAGAGACTACAGTATATGTAGGCACTACAGTGCTATCTCTAGTTACGAACTTTCGCTAATGGGGCCTCTTGCTGCTGCTGCACCACAGGCACACAATTTCCGTTCTCATCCTGGGGCAAAGTTCTCAACTCAAGGTAACTCTTCCAGGTTAGCGGAGTTTGTAACCTAAAGCGTTTGTAACTCAAGGTACCACTGCACAGCTTATTGTTACAAGCCACCCCAATCTCTGCCAAATGGTAGCAAGATTCCAGGCATCTTGGCAATTAACCAGTATTTGTGTTCGTTTGGAATGAGGCACAGCAGTAGGGTTGCCATATGTCTGGAATTTCCTGGACATAGCCGGAATACTGTAGTTGTTAGTGTCTGGGTGGAAATCTCCAGGGAAATCCAGACACATGGCAACCCATGTCGGAAGTCTAGATTTTGCTGAATGCCCTTAAAAATAGCTCAGAAACTTGTAGTTTAATGGTGAATTTTGGATATAATGGAGATGTAAAAGATTTGGATTATTATAAAAGATGCAGGAGGAAATGACCCACAATAGGACTCACAAAGGGAAAGAGGGAAGTCTAGGAGATTCTCTGGAATCTTTTTTCCTATATGTTGGATATGTGATTGTAAAACTTTAATTTGAAAAACATAATAAATAATAAAAAAGATTTAAAACTTCTGGGGTTTTTTAGATGTATCCAGACCTTCACTTTTTGAAATATGGCAACCCTACACAACGGAGACTGTAGTGTCTTTAAGAAATTCGGTTTATTCACACATATTTACACCAGAGTTTTATGGAGGGAGAGTTCACAGCATTTACATCTCCAGAGGGTCTTGTCCTCTGCAGCAGCACAGCATTGGATTCTGTGGCATCCTAAACACCATCCTCCTGTCTCTCTGTGACAGCTTGCTGTAGCCAGCCAGCAGGTCTGCTGCCTCCTAAGGAAGCTAGCCAGTATTCTTTCCAACCTCTGCTAAATTCATGAATTTACGAGTTTGCTCAAATTCTAAACCTTCACCGAATGGTGAGTGGGGGTGGGGTTGTCCTGCCTCCCCAAACATATAGAGCGACTATCTATGGATTTAAACACCCCCCCACACACCCCAGTGCCTACCTTCAATCTGTTCAGAATTGAATTCAATCTGCAAAAGAAAGAAAAAGCCAGCAGTTAATGATTTGCTTTAACCACAGCTTTTGCAAACGCACACACACAACCTGCGATGGCTGCAGGAGTCAGTTATATATGCTTGGGTTTAATGTGGTTTGTAGACTTTGGGATATCTGGAGGCTTTCGGTTCATAGGCAGGACTATTTAGTTGTGGAAGAAATTCAAAGACTATTTAGTTAAATATGTTCAGATAACTTAAATAGAATTACTTGCGAGTATCAGATTGGCCTAGGATTTAAATATGTGATGTCGTAGAATACTATGGATAAAAAGTAAAATGAAAGAAAGAAAGATGTTAATGAACTAGGTAAATTTTATGTGAACTCAGTTTTGGAAAACTGCTACAATTATTTATATGGAAACTCAGCCAGGGGGATTTGAGGAAGTCACTTAATGATAACAAAAGTGGAATTTCTACAGTCAGGATATATGTTTGTTTGTTTGTTTGTCTTTTTTTGATGTCTTCTTTTTATGTTTGTAGATATGTTTGTTATAAATTTGGAAAACTAATAAAAAAATGGGGGGGGGAGACTATTTAGTTGTGGATCAGTTACACTTTTAAACAACCTCTCATACCCTCAGGTAGTTAGTGAGTGTAAAAGGCTGGATTGCTCCCTCCTCCCCCTGCCAAACTATACTTTCACTGCACTCCTGATGGAGTATTCCATTCTGTGCATGTGCACAAAACGAGTGGAAGGAAGCCAATTCTGGATGAACAGAAATGCTAGTTTGTTTTCAACCTCGTTGTCCCTCATACCTGGAAATGATTTCCGGAACAGGCACACAATGGCAGCTTCCAGACCACCTGTTGACTGAGGATTCGTCCCGAGTGCAAAGCTTCTTGCAGTTTGGGTTAGATGCTAACATTTTCCTGACATGGTAACTGGGCCAGCCCATAGGATCACACTCTTTCTGTGGGGCCACCTTTCTGTTTCTTTCAACTCCCTGCCTGCCATCTTCCCAACAACCAATCCAGGGGAATGCACTAGTTTGTTGGCTTCCTCCTCCATTTCTGTGTTGCCCTTGTAGAACTCAGCAGGGAAGAGAAGGGACTCTGCCTGTCATTGGCTCTGCCTCCACTTCTTCTTGGTGTCACAGCCTTCCAGCCTACCAGTTCCAATGGCCACCAGTTGTGTGTGTGTGTGTGTGTGTGTGTGTGAGAGAGAGAGAGAGAGAGAGAGAGAGAGAGAGAGAGAGAGATTTCTAGACATCCTCCCAAGGTCAAAGTGTCAAGTGGCTAAACCAGTTCCATACTGATTTGATGCTATTAATAACCCTCTCCAGCTAGGAGAGGCTATCTTGAAAAGAACAGGGACGGTATCAAAGGAAAGGAGAGGAATGGAAAAAATTCCCTCCCTGCATGATAACTGAAGAGACAAAGGGCTGATGTTGTTCGTTTGCTGGGCGGGTGGTGGCATAAGGCAGATTATAGAGAGGAATGGGCATGGAACCCATCTGCATTCATGAAGGGTATGCCTGTCCACAGCTATGACAAATGGAACCTCCATTTGGAGAGGCAGTATATCTTGTTAAGTAATTTGTGTAGCATAGTCACAGGCTGAAGTTGCACCTGGATATTTCTCACACTAAATATATACATTACACATTTTTAAACACTAGTGCATACACATCTATTTTATCTTAGTTTTCCTTATGTGTGCACTGCTGGCATTTAAGTGATGTACGCACACACACATGTTCACACGTTATGTGTTTCCTGCAGGGAGTTAAGTGCATCTAGGCAATTTTAGACCCTGGGCATTTCTTCAAGTAGGAAGAAACATTTAACATTTATTTTCTCTATGTGTCTCCTTCCTCTCCCAACACTTTCAACATTCCTGATACGTTAGGGGAGGGGGACCTCAAAACATTTGCCAATCCTGACCAGAAGAAGAAGAAAAAATTCTCTGAGCATGTTCAGTTTCAAGCGTTAAACTCAGTAAAATCGCAGCACCCCCCTGACTACATGAATAAAAATGGAGTTTGCTTTCGATGCCTTGAACCTAAGCACATAGACTTGGGGATAAGCACCAGTAAAGGAATATATATAATATAGAGTAAAAAAAATAAAATGGGTATCTGCCACAGTGTGTATATCTAAATGATTTTGCAAATAGGAGCGAAAGGATGTTGCTGCGACCAGCGTCAGTCCCACTTGCTGGCCAAGAGGGTGACATGGTGACTGTTTGCTGCTGCCCCATTGTCTGCCGCTCTCTAGGCGGTCATTCAGTGGGGGCCTGGGCTGTGGACTGCTGCCCTTGAGCACTGAGGTCCAGCCCCATGGCACCATTGTTCAAAGGCATCTCCTCCTATGCCCATGTATTCGCCAAACCTTTATTCCTTTTTAACATCTCCCAACCTCCGCTTCTCTAGGGCTGCAATCCCATGCACATTTCCCTGGAAGAAAGCCACATTTGAATTCAGTGGGGCTGAGTTTTGGGGAGGCACATGTAGATTTGCACTATGAATCTTTTTTCTCGTGCTCTATGCCTGCTTCTTCTTGTTGATCGTCTCTGCTGGCCTTGACCCAAACCCATCTTTCTGCCACTGGGCTTTGAAACCATAGCCTGTTTCCCTTCCTCCTTCCACAGTAGCTCCCTGTTGCTCTGATTTTACTTTAAATTTTAAAAAAATATTTAATACATTGATACTCTGTGTTTCAAGACAAGTCTTCCCAAAGCAGTTTACTTACAATCGCGTATCAGCATAGAATAAAATACTGTGCTATAAAAACCTTGTGAATTAATGATAGGACAAAGAGCACCAGAAAGCCTAGAAGCCAGCATTATGCCAGCAAAATATAAAATGTACCAAACTCAGGCCAAAAATTGTATGTACAACACATACTTAGGGCCAGGTCTCAGCAACAAAAACAGGCTCAACAACTGCCAGTGAACCCTTGTACCCTTGAGATTTTATATGAGCGTTTTAGAATGAAGACACAAATGGACATTCTGCATGAACTACAAAGCTCTCCCTCTCTTATCTCCCTGCCCCACATAATATTGTCACTGGCTTCTGTGTCTCTTTCCTCCTCCTCGTTTCCTCTCTATGCTGTTGCCTATTCCCATAATGGTCTCTCCCTGTCACCTCTTAAAGCCTCATCCCTCAAGTCAATTCAGCAAAACTCCTGCGATCTATTGTGGTCTCATCTCACCTGGTCCTTTGCTGCCAGTTCACTCTCCTCTACTGTGCCCTCATGACTCATTGCTGTCTTCTCCCCTTGACTACCGGAGAGCCCATAGCTCAGTGGTAGAGCCTCTGTTTTGCATACAGAAGGTTCCAGGTTCAATCCCCAGCATCTCTGGGTATGGCAGGGAGAGGCACCCTGTCTGAAACTCTGGAAAGTCAGTCTCTCTACTCAGTCTAAATAATACTGGTCCAATGATCTGAGTAGAAGTTAGCAGCTTCCTGTCTTTCTACGTCTCTAGGTGTGGGATTCCTAAGGCTTGTACAACATCCAGCATGCTATTTAAACCAATGTTATGTGAAGCAGAAGGAGCAGCAGTTTGGATGGGATGAGGCAAGGCCTTTGGGGCAGACGCAGATATAGGAACTGGGGGGAACCGCTGAAAGGTTTCGGTTGTGGTGAGGTGTCTTGTTGCACTCTCTCTATATAGGAAAATGCAAAATTTATCACAATAGGTGCCCAGCTTTGTGCATTCAGGGCCTGAAAAACACTTGAGCCACACTTCACACCAACATCAGAAAGCCAATTTGCTCTTACGCAGAAATGCTATACTTGCAGGAACGTACTAATGTGTTCAGAATGAACAGTGCCATTCTGCAGAGGGAATCTGCAGATATCCTATCAACTTTAAAAAACGGGGAGATTTTCAGGGCTGCAAATAAAACCAAGGGTTTGTGTGTATGTGTTGAACACAGTTTGAAAGAGCGATTGTTGACTTGTGGTGTGAATTCTCATTCCACTTTCACCTCTGGTAAATAGGCTTAGTAGGATTTTGTACTGTTTCAAAAACCTGCAGAACTCATTTGACAAGTGGCGGTGATGGGACAAAAGAAATAAGCGTTACATCCTAGGATGTGAAAGCTCCCTCAAATGTTTTTCAACTCTAAAAAACAAACCATCAGCTCTCTCCAGCCCAAGAAACCTGTTTTACTGATTAATGGCAATATTAATATTTCCATTCATTCAAATCTTATTCTACAGCTATGAGAAAAACATTAAGAGGCTTCATAGAGTTATTTGGAGCCTAAACAGTAGATTCAAACCTTTACTATTCTACTCCACTTGTAACTTCCAACACAGACCTGAGCACTTGCAAGCAACAAAGCAAAGGTTTCGGAAGAATTTGGGGCTTTTGTCAAGCACCTCATATTTAGTGACCTTTAAAACTAAGTTACAGAGGAGTTAAGATTTTGCAGTAAGGTTTCTTTCAATCTCGCCATTCATCTTCTGCGAAGTAGATTTAAATGCCCTTGAAGAGAAGCTGTCTTGCAAAGTAAGTGGGTAAGCTGAGCTCTTGCAAAGCTTATATTATTTAATGCAGAAGTAAGATGTTTGAAGTCTTACTGTTGGAAACTGCCCAGAGTGGCTGGGGTAACCCAGTAAGATGGGCGGCATATAAATATTATTATTATTATTATTATTATTATTATTATTATGGAGTTAAGAAACAAACATTTTGTGGCAAATGAGATGCAACTAATTTGGGAATGGAGGTAGGAAGAAGAAAAGCAAGCAAGCAAATTGGCGTCTAGCGGACCAGCTTTCAAAACAGTCTACCGTTAGATTACTCTTAGAATTGTAGCACTGTTGAGTTGGAAGGCACCCAAAGGATCATCTAGTATAAACCTCCTGCAATGCAGGAACCACAGCTACCTTGAAATGGCTTCTACCATTTGGAATCAGCAGGTCTGGGAAACAAGGCTGAGATTCAGTAATTACGCCATGGGGGCCATTGGATGAGTCTGTGCGACGACAAGGGATCTGATCACAGGCCTTGAATCCCAAGCCTGTAAGAAAGGGAATTACTGGGCACCTCCCTGTTACTTACCTTCACACTCTTGGGGTCGAAAGCAGGCTCTTTTGGTGGTTCTGGGGCAGGAGCCGGAGCAGGAGCCGGAGCCGGCTTGGCAGCCTCTTTCTTGGGTTCTGGCTTTTTGGGGGCCATGGCTTCGGTTCACTTGTGGCACGAGCTGGGATGAGCAGCACGGTGGGGAGGCAGAGGGCCGAGGAACAAAAGGCGACCCTGGCTCCCACTGCTTATATACTGAGCTGGCGGGTCTCGCACCAGAGGGGTGGGCAGAGCTGCAAGGGCAACTGCTGTTTACTATAAAAGGAAGGTGCTCCCAAAAAAGCAGCCCCCACCCTCCCCACTCAACAATTGTCCTTTGTCATCAGCACATAGTGCAAAGACCTGGAGTCACCAGCACCAAGGTCCTCCGGCCGCACAAGGCGGCTTTTGTGCACCTGGGCTGGGAAGGGTTCGGAACGCCTGCAGTTATTTTAGGAAAATAAAGGGTTGCCCCAGAGGCTCTCTATAGGGAAAAAAGCAGCAGCTTTGCTGATCAAACTGCCCCAATACTCAAGGGGGGACAAAGTGTGCCTTTTTATAGGCAAGCCGACGAGTGCAAATGCCACAGATTCCTTTTAAGTGCCGCATTTACTTCCCGACACTTTCCCAGAGGAATAGGCTTCAGACCTGCAGATACGTTTCTAAACTGACTGGCTGATCCAGCTGCATAGCCTTACTTGGTTCTCCCCCCTTTCCTTTTATCATCATTAGCACTTCTTTTTTTTGCGTCTTATCTTTCCTCCAAGGAGCAGTGGCGCAGCTAGGCAATTCTAGACGTTGTAATGGCATTACTTGCATACACACACACACACTTCAAATGGCAATGTGCTTTGCCTGCACCAGCAGGGGGTGGACCACTAGATTATCTTTGAGCTTCCTTCCAATGTTATGAGTCCACTTCAGGATTCAGTAAGCCAGCACTGCTATGGGGTAGTTGGGGGGAGGCTACCGGTTCTTCTGTTGAGTGCAGCCCTGGATTTCAACCCACAAAGGCATGCCCTGGTGGCATCGTTGTCAAAGAGCCCAGGATGGCATGCACTGAAATAATCTTGTTTTATCCTCAGAACAACGCTATCGAGCAGGATAAGCTGAGAACCTGTGGTTTGCTGAAAGGCAGCTTGCGTGCTTCAGGGCTGAGCGAAAATTTCAATCCCAGTCCAGATTCTGTGCATTGTGTGTGCGCGTCTATGTCACACCGTGGCTTTCAGCTTCGCCTTCATGTCTCCCTTTCTTCCTCCCCAGTTTTCACATGTGCTGTTTTTTTTCTGAGCCTCCTCCACCACTGCACAATCCACAAGCCAGATGGGAATATGCACAAAAGTGCAATGGACCAGCAACCTATCCTACTGTACTGGAGCACATTTGGAACACAATTATTCAGAGGCATATATACTTGTAGTGATCTCACCTCTCTGGTCCTTATGTACACAAAATGGCACCGCACACACACATCAGCAGGAGGTACCAGAGTGAAGACTGGGTGGTGGGCATGCTCAGTGACCACAGAATGCTGAACAGCTGTTGGCGGAACGGAGTATTCTAAATGCTGATCAGCTTGGGATTGGAATGAAATGGAGTATCCTGCACAGAAGCACTCCAGACTATAATTTACTTATTTTTTTGCAAGCCCCCAGTTGTAATTTCTGAATTAAATTATGTTGTCCTTTGGATGTGCAGACTTCTATACATTTCTATTGACTAGTTAGCATCATGCTTATTTTCTACCTAACCTGTGATACTTAGGAGATGCTCTGTGGTAACTTCAAGTGGCAAAGATTTGTTCTTTTGCGAAATTTGATTATGGCACGGGGAATGGCAACAAAGCAGTCTACAAATCACTGGAACACTGCCCTTCCCCCATGGAAATCCTATAGAGCAGGCACCCCTAAACTTGGCCCTCCAGCTGTTTTGGGACTACAATTCCCATCATCCCAGACCACTGGTCCTGTTAGCTAGGGATGATGGGAGTTGTAGTCCCAAAACAGCTGGAGGGCCAAGTTTGAGGATGCCTGCTGTAAAGCTTCTTCCTCCCCACCCCCACCCCCAGAAATTGGACTGGTGATTAGTTCATGGATCATCATCTACCTTCTGTCCCCCCCTGTGACTGGTGTTGGAAAAATTCACCTGTGTGTGTTCATTTCAAGCCACGACAGGGTGGGGTGGAGATAAGCTCTCCGTATGGAGCACATCTCTCCCTGAGCCTGTCTTCCTGTTTCAGAAGTTGTGTCTAGGCACCACACTGGGCTGAGATTAAACAAACAGGGGCATTAATTTTATTCATAATTAAATGTCCACAGCCCCGAGGAACAGGATGGGATCAACACCTGGATTTCAGCCAATAAACCATGCCCCTATGCATTCTTTTACACCCCCATCCCACCATAATAATCCCCAGTGAAACTGCTAGACGACAGCTGGATAACTTCTTTGAGTGGCTCTTGGCTGGCCGGCCATCCGTCAGCTGTGTCCAGCAGCAGCTGAGGTTTGGCTTAGTGGCACAGTTTTCTCTCCATTGTCTGTAGCAAAAGCATGGGCTGAGAGAGCAGAAGTTGAGCATATAATTTCCTGTGCCAACAAACACTAACTCGCTTGTGCTGATTCCATGGAGCTGGGTTTCTAGTAGCTTGGAGAGAAGTCAGGAGTAGAGTACATCTGCCTGGCTTTCCCAGAAGGGACATATTAACCATTAGGTAAAGAAGAAAGTGCCACTGATTATTTAAAAGTGCTTTCTTAAAGGCGGTACTCAAGGATATGCAGTACTGGCACCTCTTTTTGTTGTTAAAAAGTGTGGCACTTAATGGAACAACTTCATGGTGAGTACCGGCACTTATTTTTATAGAAAAAAAAGCAGTGCGTGTATACACACACAGAGTACTTTTTTCTGGGGGGGGGGGACGCAGGGGTACACATACCCCTAAACATTTTGTGAATCTTTGTATTTTTGACCATTTACTGTATTTATTTCCCCCAATTTGAACTATAAATGGTGATTTTCTTGAGTCAAAATCAGAGTACCCCAACATTCTTTTTAGAAAAAAGCACTGTGTGTGTGTGTGTGTGTGTGTGTGTGTGTGTGTGTAATTAAGGACACATTCGCACCATATGTTTAAAGCATGTGATGCCACTTCATGGCTTCCCCCTCAAATAATTCTGGGAGCTGTAGTTTGTGAAGGGTGCTAGGAGTTGTTAGGAGACCCGTTTTCCCCTCACAAAGCTACTGTCCTCAGAGTGGTTGAACAATCCATACCTCTTCCCAGGCGAACTCTGGGAATTGTAGCTCTGTGAAGCAAATGGGGTTTACTAGAAATGGCATGCACCTCCATGGGCCCAGGTGCTGTTGGGGGCAATACGTACGACACTGGGCGCAGGGAGTGCCCAATGCTTTACCAAACCTCTTGGTCCTCCCTGTTTGTATGTGTGATTAGCATGAAGTCACAATTGTACCTAACCAGAAAGATGAGTGACATTTGCAGAAGGGAGGGGGAACCTGCGGCCCTCCAGATTTTGTTGGGTTACATGCCCATTGACCATGACGGCTGGGACTGATGGGTGCTGGACCCCGGCAATAACTGGAGGGCCGCAGACTGCTAATCCTTAGTTTGCAGGCATTAAATGCGATTCCACCCTTGTCCACATCCAAATACAGTACTTGGATCAGCAGAGGTGACCGTGGGGGCAAGGATGGAAAGACCTGTCTGTTCTGGTTCTAAGTTCTCATTTTCCCCATCTTAAATTCAGTTCTCCATGTTCCTGCAGCAATTTGCTATTTATTTATTTTTTAAATCCTCATGAGAAATATTTGGTATTTCAGCACAAATTTCTCCTTATAAACATACCTTTGTAGCTCTGACCAGTGCACACTTCCCCCGCCCAAACAATGTTTCCCAATACAATTCAATTTTGTATGTTCTTTTTCCCTCCAAACGTTTTCCTTTACCCCCTATGTTATGTACGGAAGTTCTCACCCTGGGCCAGCAAGGGGATACTGTAGATAGTTATGCAAATGAAGGATCGAAAGTGACGTTCAGTGATTGGCTAGTCACAGAAAATGGTTACTGTTGCATTCTAGTGGAGCTCTATATAAGCAGGCTGACTGAGCTCCTCAGTTCAGTTCTGTTCCAGCTTACAAATAAAGAGCTGCTTTGTAAGAATCGCTGTGTTGTCTGATATGTTTGCCCACAACTTAACACCCCAATACATGCATTTTTGTAAACAATGGTTGGAAAAGTGCATCACAAGACTAGGAGGACTATGAATTTGGAGGACTGCCCGTGTTTTGGTTGCCATGTTGTGTTGTGAAGTGTGGATTTGATAAATTCAGCTGTAAATACAAACAGGACAAACAGGAAAGCAGTGAAGCCACAGAGGAGGCTTTGCGAATTTGCATGAACCCAGCAGTTCCAACTGTCAGTATCTGCTTCAGTTTTGAAGCCTGTGCTTGGGCAGCTCAGCTCAGCAAGTGCTTGAGAAACTTGACGATTCTCTTGAGAGGTGCCAGAGTCAGAAATACCGGTACCTCTTGGGCTGATGCTAGACTCTTTCCACTTCAGGATATGCAGGACAAACGTAGCTTGTTTATAAGGCAGCTGAAAGGAGAGCTAATACAAGGACAATTGTGGAGGCAAGGTACACCTTGCCAATTTTTTTTTAAAAAAACACAGAGCTGAATCAGTACATGAATGTTTTTATAACGTCGTTCGACCTTGTGCCTTAGCAGTTGCAACAATTCTTGGGGACAGCACAGGGAAGAAGAGTCCCAAGGGCATAGCTAGAGTGGGGCATTTATGAGAGCTTCTCTTCTGGCAGACCCTCCAAGTCTATTTTCCATGGACAGTCCTCATTTACAGAAGCCATCCTGGCTTCTGGTTTGGTTCCAGAATGTCCCACTGTTCCCAATCACGTCCCTATTTTCATCAGATAAATGTTGGAGGGTACAGAGTTATGTCATCCCGAGCCAAGGAGATTAGAAGACATCTGAAGGCAACCCTGTGTTGGGAAGTTTTTTTAAAATGTTTAATTATGTTTTTATATAGTATATGTTGGAAGCTACCCAGAGTGGCTGGGGCAACCCAGTCAGATGGGCAGGGTATAAGGATTAAAATTATTATTATGGAATAGGACGCCCCTATTTTCATCAAAGAAATGTGGGAGGGTATGTCTTTCGGGGGTCTGAGCTAGAGACACCACTCATGCAATAAGGAACTGTGTGAATGGCTTTTCTATAGCAAACAGCAGTTATGGCAGCCTAATCCGGTTTCAGGCAGTGCACAGCCTGCAGGCGCCCAAACCACCACGTCACTCCCAGGAGACATGTGCGGCTTGGGCACGCTGCAGGCCTGGCACTAAGTGCCGGTCCCCGTGGTGTGGCGCGGTGCCCAGTGCCAGTCGCGTTTAGCTATGTTTGTTGACTGAACTAAAAAGTTTCATGAGCCCAATTTTTATTTTTTAAAACTCATTTTGTCATTTTGTCAACCCCCCCCCCCCAGTGATGACACCCCCTGCACTCCCCTTCCTCCGCCACTGGGAGGAAACTTTTCCTGCTTCCTTGTGTTACCATCTAGAGACTGTTGCCCTCCCCCCCCCCCCGTCATTCATGTTGTTGAAAGAAACATGTCCTCAACCCCTGGCCTACCTAGCAGCAAGTAAATATGCCAGGTCCAGAGGTCAATCCACACAAGCAAAGTCCAGAGGTCAGGAAACACAGTCCAAGTTCAAGCCTGAAGTCCAGCAGTCAAGATACAGTCCAGAATCAAACCCAAAGCACAGTCCCATAGAAGCCCAGGAGCATCCAGGCCGAGGTCCCTCAACATGGGCAGCTGAGCAGGCACAGCCCCTCAGCCCTGCTTCCCTTTTGTACTTTGCATGCTGATTGCAGCACCTGGGCTTGAAGAGGCAGGTGACCCTCACCTGTTCTAAGCCTACTTCAGCTGAGGAGTCACACCTCTCCTCCCAGAGCTAGCAAGCCCCATCTGGCCAGCTAGGAGCTGGGCTGTGGCCCTTTGTCTGCCTCAGCCTGCTAAAGTGCCACTCCCTCTGCTCCCCATGCCTCAGAGCCTGACGCACAATAAGGTCTCACACTGAATTGCAGCTGACACTATGAATTGATAACAGAGATGCTGTATGTACTTTTGTTACCCAAGAAAAATCTTCTAGTGAAAACAAAGAATAGTTTAGCAGCAGTACTTACCAGCGACAGAAGACAGGAGTGCCTGGCGTGCTCTGGTCCATGGGGTCACGAAGAGTCGGACACGACTAAACGACTAAACAACAACAACACTTACCAGCGAACACCAGGGGAAGTTGAAGTCCCGAGCACATAAGTTCAGGCATTCTTGCTGTTTTCATTAAATCCAATGTGGCTCCGTCCAGGTCTGTGGAGCGCAAGACTTCTGTATGCAATGGGGTGCTGGATTTGGACTTGGGGGAAGGGGGGTCTGATTTAACCAGCGCCACCTTTGCTGTAATCTGGTTTGTTGTGGGGGCTGGATTTGGGCTGAACATCTTAACCAACCAATAGTGATGGCAATGTAGTTTGGCCACGCACCCCACGCACTCAGTATTCTGAGACATACTGCCACCAAGGCCACATGATATTTAAAGCACTATGATACCACTTCATGACACACACACACGCCCCAAGAATTTTGAGAACTGTAGTTCGTGAAAGGCAATGAGAATTGTTAGAAGACCCCTATTCCCCTTACAGAGTTACAATTCTCAAAAGTCCTGTGCAGAAAGGGATTGCTTGTTAAACCGCTCTGGAAATTGTGGTTCTGTGAGGGGAAATATGGATACCAGGCAAGAGTGCTGGGCTGGAAGGCTGTGCCCTGGGCAGCTGAGAGTGGAAGGCAGGCACCAAGGAGGTTGGGGTAGCTGAAGGAAAGGAGTAAAATGAGTGGTGGCCAAAGGTTGTGCTCACTGGAGAGAGCAGAGGCCTTGCTGGAGCAGGGGCAGGTAGCCAGACAGTACAGCTTTGGAGGAAGGAAAGCTGAAGGAGAAATGTGAGGAAAAACTGAAACACCAGGCCTAGAGAAAACAAGGCTGTGTACTACACACTATGCCTTCAAACCACATTCTTTCCCTCAAAGAATTCTGGGCACTGTAGTCTACCCCTCACTTGGCTGCAGCTCCCAGCAACCGTTATCGAACTACAGCGACCAGAATTCTTTGAGGAAAAGAATGTGCTTCAGATGTATATAGTGTGTATACAGACTGAGAGCCTGTACGCCAGAGCTGCCTGGGTGCAGACAAAATGGAGATGCCCTACCTGGAATGAACATGGGACCTTCGACACGCCAGGCAGATGCCCCACCCCTGAGCTGCAGAGCTTCCCTTCTTGCTCCACAGACACTCTGACCTGTGCTTGAGTTTGAAGGGGTGCCATGGTGGAAGCATCACAATGGCAGTGTCTCCACCTGTGAACTATGTACATCCGTTTCCATGCCCAAAACAATCCTGTGCACAGAGTATGGTTACACCAGAGCTTTCCAAACACATTAGTGTGTCAGCTGCAGTGTGTAGATGCGTCACGCTCCTCCTGGGGCTCGAAAGGGGTTAGTTTAACCTCCGGTTTGCTAGTAAAACGGAATTACTGTGCCGCGAAATGATGCATGTCTAAAAAGTGTTTCACCAACATGAAAAGTTTGGAAAGCTCTGGTGGTGTACACACATATGTAAATAAAACATTGCTGTATGGAGTAATCCTGTTTAGGGTTACAGCCAACAATGACCTCTTTTGGGATATTGTGTTCCATTTCCCCTCCCTTCTTGTGCCCCCCCATCAGTCTACTTTGCACACCTGCTAAGCATACTCAGGCATCATTGTGCATTTTGACTCTCTTAGGGTTCTCTGTAAAACATCTCTCTTTTTTTTTTACACTTCTACAAGCCTTGCAGTTTTGCTAAGCCTGAATGTGAATAGCATTTCAGCTAGATAAGAATCAGAGGCAAGGTCATGTTCACAAGGTCATACTTTGTGATAGCACTTGTCATTAAAGGTAGTTTCACATTGCTTTTCTGACAGCCACCCCCTACAACAGCCACCCTTCCGGGGGATTGCTGTGTAGCAGCTTGGATTTCTTGACACATCAGTACCCTCAAAAGCTCTCACGTGGCTGGTTCCACATGTTTACAGGTTGCTTTTCTGTGCGAGGTATCTTTTTGACACAGGGAAAGGTCTGGATATTTGAAACAACACCCCAGCACTCCCTCCTTTGGGGGCTGTGTTTGTGTGCGTGCATTTTTTTTGTTCTTCCACATCGCAATAAAAATGTCAAAGTGCATTTTATAAAATACTTTTATTCCCATGGTAATGGGGCTGGGTCATTGGAGCACTGAAAAATCAATTGTAATAATGGCGAGGCAGAGACATGGCAGAATTTATTCTCTATATCCAATAGCCTTCTCTACCCCCCAACCCCCCAAATTAAACAACAAAACAACCCAAAGTGGAGAATAAATCAGAGGGATGCAAATATAAGCCAGGGGATGGGACTGGTCATGCTTCATTATCTGAAAACTCAGTAGCACATTCTTGAAAATGCCTCCCCACTTTATGCAGTACCTCCAGTTATAAGGGTTTCTGGTGAAGCTATTTACTACAAAGAATTCAAGTTTGGCCAAGGAATCCCTACCCCACGGAACAATGTTAAGAATAAATAATATAAAATAAACTCTCTTAAATTAACTTGTTAAGCAACCAATTCACTTTTCTCATTGTTCAAATCCTCTTTGCCATATTTGTCTTTGCTGGTATTTTACAACTCTTGCCTAACAAGAAAGGCTGAGTTTCGGGGGGGAGAACGTTGTGTAGAGAGCACTTGACCTTGTGAATTTGTATCTCTTAAAAGCAGTAGGGGAGAGAGACAGACATGTGAAATCCACCGTAGAAACAAACTTGAAGGTGTACCAGGTCCACTTTTGTCCTTTTGTATTTTAAATCCCCTGGTCGTGGCACAAAATGCAACAACCTAAAGCTAAGTTGGACCTAAGGAACTCAGGTGTTCTATTCCTGTCTCCAAGGTCTTTTATGTCTCAACACGCAAAGGACTTCCAAGGCTCCCAGGTCAATATTTCGAAAACAAGCAACGCTTTGAACTGCGGCGTTTGATATAAAGGATGTCCATTAAAGTGCGGTGGATGTACAAGGCTCTGGGATAAGGGACAGCAGCTTAAAATATGGGACCAACACCAGCAACCCTAACAGAATATCGCCCCCACCCCCAACAGTAGAACCAACAGTATCTGGCAATGTCTGTGGGAATTACAAATTGATTTTTTTGGGAAGGGGATGGATTCACTGTAGCTGAAAAAGAATAGGAAGATATCAAGTCCACTGTCCTCCTGGCAACAAGGGCAGGCTCCTCCCCAAGCCAGCAAGGTTTCCAATTTCCAACCTGCATTTCTCATTAGCAATTAGTCTTGTACCTTGCCTTCTTTAATTTTACATCGCTCATATGTTCCTGTCAGGTGCACTTGTAGATTAGGTCATAGGCCACATTAAGCGTCTTTTTCTCCCGCTTAGCTGAAGATGCCAAGCTCTCTAGAGCTTTAGCCCAGGTAAGGCCTGAAGGGCTGATCTAAGGCCATGTTTCACATGCTATTTTCTGCCTGACAATCAAGTTTCCAGTTTCTTCACCTCAAATAATTTTACATTCATGCTAAAGTCAGCAGTGCTGTTTTAATGGAGACTGGGGCACCCAGTGTGTGAGCTACAAACCACACAGGGGAAGAAGCGGATGATGGAAACAGAGGATGGGCTTCAGTTGGGTCAGGGAGCCTTGTGGGAATTATGCCACGAATAAAATGTACATCGCTAAAGAAACAAAAATAAAAAGCACCCCAGTTACCCGAAACCCTATCTTAGCAGCCTCAAGAGAAGGTGGAACATAGTTGTCAGATGTCTGGAAAAAAGGCAAACTCCAGAAGTGTGTTGCATTCAGATGTCAAGGGTGTCAGTTACATTCTGAGCAAGGGTGAAGGGTCAGCCTTCAAAAGTGTGGTCTTTGCACCTAAGGGCAGATTTTGGCACAAGAGCAGAGCCCAAAAGCTGAGCCTGGGTAAGCTGGAACCTACTGGGTACTGCTGACATTTGGAGAAGCAACCACAGCTATTATTTTCCCTCTGGGGTTTATAGAAGGAGGGACAAAATCTCTAGGCTGAAGGCCACCCACAGCCTCCGCAGATCCACTTGGTCCCGAGCTCCAAAGCAGGCACAGGAGGGGTCAGTGGTGGCAGGTAAAGAACTGCACTTAACGGCTGTGCGGCCCACTCCATCCATCCCACCGTTCATTTCTTTCCAGTGGGAGCCATGTGCTTGAACTGCAGATAATACAAGAACCACGAACAGCAGCAATTGCTACTGGCTCCCCTCGACACACACTGGCTAAACTCCCGAGGAGTCTGATTTTGCAAGACAGAGACAGGCTGGTTTCCCCGAGTCTTGATGGAAAGGGAAATTCTAACCCAACGACAACCCTCCGAAAGGAAGAGACAACAGTGGGATGGATTCAGTTTTCTGCTGTGAGAGAAGGCAGCACACCTTCAGCAAATGTAAGCAGGCGGCCATTTTTAGTCAGGAAGGATCACTTCACCTCTCTGGTTTCAGAATGGTGGCAATACCTTTCTACTTTTCACCTGCGAAACACCCCAGGCCAACCAAGCTATCACACGTGCTGGAAAGAGGTCTCCAAACTCAGCGTTAAGAGCAAAACCACAGCTGGTTATGAACACGGACAGTCCGGAGCCTTTCTCCCTGCCAAGCGCGGCACACAACAACACACACACATGCACACACCCTGCATGCCCAGGATCTGCCCAACAGGTGACATACATCCAAGAGGGTAGTGAGCTGAGGCACTGGAGGATGGGTTGGACTGGAGAGCTTAAGGTGGCCGGGGTTGGATTTCTCTTTCGTAGGCACTGGAGAGGATCTGGCAGAGAAGCTGATCCTATGACAGAAAACTAGGAAATGGTTTTTACTCTTCCCCTTGCCTCTCCTCCACCCCACCCACCCGCACCCCAGCGGTTGGGCCGGGAAAGCACCACGAGACAGGCAAAGAAAGAGGTCTATAATGGTGTAAACCTATAGAGGGGAGAGGGCCGGATTCTTCATTTGGGAGCAGTTTGGCCTTGCATGGGGCGAGGCACGCAGGATCTCAGGAGGGGCAGCCAGCAAGCACACGGTCAGCTGGTCTACCTCAGCTGCCACCCAAGTGTTGGGGTGATTCCAGGCACCAGTGGAGACTGGCCCTCTCCCTCTCCAGGTCCACGAGGGGGCCTCTGAGGAGAGAGGGGAGCTTTCGTTATTTAAGGTATATGTGATTATTTGTGACCTTGAGGGAAAAGGCCAGGCAGTGCTGGCTGGCTGGCTGGCAGGACGAGGGTGGTCCAAGAGGTTGTTGGCACAAATGGCAAGGCAGAGGGGCGGGTGGGGGGTGGAGGGTGTCCCCAGAGAAGGGTAGCGAGGAAAGGGAGTTCACGCACAGACCCGGCCAGCGATGGCGCTGCTTCTGAGGCGCAAACGCTATATGCCTGCCCACAAACCGCTTGGTGGGTGAAGGACAATCTTCCGGAGAGGCTGGACCTACCCCTGGGTGCCAGGCAACTGAAGACAGCTCCTGTCCCCAAGGCTCTGCGTGGGAAGAGGCCTCTCCCTCAGCGGATAAAAGCCCTGCCCCTCAGGGCCTTAGCGGATATAGGCATCTCGCGCCCAGTCCTCTACGTCGTTGTGGTTGCGGCGCAAGCCCTCCTCCTCCTCGCTCTGGCAATAGCGCTCCCGCCCCTTGCTGTGCCCGCGAAGAGACCGGTTGTGGTTTTGCCGGTCGGGCTCCTCGGCCTCCCAGGAGCCCTGACGCTGGGGGTGGCGGTGCCCCCGGAGGTGGCCCCGCTGCTGCTCTGGCTCCTCGGGTTCCCAGGACCCCTGGAGGCGGCGGTGGCCCAGGCAGTGGGCGCGACGAGGCTCCGGCTCCTCGTAGGGGTCGGTCTCAATGTCCATGCAGGAATCCGCCGGGTCAGTGTACGCAGAGTCGCGGCTGCCCTGCGTCTCCGAATCAAAGGTGTCCTGGCGGGAAAGGCCCCGGGCGGCAAAGTGGGAGGGGGGCGGCGCGGCGCGGATCTGGCCATGCCCAGCCAGCTGCCCTGCATAGTCGTGGAGGCTGGTGTGCTCTGGGTCGAGCGGCTCCTCCCCATGCACTAAGTAGGGTCCCTGGTGGAAAGAGGCATTCACCACACACCATGCATGAGAAAGGGAGAAAGGAGACAAGAGTTAGTGCGGCCACCACACAGCAGCAGCAACAGCTGCAGCGCTCCAAAACAGGTTAGCACAAGGGGCTCTCAAACTCCGGCCTGGCAAACCTCATGAAATCTAAGGGGAAATTTCCCCTGCAAAGACAGGCAATTTTTCTGGACTTTGGAGTTAAGCAAGTCAAAAACAAAAACAAAAAAGGATGGATTTTAGACCCCCTCGGAGATGGGGATGGAAAGGTCCATTGGTTTCAGCTCCTCACTTTCCCCCATCTCAAATTCAGATCTCTACATTTCTACAGCCATTTGAAGGTTGTTGTTTTTTCAAATCCTTATAAAACTTCTCCAACAGGTTGGTGCAAATTTCTCCTAATAAACCTTTTTTTGTACTGAGTTTAGATTAACGGATACATTGTTGTAAGCAATTTCTCCTAACAGATTGCATTTTACTGTGTTATTTTCACTAATATATTGTGCACGTGTCCCCCTAATGCACACATATTTGCAATCTTTGTTCAAGTGCAGGACTGCATTGCCAAATTCGTGCAAGTGTGAATCTTGAAGGCTGGCTGCGTTTCGGTTCTAGAATTGTTTCGGAAAGTGCAAATTTCTTAAGGTTTTGGCTTCAAATGCGAATTGAACTGAATGTCTTCTCCATCCCTACTAGCAGAAGCCAGAAAACACTTGCAGAAGAGGGAGATGGTGGGGGGACGGGGAGTTTGGGACAGTTCTAGGCAGAGATCCTCAGAATGGTGATCTGCCACTTTTGTCTGAAATTGCTCTTTGGACATGGCATTCTATGTGTGGTGCAGAGCACAATGTATAGAATAGAGCAGGGATGGGGAGCCTGGGGCTCTCCAGATGTTGCTGGACTACAACCCCCATCATCCCTGGCCACTGGCTGTGCTGGCTGGGGCTGATGGGATTTGGAGTCCAACAACATCAGGTTCCCCATCCCTGCAGCAAAATATGGTTTCAAGAGGTGGCAACTTGCATCTCAAGCTACCCCTTCACCTCCTCCAAGGTTATAGAGAAATTGAGGCTTCCCATGGTTAACTGCTTTGCACCATGTTAGAGAGAGGCTCATCATCACCCTGTTTGAGAACTCATCAGTTAGTTAAGACATAAGAAGATAGAGAGTTAGCATCACACAGAACACATACAGAACCACCTGTGCTGATCAGCTGGACCACCTGCTGTTATTTATATGTAAAAGCAGCAGCAGCAACAGCAGTCACTTACCATGCCATGCAATAAAACAGCACTGGGAGCCAGATGTGAAAGTGGTACTTATTGACAGCTAAACACCTTTGGGGGAATGGTGGTCACTTCTGTTTAACCACTTCAGAGTTTGCCCTTTTCTTTTTAAAAAGGTGACACAACAGAAACAGCATGGGGTTTCCCATCATACACCCAAACATGCATTTGAAGCATGTCCAAATTCACATTTGAACGATGGGCAGGCATCACGCCACCCAAGCAAAAAAGTGGATTCTGCAGTAATAAATCTATTTCTGCTCAATGCAGTCTTCTTCTTTTTAGCTCACAAGAGAGATGAGTTTGATGGAGCTCCGTTCAGCTTGCTATGCTTGGCAATCGTTCCGTGACTTGGCCAAGGTTTAGGCAACAATGCGGGGCACTGTCAATGTAAAAAGTCACCCACCTCTGGCAGTGAGATTCTGACAATATGGTTTTGCCTGCCGGTAAATGCTTTGCACTGAGGCCATGGGAGTCAAGCGGACAAGGTTATCCTGATGAGGTATAACCACCGATGCAATTTACTGCAGCCACAACTGCTCCCCAGCCTCCCAAGAAATTTGACTTTCTGTCACTAGGTGGCAGAAACTCAGCAGACCATGGTTATTGTGAAGGGATCCATAAGGTCATAGACTTGGTGCTCCTGCCAGATTATCCAAAGTGGGGCCCCGTACAAACCCCGTGACCTTACAGACCCCTTTAGTCCAGTGGGTTCCTGCCACTTGGTGACCGGAAATCACTGCTTGTTAGAAAAGTGGATTGGGAAGCAGTTGCCCAAATTCACCCTGTGTGTTACGAGAACGGAACAAAGAATGTGTGGCAGATGGCGGGGTGGGGGTGGGGAGGCACTACCTGCAAGGCTATAACAGGTCTTTGAGGGCAACTTGGCAGCATAATGGACCTGCCCCTGCTGAAAACCAGGCTCTGCATTCACACAGCACACTGGAAAGCCAACTGACTTCTTTCCCATGAGCAGGTGGAGGAAAATCCTTCCTTTGTGATGCCATTTTAGATCTGGTTCAGAGCAGCCCACAGAACCTGCCCTAAATGACAAACCCACTTTTCCTAGCTGAGACGCTTCTCTGATGTCCCCAGGAAGCATTGTTCGAAAGATAAGAGACGGCGGGGTGTAGGGCGGGAGAGATGTGCTGGTGACTCGCCGAGGTCATCCTTTAATCAAAGTCAGATTGCAAGGGAAAGGGGTGTTTGTGTGTGTACTTTAGCAAGACAGCTTCGGAGAAGGGGCAGGGAGGCGAAAGAGAGAGATCGCTTTGACTGAACAGCAGCACTGACAAGTCCTTTGTAGGTAAGGGGGAGCCCTCATTAGCAAGGCTTCCCTGTGCTCGTTTCTTCATTTCCGAACAACTATCTCGGGCTTCCCCGAAAGCTACAGCTCGTGCTCCTCCACCCGGACAGCTCCGCTCAGCCCCTGGTCCAGGCTGCCCCTCGCGCCCCAGAACCCCAGGTTGCGCTTGAGCGAGGTCAGCACTTGTACCTGGAGGTTGGAGACCGGGGCGGGGCTGGCAGCCAAGGCAGCCGTCGCCATGGTGCGGGTCAGCAGCGGATTGGGCGGGTTGCTGCTGGGAGGGTGCGTGGCCTTCCAATAGGCTTCGAGGTACTCGGACAGGTGTTCGCAGGCATCTTCCAACTGGTTCTCGTCCAAGATAATGTCAAACATCTCCTGCAGAGACAGGTGGGGGAATGGGAAGGATTTAGCCCTGTGAGCAAGTGCAGAATGATAGGGGCAGGGGACCAGGAGTGGAGGCATGGGTTGGATAGGGTTGCAATGGAGTCGCTAGTGGGCTGACATAATGACTGTGTGGCATCTGCTTAAATCAGGGGTGGGGAACCTGTGGCCCTCCAGATGTTGCTGGACTACAATTTTGGGAAAGGGCCAAGGGTTATTGGTAGAGCACCTGCCTTTCATGCAGACGACCCCAGGTTCAGTTCCCGGCATCTCCAGATAGGACTCCCTGTCTGAAACCCTGGACAGCCACTGCCATCAGTGTAGACAATATGGAGCTAGATCAGGGCAGGCCAACTTTTCATACCAGGTGGGCCGCAAGAGTACTTTGACATGGAACCCGCAGGCAGCACAGTGCCTTGTCATGTGGGAGAGGGGAACGAGGCCAAAATTTGACACACACACACACACACACACACACAGCCCTTGCACTGCCTTCCCAAACTTAGCTGGGAGAGGCACCAGGCTTAGGGAAGGAGATGCAAGGCTATGGGCAGGGTCCTGGCACCCTCCCACCCCCTTACCAAAGCCAGGAAAGCACTAACTAGGCTTTGGGAAGGAGGAGGGAGGACTCTAAGACCTAGTCAGAGCCCTCATGCCTTCTTCCCAAAGCTCAGCACCTCCTTTACCCGGCTTTCGGAAGGCAGCGCAAGCGCTTGTATTGGTGTGTGTATGTGTGTGTGTCAAATGAGCAGGGGTTTGCACCAGCAGGGGCTGATGGGAGGTGTAGTCAGGAGGGCACCAGCTTGAAGTGGGCTGGAAAAGAGCATGAGGGAGATGTACCACAGAACTCACAGGGGGGCACTGCGCCAATTTGTCCGATGCCACCATCTGCACATTCAGGTGCTTGGCTTGGGATTTCCCTCTCGATTTCACCAGTCTCTGCAGCACCTGTTGGGTAAAGACATTGGGGGAGAGGGAGAGAAGAGATGTTAGGGTGCCCAAGGGGGCCGGGAACAGGACTGGAAAGGAGAAGGGCCCTGCCCCAAGGGTGCTCCTGTCCCTAGTCCGCCACATCACTGCAGCTAGCCTAACAAGGATTAAGCCTCAGGAAACATTTTAGGGTGTACAATCCTTACTGGGGAGGAAGCCTTCATGAACACAGTGAGACTTGTCACCCACAGGATCAAATCAACCCAAGAAGTAGGCAAAACCCTCCCTCCCTCCCACCCCCAAATCCAAATGCATCGCGCCTCAATGTTAGCCAAGTTGCTTGGCACCTGAAACAGAACCACCCCTTCCCCTGGCAGTAAAAAACGCAGCAACGATGAATGACAATTCATTACCATTTCATGACACTTAGCAGCCTGAGGCAGCTGCCTCACTCTGCCTAATAATCAGGCTGGAAGGAGGGAGTCCAAGATGGGTAACTCACACAGCCTTAAAAGTTCTATCTCTCATAGCGGCAAAAAAAAACTTTGAAAATGCGATTGCAAGAACAGGACATACGTAACTAAATGACAGGCAGGAAGGAAGCATACAAATGTTCTTCAACTCTCATGAAATCTGGATCTTTTGATGGTTGATTTACATATTTTTCCTCATAGAGCAATTAACAATTCCAGGATTTGTGCAGAGGGGAAGGGCCACAGCTCAGTGTCTGAGCACACAATTTGCAGGCAAAGGTCCCTGGCATCTCCAGGTAGAGTGGGGACAGGAGCCTGTCTGAAATCCTGGAGAGCTGCTCCCAGTTATTGTGGACAACCCTGAACTAGATTAACCAAAGGGCTGGTCACTGGTATAAGGCAGATTCCTGAGAAACCTACGGTGGTCATTTGACACTTGCCAGGTTTTGTAAGAAGTAACTTGCAAGTGATGTTAATTACATTACATTAATACATGATCTGGGACGCAGGTGGCGCTGTGGTCTAAACCCCTGAGCCTAGGGCTTGCCGATCAGAAGGTTGGCGGTTCAAATCCCCGCGATGGGGTGAGCTCCCGTTGCTCAGTCCCTGCTCCTGCCAACCTAGCAGTTCAAAAGCATGCAGTGCAAGTAGATAAATTGGTACCGCTCCAGCGGGAAGGTAAACGGCATTTCCGTGCGCTGCTCTGGTTCACCAGAAGTGGCTTAGTCATGCTGGCCACATGACCCGGAAGCTGTACACCGGCTAGTAAAGCAAGATGAGAGCCGCAACCCCAGAGTTGTTTGCGACTGGACCTAATGGTCAGGGGTTCCCTTTACCTAATACATGATATTCATGTATGTTTGGCACTTGTCTGCTTTTTAGCAGTGTCTGCCTTTTTCTTAAAAAGAAAAAGAGCCCCACCCCCCAAACCCCAGAGTCTGGTATTTTATACCACACACTCAAATATGCATTTGAAGCACATCTGAAGTGTGGCAGGGAGCCCCCTCCCAAACTATGGATTTTGCACTCATAAATGTATGCTCAGTGCAAACTCACATTTTTAGCCCACAAGGTAAATGAACGATGGATCTGTTTAGGTTGGCATTCCTGTAGCTACACATACAAGCCTTTGGACAGGGTCGGCCCTACAAGGAGGCAGAGTGAAGCAGCAGCCTCAGGCGCAGATGCTGAGGAGGGGTGTGTGGCCAGAGATATGAGTGCCATGTGATCTGCCTTATGCCCCCTACATTATTCTGCTGCCCTCAACTGCTGAGGAAGTATACTTTCACCAGTATTGGAGTAACATAAAACTGCCAGTCCAATTGGCTTCTGTGCATGACTTGGGGGAGGTGCCATCTTGTCCTTCGCCTCAGGCAGCAAAACGCCTTGAGCCGGCCCTGCCTTCGGACATGGTACGTTCTAATCTGCTGTTCTTACCCTCACTCCTATTGAGTTCTGAATGAGATCTGACACCAAAATAGTCTAAGATCCTCTGCCAACCTCTTCCCTAATCCCAGCGCCGTTAGTGTGATCGGGAGGAAGAAAAGACAAAGGCTGCTCACCTTGGGGGAGGATATCTTGATATAGACGATAATTGGCGCTAATGAAGTCTTGGACAGTTGAGCCGGGTGATTGATGGTATCTGCATCCAGGGCTACCAGCTGCAGGGTGCGGGCCAGCTCAAAGATGCGCTCAATCTCACTCTGCACTTCAGCTATGGAGGCAGAGGGCAAGCCAAGTGGCAGGGAAAAGGAAGACATGGTCAACATCGCTATGCAAAGAAACTGCAGTATCATTCATACCTCCCTTTTGCTGTTCCAGATCTGTTTAGCATTAAAGGCTCTACTTCTGCAGCCTGCGCAGATTTTGCCATTATTCATTATTCTCACTTGCAGGTTAAGACGCTACAGGTTGCAAAATGTTGCACTTGTGAAAAAAAATGTGCAGGTCAACTCTTCTGTCCCCGCGGACAGAAAACCATTCCTGGGGCTCCTGAATAGTCAACAGTCAGCCCCGTCCACAGATCTGCATTTGATTCTTGGCAGCACTATGGCAAAGCAAGGGGAGGTGGAGGCCGCAAGATTTTGTGCACGGTTAAAAGGGAGGCAAATTTCTGGCCTGGAGAACGCATTCCGTTCCCCTGTGCAAGAGCCAATGAAATGAAGAAGAACTGCACAGCACCTATTCATTTCAATGGGGATTGTGTAGGAAAACATCCCCATGGGTTGTTCCTTAAGTGAAAGTATGTGTGTGTGTTGTGCAGATGCCATTTTGATTTTCTACTTCAGGCATGCGTAAAGTGGCTGGCTGGCAGACAAAGATCTCCTTGCTCTGCCCCCCCCAAAAAGATTGCCTGCAGGTACTACTTTGGGTGCTACTTTGGGCTGTCCACTAGCTGCTCTGCATGTGGGACGCTGGATATGGGCTTCTTCTGGCTGCCCAGGAGCATCTTGTGTTCTTGGGGATGTGGCCCTGCAGGTCCCAGCATGAGATCCAGTGTGGCGTAGTGGTCAGAGTGTCAGACTGGAGAGACCCAGATTCAAATCCCTTGGGCCAGTCCCTTTCTCTTTCAGTCCTGCCGACCTCACAGGACAGTTATGAGGATCAAAAGGGAGAGAACTATCTTGAGGAAAGATAAACAATAAGTTCCTTTCAGTGGACTGTGCTGAGTGCCCCTCACTTTTTCTCCAGTAAGAAACCATGCAATAAATTGCAAAGCTTAGTTACTTTCACGTTAAAAGTGGGGCATGATCCAGCCAAAGCCCAGAATTTTGAATATCTCATGGGTTCCAATGAGGAGCCGATATGTGATTTAGGCTGCCATCCTATACTTGCATACCTGGGAGTAAGTCCCACCGAACTCAGTAGGTCTTGCCTTCCAAGTAGACATGTATAGGGCTGTCCTGTAGTTCTGTTCTCGTTAACATCAATGGGCTCTGAGAGTGCTTTGCCAAATTTCTTAACTAGGCTGTAGCAGAACAAAAAACAGTCCCCTCTCCTTTTTCAGTCCCTGAGCAATTTCCCCCAGCAAGAAACGTTATTTACTTATTTTCATTTCTAATATTCCGATTCACCCGCCCACCGCCCACCCCCCACAGCAACTCCACATTTTAAGTTCAGGTTTAAAAAATACTCTGGTAAAGAGTCTAGCAATTGAAAAGATGGTGAGAACGCTAAGACGGTGGTGACTCACCATTTTTTCACTTCCCAAACACGAGGGCGAATTTCAAAACAAACAAAAAAAACTTATCGCTTTTGGGCGAAGCCAAAGCGTAGGTGCGCTTTTGTTCTGTTTTTGAAATTCCCCCTCCCCCTCCTCTCCCAGAAGGAAAAGCTGTTTTTGATCTTTTTTTCCATTTCAACAAAACATCTTTCCCATTCTGCGGAGGGGGAAGTTAAAGCTAGTTAAATTTGCATTGGGGGGGGGGCAACCGAGAGCTTGCGGGGGCTAAAGGTTACGTACCCAAGACATCTGTATCAGGAGCAGAGAAAGGAAGAGGAGGCACAGACACAGGGGAAAGAAAATTGTGGGAAGCGGGGGAGGAGGGGGAAAAAAAAAGAGAAGAGTGAGTTGGATTTGTTGGGGAGCAGTAAAAAAGAAAAAAGAAAAAAGAACCCCCAAAGTCTGATGCCATAGCATGGGGGGGACTGAAAACAGAGAAGGCAGCTAAGGTATTAATTAAGGAGCATCCTGTTTCCCCTCCCCTTGCCCCATGCACGGAGGTAGGTTTAGACAAGATGGCAACATATCCCATGATGAACTTGAACGCGGACAACACTTCTGACACCGAAACCTGGACTTTTGGGAACAGTTTCCACACTATGCATTATGATGCGGGAGTGGGGTGGGGGAGAGACTCTCACAAGCACACCCAAGTGTGTCCCTCTCCAACCCAGGATACAGATATTTCATGATACGGAAACAGCCATGGTGCTCAGCTCAAGAAGATCGCGGAGGTCTTCCTTCTAATGGGGCAGTTTTGTTGGTTCCACCTGCCCCTGAGATCTGGCTGTCAGGGGCATAGCATGGGTTGCCAGCACCCAGGGTGAGGCAAGCGTTGGGCCGCCCTGGTGGACTGGGAAGCTGTCAGTCCTTTCTCTGGCCAGTGTCTAACCAAGGGAGTCTCCAGCAGTGCTTTCCCACGTTCCTCTTCCTTCCTCCTCAGTGGGCGGCACTGGTGCCCTCCCACCCTCTCAGCCAGTCCAGGAGCAGGGCACGTCCAGGTATCCCTTCACCTGGCCATGAGGAGAAGGAGGTGCTGCCCCAGTCTTGAAGGCCTGGCCTGGGTGTGGTTCCAGCCTCAGTGAGGTAGCCTGTTGGGGCACCTGGTTGTGCCCCCTCAGAAATTTAGCCGCCCTCGCCACGCTATGCCACTGCTGGCTGGTCTTTACGAAGAGGCCACTGCTGGCTGGTCTTTACTAAGAGGCAAGTATTTAAGTATGACAGGCGCTCCCTGTGGAACTCCTTGGAAATAAGAGGTTTGGCGGAAGCAGTATCTTCTAAAAACAGTGTTATTCAGACGGGCTTTTCAAACCTGACGTTCCCTGCCAACCATCTCTTACTGATGTGGTTGACGTGCACAGCACTGCGTGGTATTTTATAACACAGCGTGGCTTACAAATACGTACATATATAAATAAGTTCATGATTGGGTAAGAGGAGTTCTGCCAGGGACAGGGAGAGAAGGGGCATTGCCGCAAAGCATTATGGGAAACCCAGAGGAATCCAGGAAAAGCTGCTCCTGGCTGATACAGATCAGAGGAAAGGCAGGCTAAGAAAAGCTTTTGAAAACGGGTGCCGTGCAAGGTGTTAGGTGCCATGCAATCACAAAGGCAAAGTCACCCTTTTTGCCTCCCTCTTCCCACGCGGGAAAGGCCTTGGGAGAAAATGTTGCCAAGAGATGGCAAAGAGCCAAGCTGTTCTCCCAAGGTCTCAGCGCAGCCTTACCCAGGCTAGAGCGGGTGCTGGAGCGTTCGATGATGGTGTGTTTGCTGGGGTTGTTGAGGACCGAGCGCTTGGCCAAGGAGATATCAGCTGTCACACGTGTGATAGATATTCTGTGAAGGACAGGAGTAGAGGCTCAAGGGGGCAAAGGTCATTCCCCACAGGCATCCCTGATTACCAGGACTCTTTCATCCTTGTCGCTGTGCTACAACACAGGGAGTCTTAACTACCTACAGTACTAGTGAAAGTCCTTTTAGTGTCCACTTAACAACCCCCCCAAAACCTCAGGTTTTTAAGGGTGCTTCCTGTCTATCAAGCATTTATTCCAATTTGCTTGTGGGGAGGTTAGATGACGCTGCATCAAAGCAAGTGTCATCCCACACTGTGCAGTGCATTCCCCCTCACTTTCCTTATCGCAGCATATCTGATCTTTTGGGAAGGTGGGGTTGTTGCATGAGACCTCCCAAACAACTATAATTGCTCAGCCTGAATTTGAGGGTATGTGACTGAATAGCAACAGTCTGGAAGTGCCCTACAACTTCATGAACTAGGAAAACAGCTTTTTTGTTTTTGTTTTTAAGGCAATTGGATCTAGCTGTGTATTCACAAAAACTGGAGCACCTTAGCAAAAGTTTCTGGTCTTCATGTCCAGGAAATGGGGAAGAAGCATTTGGAAATGGACCAATGCTAATGGGGACAGCATAAAACTTATTGTGGGAGGCAGAAAATCTGCCCCCCCTTCCATTTCCTGTGGTCTTCATTCAGGTTTCCCCTATGGTAACTCCAGCACCAGGGTCTTGATACAAGGATCACAGAACAAATGGAAGATATTAGATCCCCACCCGTCCCCAAGGCTTCTGCTCACACCTGCCATCGAATCGGCGTTTCAGAAAATCAAACAAAGCTTTCTGCATCATGTCCGTCACCTGGGAAGGTAAAGGGGGTTGGGATTGGGCAGAAAGACAGAGAAGAGGAGGAGAAGAAGAAAAGTCAGAAATCGAAAGAGTCACATGCATAAACGTGGGTGGGGAAGAAATCAGGGTGCATCTTGCTTGTGCTAGTTCTTGGTAAAGGCTCATCAAAATGGAGACCCACCCCCAAGCTTCCCTACCTATTTCCACCACTTCAGACTCGTAGGTGTTAAAGTCACAGCTGGATGCCCACCCATTGGCAGAGAGACCCAGAGGATTACTAAGAACAGAGTGAGGAGCCAATCAATGAGAGGGCACTGGTGGCCGAGATAGGAGGGATGACCTGTAGGAGGTAAGCTCAAAGGAACAGAATTGGGAGGAGCCACAGCAACTCAGGACATGTCAGTCCTGTTGCCAGGCAGATATCCTGGACAGGGCTTGAATGATGGACTGGGAGATGAGGACACTTGCCAATCTATGGCAGCCCTCCTGGCTCCCCTTGCCCAATTCTCTTGGAAAGCACATGGCCCCTCAGCCCTACTTTCTATGCATGCCCTAACTCTCCCCCCATGAACTCTCTAAATGCCTCACCTCATACCCTTTCAAGGATGGGCCTACAAGAATGATGGGCCGCATGGAAGGAACCACATCATAAGGTGGCACGTGCTCCGCCTGAGAAGAAAGGAGAGAGAAGAAGACATTAGACTTGCTCCAGATCCAGGCTACATCAGCGCTGCAGGCACCACTGTTTTTTGGAAGCCTGGCAATTTCAGCGATTCTTCTAAAGGGGAGACAGCACCTTCATTTTGTGGGCATGGGGGAGGAAAGCTGAGTTGTGGGTGGCAGGAAGAAGGGTTGCTGAGGGATCTCAGCCTTCCAGATCTGACACCAACACTAGCCTGGACATTCAAGATGGACCTAACAGAAGAAGACCTTCATGCAGCTGCAACCAAGGTTTGCTTTTGAGCTTACCTTAAAGAAACAGGGGCCTGTATCTGGCGGGGGCGGGGGGGGAGCAAATCTCACACACAAACTTTGGAGTTTCATGGTCAGCTTCCTCACAGTTGCCAACTTCGCAGGGGGAAAGCCCACTGGGATTAGGCAGGGCCCACAGGGAGCCGCCACCGCTGTCATCTCGTCTGATTATTTCGTAAGCTTACTTACCGATTTCTGCTTCTGCTTGGCTATGTCCAGTGATCGCCATTAATGGGCGGGGTGGGGACACAGGGGAGGGGAAAGGAGAGACAGGCAAGAGAAAACAAACAAGGCATGCGTGTTACTGACAGCTCACTCCAGCGGAAGCACAGGCAAGGCACAAGAGAGAGAGAGAAAACTAGTGCTGAGAAAAGCAGAAAGGTGGCGGCTTTTCAGAGTTTGGGCAGGGAACAACCTTGCCTTGATTTAGAATTGCGTCCTTTTCCTCCATGCTGTCCTGGCCCACCCTGGTGGACAGACGTGGCTCATGGTGGCATGCCCATGAACCTCTCAAAACCCAAATGACACATTGGCCAGAGCCACCACGGGCAACATGATTGGCCTGGTGGCTCCTTTTGGCATCGCAGGGAGTTGTCAGGAAGGAGGCACTTTTCAGGGAAGAAGTGGTGCTGGAGATAGGCCCTGGTACTTTTGCAGCCAGCCACTCTACACTCAAAGCTCCCCTCCACCCAGACAAACTTCTTCCCATCCACCTGTATTTCAGATCCATGCAACTCTGCGGAGGGAAGTTTCAGGTGTAAGGTGGCTGGCAGGGAAAGCACTCCCTTCTCTGCTGCAAAGCACCCTTGGGCTCCTACTGTAAAATACAGTTCGGCCCTCTGGGGATTCCCATCTTGAAGCCTGAGGTTGCTTAGCAACCAGCCTTCCTCCGGACAACTTCCTCCCACTATTTGATCCGCAAGGAGGAAAAGAAGGGCCTGTGGAGGCAAATGCCATACCTGGATGGAATTTACAGGGCAAGGGTGGGTCACCAGTAGTAATGCCCCTCTTATGTGAAAGCCACTGGAACATCCCATATTCATGCTTTCTTATGGGGCGCTGCAGTCCTACGTCCAAGCGAAGGGAAATGGCTTGACTATTTCACTCACTTCGCTTCCATGCTGGAACATTCCATTGCTATAATTCCCACAGGTGAGGGGAATGGATTATAGAAGTGGAGCATTCCTAGTATCCACATATGGGAGGGACACATGGAACATACCACTTGCATGTTTCCCATGGGGGGGGGATTGGGACCTGTGACTTTCAAGGGTTTACACTGGGGAAAAGAAATGGGAGAATCATAGAATTGTAGAGTTGGAAGGTCCAACTGAATGCAATGCAGGAATCTTGCCCACTCATTCCTGGATGAAGAGGATTACTAGAGCATTACATTATTATCCTTCCCAGGGGACGGAGGGATCACTGTTCAATTACTAGATTTCTCAGGATGCATAAGGCCAGAGGGAGAGGGGAAAGGAAGCACATTATATTGGACACATCTTCCACCAAAGCCCAAGTGAGGGTATGAGTTGGTTGCCAATGCATCTTTTAACTCATACAAGGATGGAGAATGTGTGATCACTGGAACATACCCTTCTGAAACACGCCTTTTGTATGCTCAGGCAGGTGACAAACACAATCGCGTATACACTTTATAACCGTAGTACATGTTGGTCTTTTCCTCGTAATATGCTGCAAATCGGCTCGGAATGTGCATCCCCCCCAGCTTATGCTCTCCGCCAATGGGCGATCAGGACCACAAACCCACTTCCAGAACATGCCACTCCTATCACCCCCATCATTTGCACGAAAGCGCTTGATCTCTGGGCAGAAACAAGCCTACACACACAGGCAGGCATACTTAGGATGGCACAGCAAGCAGGTGCGAGGCAAGAGGGGGCACCATTACCTTCTTAAAGAAGGGGCGGCGCTTGGTGGTGGAGGGGGGCGTGGTGACGCTGCTAACACTAGTCTTGGGGGTTCGTTGGTTCTCCTCGGTGGCCTCCTCCTCCTCCTCTAAGTCAAGGGCGTCTGGGTCATAAGCTAAGTTAGTCATGTCCAAGGTACCTGGGAGGAGGATGGAGGGTGAGGGAGGAAGGAGATAAAAGGTAGGGGAGGAAAGGGGGAAGGAAAAAAAAACAGGGGGAAAATGCAACAACAACAACCAAAGAATGAAAAGCACTAATGGAATAGGGCGAGAAAAACAAATGAGGAGGAACAACCAGAAACAAAAGAAATAAACTGATTCGTGTATCCAGAAGAGGAACATAAATAAATAAATGGAATGGAATGGAAAACTCCAAATTTTCACAGTATATGAGCATATGGGGGAGAGGGAGGCAGCAATTAGGCAATGAGAAGCCTGCCATGTGGCTATTAGGACAGAATTTAGGGCTTGTCTGTACACGGATTAAAGTGGTAGAGCCCTGAAGTGATGGTGTGGATTGTACCGCTTCAGACTGTAGATGTGGGGATCCTGTGTTTTGTTTTTGAAAATCCTCCCAAGTTAAAAAATATTTCCTTGCAATAGTGTGTGTGTGGGGGGGGAGGAACTAGCACAGCAGGGAGCACGCTGGACTGGAACCTCCTCTCCCCGCTGCATTGGTTTTTGATCAGCAAGGAGATTTTTTTTTAAAAAAAAGTGGGAGAGGATTCAAATAGGACATCCCCACCTACAGGATGAACTGGAAGAGTCTGACCCGACCACCTCTTTCTGTTGCAGGTGCAGGTGAGCAATGTCCTTCAGATGCTTCAAACACTCCTCGTCCCACAGAAAGATGGAAAAGTATCCATCTGGGATGGTGGTGGCAGTTATGCCGTTCTCTGTTGGGCGTGAGTAGCCTTACCAGTGGCTGGCGGGGTGGGTCTCCGGGGGCCAGTCACCACATCTCCCAGGCTGGAGGTGGAGTTGTCTCCTGATTTACTGCAAGACAGAAGAGCCATTAAAGTGAGGCAGGGAAACAGGAAGAGGTTTTGGGGTGGGGAAGAGCTGTGGCAAGGGGGAAGAACCTCTGAGTCCATGCTCAGCACCTTTTCACTTGCAAAAAAAGTAAACTTCTGTATCCCAGTAAGGCTTCATAGTCCTTGGATGTACATCCATCACCATGGCATTCTGCCCCGTTAACACAATGGACTTGCACTACAGATCTACGCTCGTTTCAGATTAGCTCAACTGTCAAGTGTCCCATCCCTTAGACACTACACAGAATGAATTGGCATTAGCCATGGGGACTACAAGAATGAAATAGGCTTGAACTGGTGTAAACTGCATGGAGGTTAAGGCAGAGTTGGCCTCCCATTTGTCTTCAACGGGCAGACAAGGCTAGGTCAAGGATCAGGCATCCACTTAGAGAGACTTCCACATGGATTTCAAGACCCTCATTTTGCAGTCAGGGTCAGGGTGTGTTAGACTAGTGGGATGCATGTCCGTTTCATTTTAGTTTTACTCTGGAGAGGACGTTTCAGAAAATAGCCACAGGCCTCCAGAGGAAAGATGGTCTGAAATTGGCAGACATCTATTCACTCTAACACAAAACCTCTTAAGGTCAATGTAGATAAAGTCCTCGGAATTCTTTTGTTTTCATGAAAGCAAGTTGCTAGCTCTCTTGATTGTGGAGGAAGGTTGGCTATGCAAGGGCAGTACCTGGGAGCTGCAGTTTGTTAAGGGTGCTGAGAGTTGTTAGGAGGCCTCCTTTTCCTCTCCCAGATCTACAATTCCCAGAGCTCCCTGGGAAGAGGAACTGATTATTAAATCTGTGCAAACTGTAGCTCTGGAAGTGGAATAAAGGGGCCTTCCAACAACTCTCAGCACCCTTCACAAACCACGGCTCCCAGAATAATTGGGGGGGGGGAGATCCATGACTGTTTAAAGTGGTTTCCCAGTGCTGTAAATGTATGTGTGAATGTGGCCTAAAGTCCATCCTGGCAGGTATTGCCAAGCATGCCTGGTAGAAGCCAAGGAGCTTTTTAGGAAGAGGGTTTTTCAGCCCTGCTACAAGACAGCTTTTCCCTGAAGATGGCAGGGGCTGAATGTGGGACCTTCTATACAGAGGATTCTGGGTGGCTCAGCAGCCCCCCCCTCCTCCTCCTGCATCCCACTTCATCCCAACCCACCTGGAGCTGAGTCGATGCTGCCTCATCTTTTGCTCCTGCAGCATCCGCATGTTCTCCAGCTTGACGGGGCTGGGGATGAAGCCGACTTCGCAGCCTTCTTTGACCAGGCGTCCGATCCACCAGTCATTGTTGTATTTCTGGAGTGCAGGGGGCAAAGCATCCAAAGCGTGAGACACCCAAAGCGGGCATGAAGAGATGAGGCTGTAGCTTGCGGGTGTGCATGTGTGAGTGGATAGACCGCCAGCTTGCCCCAACAGATCACCCCTCACTGTCGCTCACACATTTGGACCCCATGCAGAGAAGGGAGATGCTCAAGAGAGCCTCTCACAGCCCCTTTCTTGCCCAGCTGCTGCACAACTTAAAGAGTAATGGGGTGGGGGACAGGAGACCAGGGTCCTGTGTGACACATTGTACCTCTTTGATATGAAGGAAGTCTTTGGGTTCAAAGGAAATAGACAGGCCTTGGACCGGCACATCGTCATTGGGAGATGGATTGTAGCCCACGTTTGTTCTCACAGCAAATGCCACTGGTTTGGTCTGCAAAACGAAAATACAGAAGCATTTTAGCAAAGCAGGGGGGAAACAGGTGAATTGTGCCCCATCAAAAACCTTTTTCCAACAAAGAAAAAGCGACTTGCTTAATTTATTTCCAGGTACAAAAAAATCCCCATGCACTTTTCTGCCTTTTTAATGGATCAGTAAAGGGAAAAATACCCTTCTTTACCTAAGCAAGGGGAGGGAGGCATCAATGAATGTGTTCTTCTTAACCCTTCTGGCTATGAAGAAACGCTTTCAAGCCAATGGGGCAATGCATGCCTATATTAACGCATCTGTACCCAGAAGAGTGACTGAGTGAAATCAACAGAAGTTAGAAACTGGGGCTTCACTGCTCAGAATAGCGCCTCATTCTTCCTGATGGCAAGCAGAAGCACCAGACATGATTCAAAATAGCAACGTATAAAGCTCAGTGGGACATCAAATCCTGGTCTGCTTTGCATTCAGAAGGTCATAGAATCATAGAATTGTCAAGTTGGAAGGGACCCCAAGGGTCATCTAGTCCAACCCCCTGCAATGCAGCTCCAGGTTCAACCCCCAGCATTTCCAGGCAGGCCTGGAGAGTCACTGCCAGCCTGTGTCAGCATCACAGAGCAAAATGGACCATTGGTCTGACTCAGTATAAGGCAGCTTCCTACTTTCCTAATGATGCAAAACAAAGAGGAAAAGCCACACCAATGTCCAAGGTAGGCCAGGGGCCTTTTTTCCTGAAATGGCTGATTTTATGCTCTGCTTATCTCACTGTCAATGAGAAGGAGGTGGGAAAGCAAGCAGCCACTCCTGGCATGAATTCCACCTGAAGCAGCAAGGGAGAGTTGCCCCCCCCAACCCCAGGCCCCACAGTTAACCCGAGCCTAGTCAACAGATAGCTACGAGACCTGCTGATGAAGGCAAAGGATGAGACTTGCTGGCTGAAAGCCCAGAGTCAGAGAGCTGGGGATGTTCTGGGTGCCAGCCACTCCCTCCCAGATCTTCCTGGCAGCAAGGAGTTTGGACCAGATCCCAGCGGTCAAAACACCTCAGGCATCCTAATTGTGAGGGCTGCTGTGGCAACAGGCTGCGCCAAGAGCCAGTAAAGAAAGGGGGGAGGGAATTGGGAGGCTTAATTAGCTAATTGCATCCGTCAAAGTCCCAGGGCTGCCGTGAAAGCGGGAATTGCTGCTCCAGGGAAGGGAAGGATGGCTTGTGTGATGAGGGCAGAAATGGCAGGACCTCCCCACCACCACTTTCCCTGCTGGCCCAGGCAAGTGGGAAATGCTGGAAAGACCAGCTGCGAATCCCCACAAGGTTGAAATACTGCACAGGGGATGGCCCCCTTACACTGGCCACTCAGCCACCCCACTTTGGGATTCTGCCTTCCTTCCCTATGACACTTTAAATAACCAGATTCCCAACAATCCACCTCCCACAACCAGGGGACAAACCCGAGAGTCTCTGCTCTCATACTCTGTTTGGATTTCAATCGATAAATCCTGGTCCGCTCTTAAAGATGTAGGAACAGCCCAAAATGTGCTATGTGCACTCTATTTTAACTAGGCAGAGGTCACCAACGTGGCACCTGCAGAGGTATTTGTTGGCATCCATAGGGCCTCCCTCCTCCCAACTGAAACGAGGTCTGAAAGAAGCATAGAATAGGCTGCAGTGCATGCTTGGTTTGGGGTATATGTGTTTGTGGGGAGGCACTTATAACAATTCCTTTGATTTGCAAACTCCCTCTTGCTTCCCATTCTTCAATAACCCACCCATATCTCTCTCCCAGATCCAAGGGTTAAGGCCCCACATCTCGGCTTCTAGTCTGTGTTTTAAGTGAAGGCTTGATGGATGAATGGATTTTCTTGAGCTGCCTCTGGGCAATTTTCTGTGGTTGTGGCACCTGTTGCAGAAACATGCAACCTTAGGAAGGCAAGCCAGAGCAAAACACCTGTAGGGTACATAAGAGAGTGTGCTGAAAGGAGGACTGGGGCCCCGCCAACCCACAGCAGAGCCCACTGGCTTTTGCGGCATTGCTTCCTGAGGCCAGTTCGCTTCAATCGAGAGCACGACTCAAGCTTCCTCTTCCCTCTTCTGCCTCCTGGAGGGATAAAATGTTACCATGCCCATTAGCCAAATGAATTTGCGGGTGCCTGGCCAGCCTGCGATTTATGGGCATCGATGGGCTTGAGCCAGTTGTGAAGAACATGGTGAGAAATTAGCTGTGTGGCAGTCTGAAAGCCAGAATAGTATGGTGGTTGGAGTTGTAGCCTAGTGCCAAAAACACATGGGTTCAAATCTTCACTCAGCCATGATGTTCAATGGGCCAGTCACCATCTCTCCATCGGATTTGACACCACAAGATTGTTGTCAGGAAAAACAGAGGAAGATACCATTTATAAAGTTAGCCCATTGGTTCCCCAAGTTCAGTATTGCTCACCAGTGACCCTCCAGGTTTCAGGCATAAGTCCTTCTCAGCCTTGCCTACAGATACCTAGAACTGAATCTAGGAGTTTCTGCATGCCAGCCATAGACCAGATGACCCTCGGGATCCCTTCCAACTCTATGATTCCCACTTGACCCACTGAGTCACAGCCCTTCCCACATTTAGTGTAGGATAAGAGGGGAAGAACCACATACACTGCCCTGAGCTCTTTGGAGAGAAGATGGGATATTGAACACAGTAAAACAAAATTTAAAAACAGAAGTCTCCTTGGGACCATCAGAATGCCATTCATCAAAACAAGCTGACGTTTGCCTGGAATGCTCTGTTCTCAGTTGTACCTATGGAAAAAGGCGCCACCCATGTGACACACTGGAGTTTCTGCAGAAACGGAAAGCTGGGATGGGCAAGAGAATGACAAACAAATAAACAGAGGGGGGAAGTAGCAGGTCCCAGCAGAATCCCATGTTGGATGCCTTGCTTGGTCCTGTCACATGCAAGATACACAACAGAGACTGAGGTCTCTGATTGCTAGACTAAGTATATTTTAGCCATTTGAATGCTTCATTTGACCAAAGTGATTTTGTGTAACTTGGATTGCCCATTTTAACGCATGCCGGCTATTGTGTCATAATATCAACACGCTCTCCTTCATGATCTCCATTACCTGGCATCCATTTTTCACTCCTGGCATTGACCCATCTGCTCTTCTGCAGGAGTGGAGACTGGGACCCAGAGTCTCTCGAAGGAGGGACGAGGGGCGCCTTTATGTATGGCTCCCCCCCCCTTGCTCACATGACCCGCTTAAAGAGCACGTGCATGGCTTCAAAATCATTTTCAATCCAGTTCTGCTGTTTGGTGTCCAAGTGGCATCCATAACACACAGCTTCATTCGCCAGCTCTGGCTGGTGATCCAGCTGCCACCCGAGAGAGAGAGAGAGATTGCTTCTGGCTGCAGTAATCCATGCTCTAACAGCATCCAAGCTGGACCACTATAATGCACACTGCATGGGCTTGACTATGGAGAGGATTTGGAAATTTAAACTGATAATAGAATAGCCAAGGCCATTCACTGAGTCTAGAGCCTATCACACCACTGTGAAAGAGCAGCACTAGCTGCCAGTTTGTTCCTGTGCGCCATTCAAATGGATATTGTGATTTGAAGCTTTTAGAACGAGGTTGGGGAGCCTGGGGCCCAAGGCGGCCCTTGGCCTAATTTCATGCAGGTAGTGGGAGCCTAAGGTATAGAAGGAAGGCGGGAGCTGGGGATGATGAGAAGAAAGCTGAAATAGATGCAGCAATGGAAGGACGAAAGAGAAACTTCTGTAAGAATTCATGTAGACCTCTGGAAAAATGAATTATCTGTCCTCCTTGCAACTTGGTGGATGGGGCAGGAAGAGGGGGCAGGAAAAGAGGGGCTCTGTCCACTTTAGGTTTTGGCTCTGGCCCTACTCACTGCTGGCTCTGGCTCCTCCCACTGCTGGCATTGTATCCAGAATACAGAATCCGTATCCAGAAACCTTAGCTCAATAATCCCTTTAGCATTTTGATGGAAGCTCTCCTGCAGGGATATTTTGCTGCCAGGGGCTGAGAGGTAGAGGCCTACCGAGTTCAAAAGCACAGAGACAGACAGCCAACTAGTCGAAGCAAAATATGGAGCAACTGAAATCAATTTGTAGCCCTGGTTTGTGTGTCCATGAACACTGAGCCCAAAAGTCAGTTAACTGATCCCACTGAGGCTTCCATAAGCCATAAGCTGGGCACCGTTGTGGTTAATGTTTCCCTCCCTTAAATTGCAATGATTGGTAACAGCCAGCTTGTTTAATTAACCTAAGGCAGTGTGGGCAAGAGTCAGCATTACGAAACTAGCCTTAACAAATCGTACACTGGCTGTGACCACCCGTGGAAGGGACATGTCCCTGGAGCACACCTGTAAAGGAGGCCAACTACGCTGTAGGCGTGGCAGGAAGCTACAGGAAGAAAAAACCCACAGAAATAAAGCAAAAATTAAAATGAGGGAGGGTGGCAGAGTGGAAGGATGGAAGACCTGAAGTCCACAGAGGCAGCAAGACCACCCACTGTTGAGTCAGGCAGGGTCACATCCATGGCATTCCCTCCTTGCAGGTGCAGGCTGTGATGGGTTGTTTCCTTGGCAGGGACAAAACTCACCCCCTACCTTCCTCTCTCACGTGCTGGAGGATGGGCCATCGGGATAAGCTGCTCCCCACAGACTCTCACATGGATCTCAATGGGACTCTGCTCTTGAATCAGATCCTGATGCCAGATAGCTTTCCCCAGCAGGCTGCATTATGAAAACCATCTCCCCCACCCTACCCTGCAATTTCTCTAGGATGTTTGAAGTTACTTTACCTTTGCCTTCTCCAGCTGTGCTAGGGCTTGGCGTTCTGCCTCCTTGCGCAGGGCTTCGCGATCTTCCTCCAACGACACATCGGAATCAGAGGGCCGACTGGTGTAGGACTCAGCAGAACCCTAAAGGGAGGAGGAGAAAAGAGGGGTGTGATGGGGTAGGTTAGGCTAGGAGACAGGAAGCTGCCTTATACCAAGTCAAACCATCAGTCCATCTAGTGCAGTCCACTCTGACTGGCAGTGACTCTCCAGGGTTTCAAAAGCAGGTGTCTGTCCTAGTCCTACCCGAAGATGCTGTGGGTTGAACCTTCTACATGCAAAGCAGATGCTCCGCCACTGGAAATCAGCAAGGACTCTGCCTCCCGGGTCCTCATATGACCTTAAAGCAAGGCCTTGGTTAACCAAGCAGGTATAAGCAGATGCTGGCAGCCTGTGCTTCCTCCCCATCTCTTGTCTCACACCTGAGCCAGCAGCCTCATCTGCCTGCTGGTTAGGCCTCTGGAAAGCATTCCGCTGCATCCTGGCATTGCATGCTGTCATTCCTGGGCAGCATAAGCAGCCCAGCCAGAGACACCGTTCGTAGGGGAATGAATCCCATCTGCTGCCTTCAAACTAGAGAGTACCTACTGCTGTCGAGCCATAAGGCTGGCGAGGTTGTTTGCCTTTGGAATCTGAGCTTAGTCTACACCCAGAACATTGGACAGCACTCGTGAATTTAGTCATGCTGACTACAGTGTTTCTAACGTTCTTCTCCTGCGCTGGACAAAGGGCGCAGGAAGTTGCTGACCAGATGCGACATCAACAAGGGACAGCTAGGGATGAAACCTACATCCAGGTGGAAAACAGAAGGATGGGTACCATCACTAACAACACACAGGGTCTAGCCTTAGGGCAAGTCCTATACACTGGTCTCACAGAAAGGCAGCAAATTGTTAGTTACCTAACAATTAACTAATTGCTCGTGGGGTTTTCTTCCTCAGGTGCCAAAATAACTGGCCTTGGCCTTGGGCACAATGAAGCTTGGTTGAAAAGGGGTTGCCAACATTCGTTCCTCTGTTTCAGGCAACACAATAACTTTCTATTCATTTCTTTTAATTTATGGTATAAAACATGGAAAGAGAATACTGTACTGAGTCAGCTCTGCAAGACTAGGAGCGATTCAGAGAGATTTCAGTTACGTTTATTTGTATCTAGTCATCAAGACCATCACAAAATAAAAATTGAACAATATGGAAATAACTAACGCAGGAGATTTTACCTCACACCCAAATAGAACTACAACACAGACCAGCTTAAAATGATGGGATTTCCTTGGCAGATCACAACAGGACCAGTTGAAAGGGAAAACGGTCCTTCTTTTAACAAATATTAAAACAAAATAAATGTATTTGTGCCAATCTGAATAAAATTATGCGAAACCTAAATTAACAAGTTAAAGCATAAAAGCACATAACTGAATAAAAGCAGACTAAGGATAATTCTTGGAGGTTCTTAGGCATTTGCCTATTTTATATGGTCTCTTGGCACAGGAGGTTTATGTTCCATGGAATATATATTTTTCTGTAAGAAGGTAGATTTTTTAAATATATATTTTTAATAAGCCACACCTTCACCCAAAAATAATTTTCACATTGGTATACATGAACATTTAAAATCTATAAACACAAACTAGAACATAACCAACACCACAATGTAATGGAGAAGTTAATGTTTCTGATAGTTCAGTGTGTGTATGTGTGTTGGTGAATCTGCCTGATTTAAACCAGTCAGCCAGGCTTCTAATAATGCTGGAATGGCAGTATAGGGAACTGCATAGACTCTAAAGTAGTTTTAAAAGCAATTTAAATCAAACTTGAACAAAATCACAAAAAGCCACAGGTTGGAGGATGACAAATGGTACCACGTTGCCTAAGAAAGTGTGTGAAGTGTGTGTGTGTGTGTGTGTGTGTGTACTTACATTGGCAAATAAAATAAAAAATACTATAATGCTATTTTATCATAAAAGTATTTGATAGGATTCTTGTTTCTCTTTCCAGCCTGGTCCTTCACATGCTTACCTAGAGGTTAATCCCACAGGGTTTACTGGGTCTTATTTCCAAGTAAGAGCACACAAAACTTAAACTTTATTAATTAAACAGGTGATTTTCTCGACAGTTACTGAATCCTGGCATACCCTTTCCCAAGTGAGGACACCACACATAGTCCCCTCATATATAGCTATAACCAAATTTTGGTTGTTTCTTCACAAAGTTATCCTCTGCCTTCTTAACAAACCAATAAAAAAAGGCCTAAACTGAATTGTTGTGGGATTTTTCTGTTCATCTGTGACCTGCCATGGCTCTTGATTATTTTCTTTTGAAAGAGACATTTTCTTCCTGTGAATGGCTCATTAAGGCTCAAAATGAGACAGGCCTTCTTACCCTTTTTCTGAAGAGAGGTAGCTTGACTGGGGTGAGAGTGAGGGGCTGAAATGTCACTGTTAATTAGCAAGCCCCCCTATGAGGCTAGGAGAGGGAAAGTAGGCTCACTGCAAGGACTAAGCTGGACTCTTAAGGGGGCCAGAACTCCACAGGCAGCTGTCAATCAACGTGGAAGGAAAGGATGGAGGGGGCTCACTTCCACCCCATTCTATGCAGACAACTTCTTGAGAACAAAAGCCAAATCTACTGGCGTCTCTCCAATAGAAGTGGATTGCTTTTTTTAATATGTGTTGAATTCCAGGGGGATACAATCTATTTAATTATCTGCAATTGATCTCCTTCCCTGTACCTCCCTGCTGCGAAAGATGCAAACACAAAACAGGTCCTCACCAAATGCAGTCACGACAGAATAAGAGGCACAACCCAAATGCACGTCACAGCGCTCCCCCCAAACCAAAGAAGAGAAGCTAAGCTGTTGAGAAGGTGGAGCAGATTTACAAATAAGGAAGGTCTTTCCATGGCAGTTTCCCAGAATGCAAGGGAGACCAGAGAATGGGCATCACTACAAATCGCAAAGTTGCAAGGAGAGGAATCATAGCAGCCTGCAAAGACGACACTTGCTAGCAAAGAGCGACAACAGCTTTGGGTAGAGACGGCTGAAGCTCCAAAGAGTACCTCCTCACCCAAAAGGCCATGGGTGGTCCTGAGCAAAACATAGCTGCAAGCTTCTTACCTGAACACACTCTCACTCTGGTCTCCTAAATGCCCACAACTTAACTTTTTGCCCTCCAGTTCCACTCCAAAATTGGGAAGCCCATGTAGTGATTGCTTCTCTGAGCTTGACAGGATGAGGTTACTTAAAGAGAGGGGGGGAGGGGGAGTCTGCACACACAGAATGCACAAGATCCCAGATCTCCAAAAGGTGTGCTCGCACCTCAAGTGTAGCAACCTCAGCCTGATGTTCACCAGCATCTGGAATTAAGGAGGAGGTGGGGTTGCAATAGATTTACCCAAACTCCTTCCCCTACAATAAAACCCTGAATATTCTTTACATAAATGATGGTGTTTTAGGAATCTACATAATCTTCTGTAGTGATCATGCCTAGACAAAAACCTGGAAAGATCCCTACTAACAAAACACAGACACACACCGCACAAAGATGTGAAGAACGCTACAAAACTTTTCCTGACAAAACCAGTATTTAGGAAAAGATGGAGCCAAGAACATCCCCACAGCACAAATGAAGAGACCTGCCAGAGTGGCAGTCAAGGACTGCCAATTCTGCCCCCGCCCCCCATTGTACGGTTTTGGTCAGGGCTTCCAGTTAATCCCCACAGAAGGGATTTGGGACCAGGATGTCACGTTATCCTCTTTTTAGGATCTTTTGATTTATTTAGGGGAGGAGAACGTTCTTTGAAAAGAGAGAAGGATGGAAAGGAAGAGTTGAGATTCAGAGAGCAAACGGGATTCAGAGTGGAAGGTGAACATAAAAGAATGAGAAAACCATGGTGCTGATGAGAGGAGACTCTCCCCCGAGATGAGCTAGCAACAGGCAGACATGGATAGTGCGGGGAAGGACCCAAATCAGCCAGGATGCATTACTCACCGCTTCTGAATCATCATCCAGCTCGTACAAGGACATCCTGCCAGGTGGCGGCCCTAATAAGGTGAAGGACACCAGGAGCACCTCCCCAATTGGGCAAAGAGGAGGTCGGAGGATGGGGAAGCTCGACACTTCCAGGAACACAGAGGCTGAAGGCGCCTAAGAGCCAAGGATGTCTACCCACCACCCTGCCTGCCACACTTTTGGAAAGAGAGAGAGAGAAGAAAGGAAAACCTGGTTGAGAGGCTTGCTGGTTTGGTAGCTTAGCCTCCTGTGCTACAGGCAGGAGATGGAAGGAGCCAAGAGCTGGTGACGTGCCTCTGAGATGCAATTGGCTTACTCATTTATGTGTCATTTATTAGCAAGGCTGGTGTGTGGCCAGGGCTCTGTGTGTGTGTGTGTGTGTGCGCGCGCGCGCCTGGTCTCACTATTTAAGAACTTAGAAATTTTCAGAGTGGGTCCTGTGGTGGAAATGTTTTAGAGCACATTGGAACTTGGGTTGTTTCAATGAGAAACAGGTCTGTTTACACAAACCATTGTTTCACGTTAATAACTCCAGTCTCTGTCTTTCCAAAGTAAAAAGCAGCCTTGCACGCTTGTGGTTTTCTGGATCACAAGCACTGGGTCTTTCTAAAAGAACAAGGTTCTACAGCCATGTACACCCCATACCTTTAAAGCACATTTTCCCTCCAAAGAATTCTAGCTTACCCTTCGGAGCATTACAATTCCCAGCAAACTTTAACCAACTGCAGTGCCCAGAATTCTTTGAAGGAAAGAATGTTTTTGCTTTGAATGTGTTTTAAAGGTAACAGTGTGCGCACGCAAACTAGATCTCAGACTTTCGAATAAGTAAAAACGTGAAGGTAGAGTTCAAAGAAGTCTGAGACCTCAGGGGACCTAAATGGCACTAAATGACCTCTGGGGACTTAACTGGCCAGGAAGCAAGATGTGTCTGATCTAAATGATCTTCACCCATGTTTGCAGGAGCTGAGCACTCTGCATTCAGATATGACACTGCACTCCAACCAAATTGGTTTGTGAACAGTGTACTGGAGTAAGACTGGTACAAGGATTCCGTGGCCAAATATCAAGGAGTTCTTCCTGCGCAATCTCACAATCCTAGTTCCCCAAACCGTGTACTAATGCATCTCACTTGAAATCTAATGTCAAAATGGAAAAGTTGCTGCTGACCCCGAAAAAAATGCAGTATCTTTATTAGGCAGCCCATTTTGTGATATTTTGGTTTGCCTAATCAAAGTGTTGCCCTAATGTGGATTTTGGGGTGTTAAAGTAGTTACTTTATAACCAAAAGTTACCTTTTCCAAAACATCCATGCCATGCACCTTCACTTAAGTACTTCAGATCTCTTTTCCATTCAATCTCAAGTCAGGTTACATTATACACCCAACCTTATTTTATCCTCAGAACAATCCCTGACAGTGCATGACTTCCCAGAAACCAGCTTGCAAGTCTCAAAGCTGGAACAGGAATTTGAACTTGGACCTTCTGCTTCCAAACACTCTGAACGCTAACTGCCCCGGTGGATTCTCTTGCCCTCCAAAGCCCCATTGCCCAGACCAATCCCCGCATCAAATGTTCTAATCAAAAAGCCCATCCTTTCCACATTCACGCTACTACTCCAACTCCTGGCATTTTTTACTTCCAATATTATGCAATTAAATAAAAGAACACAAACATCTTAAAACCAAACAGAGTTTGCTACATTTGCATAACACATTCCAGGAACAGAGTTTCTGTCTTGGGTTTGTTTTTTAAAAAGAACACCCTGAACATCTTATATCTATTTCACGCAAGATATTAAACTGGCTTTCAGCTGTCTGTGTCATATGGGCCTGCTGTTAAAACAGGGCAGAACGTGGGGGGGGGGAAGAATACACATTGTCACCAGTGACATTTTGTCTGTTATAAATATACTTAATTGGAAGCAGATTTAAAGCTGCAATCCTATGCCCCCTTCTATGGGCATAAGCCACACCAAACTCAACAAGGCATATTTCTGAGTAGATATGTCCAGGATGGTGCCATGAGCCTCACATGCAAAAACTTGTCAAAGCGAACATTGACTATTCAGCAGCTCAGAAGAGATGAGGGTGAGTGAGCACTAATAAACACAGGGAGGCATTTTATATTAAGTCACACCATGGGCTATTGAGTTCTATATTACCTTGTAATGAATAGCAGTGGCTCTCCGGGCTTTCAGTCTTCCCCAACCCTACCTGGAGATGCTGGGGATTGAACCTGGGACCCTTTGCTTGCAAAGCATTTTCTCTGCCAATGAGGTCTATGCCCCCCTCTCAGTACAAATTATACATCTTTTCTGCAACACACGCCATATTGTTGCACAGCATGCAAGAATTACATCCTGCCTGCCTACACTCACAGCCTTCTCCCCCTCCACTTCACATGCCAATTGAAACACGTTGATCCTAAATCTTCTTGGAATAGGAGAAAGGATAAGCCCCTATCACTTAAGCCAGACCCTCCAAGTGTCCCTATTTTCCAGGGACGTCCCTGATTTAGAGAAGGTGTCCCGGTTTCTGATTTGATCCAGGAATCTCCAGCTTTTCCTTAGGATGTCCCTATTTTCATTGGATAAATGTTGGAGGGTATGGAGTTATCCGACCCCTGAGCCGTCTGAAAGCAATCATGTATAGGGAAGTTTTTTAAAACATTTAATGTTTTATTATGTTTTAATATATGCTGCTCAGAGTGCTGGGGCAGCCCAATAAGATGTGTGGGGTATAAATAGGAAAATTATCCTTATGGAATGGAATGTCCCTATTTTCATTGGAGAATTGTTGGAGGGTCTGCTTAAGCACCACCACCCCTGCCTCCCCAAGCACCAGGCATCCTCTTTAGCAAAAAGGGGAGCATCGAGGTCTGGATAGGCTTTTCTGTGAATTACAAAGAGCTCTGGCTGTGGGTTGCCAGATATACTGGAGTTTGAGCGCTAGGGACAATACAACCATTCTTACTCTCTTCCAGAGCACATGTCAGAATTAGTAATGAATAATGTCCCTCTGTGTGGTCAAAACCACCAGGTAATGAATGGACTAGGAAAAGGAACTGTGATAGGTATATCACTGGGAAGGGGAAACAAAGAGTCTATAACATTTTGTTCCAGGGATCAATAAATCCAAAATTGCCACAATTCCCTGTTGCTCTACTCACAGCTGCTGACATGGATTCTTTGTCACCACAACAGATATAATAAAAGTGCATTCAAATAACAGGGCAGATTTCCTCTCCGCCCAGCCCATTTTGCCCTGCTAAACTACACATACAAGAAAGGTGATTTCATACACATCTTCCAGCTCTCAAACAGTACCAGGGCTGAAACGTTTCAGGAGAGATCCCAAAGTTCTTAAATCTAAGCAGGGGTTGGTAACAGCCTGCCAATCAAATAAGTGCAGTTGGAAGAAATATGAACATTAAAAATACATTTGGGACAGACCAGCAGCTAATCCACATCACAATAAAAAGATCCACTGTACCAACAACGACGATACGTTAGAGCTGTAAGGGGAGATTTGCAGAAGGGCTTTAATATCCTTGCAGGGGACTGGGGCAGGAAGTGGGTTTCCTGGGCAATGGAGTGGGCAGAAGATGGGCTTACTAGGGAATGGAGTACAGAGAATTGGGGGAGGGTGCAATGAGTAGGGGAAGAAGTGCCAGATTAACAGGTTTTCTAGCACAGTGGGATGGAAGACCCCATGAGGGTAGCAGTAAGGTCTATTTTGAGCTCAGAGCCCGAAGGCGGAGTGGGGGCCAAGCTAATGGCAGAGTGGATGATGGATGGCAAGGCACTGAAAAGGGGTCTCCCTGCCTAGGCCTGTGAGGGTGAGGGGGTGCAAGTGCTCACCAGAACGGGCCTGGGGTCCTTGTCGCCGGGCGTCTCCATGCTGCCTGGGCCTGGTATTATGTGGACAGAGGTGGCTCTGCCTGATGGCTGGGGGCTCGGGTTACAAACATACTGCAACATTTGCAAACTGCTGGGGTATATTTAGCCCAGGGACTGAACATCCCAGCAGTGGGGGTGGGGGCACAAGGCTATGCCAGGAGTCATTCTGGTTGACTCCTGTATTGGAGCCAATTCTCTGAGTTGGCGAGGGGGTGGGGTGGGGATGTTAGAAAGTAAGAAAAAGCAACACCTTGAGAAGAGCCAGGCATTTTAAGGGAAGCCTCTGCAATATGGAATATTAGGGGTTAGAATGGAAAAGACCCTATCATGCAGCTTATTCTGCTTTGTAAACCCAGCTCTCCCAACAGACCTGACTTGATTGCAGGGAAGCGGGGACCCAACTCATTTTAAAAGTATCAGTTTCAATTTTATCAGGAGGCTCCAGATTCCCCACCACCACAACCTCTGTGGTTAGCAACTCGCTGTGTAGGTGCACATCAAGAGCTTATCTGCTAAGCTCAGGTTCATACGGGGACACTGCTTTCCAAGTAACGCCAAGGATGCTTCAGATTCTGCACAAATCTAATTGTGCAAGTCAATGAAATGCATGCCGATTATTCTTATTTTGAATGAAGCCATTTAGCTTGCATGCTTTCTTCTGAAGTCCGTGTTTGGGAGGAGGGGTACAAAGCGGGTGTGTAACAAATGGTGTGCTTAATAGGCTACTGCGTAAATACAAGGCAATTGGTACTTACTGACAAGGCAGTGTGGGTGGGGGTTGTGCAGGATAGAAGTTTAGTTCCAGGACTGGCCCAAAGGTTTTTGATGCCCTAGGACAAAGGTTTTCAACCTTTTTGAGTCCACGGCTCCCTTGACCAACTCCATTCTTCCTGCGGCACCCTGTGGGGCTCAGGAGCCCAGCTATGTCACCCCTTGCCTGCAGAGCTGGCAGCCTCTCACCCTTTTTCAAACACCCCCCCTTGTGGAGTGTTCCCTAAGCCTCCTCTCCTCTCCTTCGGAGCCCTCTGGGCAACTGCAGCTGCTGCCCCTGGTCTCTGAGCTGCCCCCCTGCCTCAAAGAGAGGTGACTCGCAGGGGCCTGGGAAGCACCCCCTGGCCAGCCCCAGAGGCACCATTTGCCTGGGGAGCTTGTAGCCAGGGCTGCTGCAACAAACAGGCCGTGCAAGCCTTTGGGAGGCAGAGATGTGAGAGGGCATCGGAGGAGGGAGGGAAGGAAAGAGGGACAGAGGCCAGTGTTGCCCATGGCACCCCTGACTATCATTCAAGGCACCCCAGGGTGCCACAGCACACGGGTTGAAAACTACTGCCATAGGAGAATTCAGATTTTGCCCTTGACGCTTTAGGATTACATGTATGCTAAGCAGCCACAAATAGCGCATTAAATGATAGCACAACATAGCATATAAAAAGAGATGACTGGGATATTATTTTCATTCATAATGCCTGCCACTCCTTATTTTCTCCCCTTCACAACTGCATTTGTGTCCTGGGTGGTTGACTCAGAGCAGAAAGCTTTTGATTGTGTCACCTGGAATGCATCAAGCTTTTGAGCTAAAAAGCTGTGTCTGTACAGCTCGTACAAATGTACAGGCAGAAGATACCTTTTGAAGACATAGGAGGGGTTTGGATGTCACAATAAACCAGGGATGGTGAACCTATGATCCTACAAATGCTGTTGGACTACAACTGCCACAGTTCCAGACTATTGGCCATGCTTGCTGGGGCTGATAGAAGCTGGAGTCCGACAACATCTTGGAGAGCCACAGATTCCCCATCCTTCTGGTAAATCATGATTGTTCCTGATTGGAACAAGCCTAGGTGAGCCTTCAGCTCATACACAACAATAAGGAGAAGTTTAGAGGCTTTCATATCTCCATTTTTTTAAATTAACTGCAGCATGATGTTTTATCTAAACCCAACACATTGGTTTGCTTCAAACTGTTAATTATGAAGCTTACATGTTGCAACTAACCATAGTTAGGATTAGCTACACTAAAGGGTTTGGATGTAACACTAAACTGTGGTTAGCCAAAAACTGAAGTGAAAGCTCTTGAGTGTTTCTTCTCCTGAGAGGAGAGGAGAACATGGAGCACAGGAGGCTCAAGCTTGTTCCCAATGTGATAAGCCATAGTTTACTGTGATCTCTGAATGTAGCCAAGGCAGATGTACGCAGAACTTTGGCGATCAAGCAGTTGCCTAGCTTGTCTCCATAGTTGGGCCATTCCTGAGCAGCTCTATGACGTACAGCAAATCTATCTAAACATTATAGCCATAAATGTTCCATGAGCCAACAAATACAGTCTTCACAAGCAGTCTGATCTGCTTTACTGGGTGTGGAAAATATCGTGTTGATGGAGGATGCAGGTTGTGTATGTAAGGGGTGGGGAGAGGGGTAGCAGAAATCCTATTTATCATGCATAGCCCAAATGGGGTCCCCATTCGTCAGCCTAACCCCACCTAGGTTTTTCTTCTTGGATGCAAGCTCTCCTGCCGCTTTTGTGGTACTCTTGATGGTGGCCACTACCTACAGGGTTTCAAGCACACTTCTGCCACCATGAGGGCCAGAAACTTCTTTGAAACCCAAGGGAATTGGGCTTCTAGAATTCTGACAGAAATTTGATTTTAGAGAATTCTAAAATCAATTTAGATTTTAGAATTGTACAGACACAAAAATAAACAGTGTACGTAACTGCTTTTATCTGCCATGGAGAAGCACTTGTTTGTTTCTCCCCAATTCAAGGTCAATTCCTTCTCTGGCAGCCTTAATTTTCCACCTTGATTCAATAACCCTGCTGGGGCTTCACCTGAATACTAAAGAATGAGCAAGGCTTTCCTAGTCGCATCTTCTGCATCTCTTTCCCCCCTGTCATAAAGATTCTTCCAACATCTAGCATACTTAAAAGCTCCAATTCCTTGCCCTTCCTGGGAAATGGTTGCGTAAGGATTTATTTTATCACTTTCAAATGTACACATAATGCTTGCATTCAGATCTCAGAGCTCAGAGCAGCATATTAGCCTCACCAGAGCCCTCACTGCATGCCAGTGCACCAAGCGGCCTATATAAATATATTAATAAAAAACATAAAAATTAAAAGCTAAGTAAGAACATAAGACTGAGAGATAAGACAATTAACTTGCCCAAAGCCACGTTCATGGAGTGGGGTGGGGTTTTAACTTCGGTTTCCTACAGTTGGCATGAGACTCTTAATCTCAGTGTCCTGGGTTCAAGCCCCAAGTTGGGCAAAAGATTCCTGCATTGCAGGGAATTGGACTAGATGATCCTCATGGTCCCTTCCAGCTCTATGATTCCATTATTCTATGTAAAACCAACAATCCTTAGTGTTAGGTAATCATGTCAATTCTCTTGCTTCAAGATCATAACACTGGCTGTGTACACACTATATATTTAGAGCAGATTCTTTCCTTGCAAAGAATTATGGGCACCATAATTTCTTAAGTGTTCCTGGGAATTGTAACTCTGTGAGGGGTAAACTGCAGTGCCCAGAATTCTTGGCAGGGAAAGGCTTTGAATGTGCATCGGAAGTATTTTATAGTGTGTACACAGCCACTGTTTCTACACCTCATTCTCCTAGCCACCTTTTCCCTGGTCTCAGAGTAACAAGATATCAGGAGAAAAAGGAGAAGAGAGAGGGGGGCAGCCCCTCACCTTCATAATTTGGGATGTGGCTTGTCAATTTGTCTTCTTGGCTATGGGCATCAGAAGTCATACACTGCCCTCTTCTGGACAAAGGTGGGAAACTCATATCCAGAAGGCAGAAGAGGAAGGGCATGAGAAGATAATGGACATTTGGAGTGTTGTTGTTTTTTTGCTGTTGTTTGGAGCCCCGTGTTTATAATTCCCCTCCCAACCAGCAGGAGCCCCTGCCTTTCCCCTTGTCCCAATTTCCCTCTCAGACGGCGTCCTTGCAGAGTCTCAAAAATAAACCTTTTGCTGTGATTTGTTCCTCCTTCCCTCTCCAGACCCTGCAGCAGCATTGAGAACCACAAAAGGGCCTCGACTGTGGATGGAGGGAACGCTCAGCATGCAAGCGCTTTTAAAAAAGTGCTCTGGTGCTCTGCCAGAGGCCTGCTCAAGGAATCTCCACCATAGCAACGGCCTCCTACGTCATCACTATGGCAACACAAGTTCAGGTCACAGATTCCCCATCCCTCCCCTCCCAGTAGCTCTCCTTCGATTCCCCGATTCTTTCTATTCACACATTAGAAAATGGGTGCGGGTGAGGGTGAGGGAACCACAGGGCCTAGGACAGAGACGGGTGTGTTATAAAGGGGGCAGACTATTAGTCCACGCAAGACACAACTTGGTCATGATGATGCTGAAGCAACAGGGCCTTCATAGATTTTTATTTTTTTGCTTTTTTAGTCTTTAATTTTTCTATTTAAGCAGAACCTCAGTAATATGCAATAGGAAAATTTACCCCTGCATCCATATTATCGTATTAACACTCCAATTTCAACAAAAGAATGCTTTTAACTTAGATTCTAGAGGAACCGGTGAGACTGTGGTTGCAAACAGAAGTTCACTTGCCAAGGCCCAATGAATTCAATAGGATTTACTTCTGAGCTGCAGCATGAGCTTTCATCGGCAACAACCTATTGTGGAAATGTTTTTAAAGAAGATTTCCAGTCCTTGTAACTGTTGTCAAAATGTGAAAAGGAAAAAATAAATAAATGGGAGGGCAAGGTGACATCTGCAAAGCCAGAGGGGAGACTCACTAAAACTTGAGCCCGAGTTGTATCCTGACACAATAGGAAATAGGTCACATTTTGTGGCCAGGACTAGAGTGATGGAAGTGTTGTTTTCAAGATTCAGAAATGTTTTCTGATGTTAACCTGGCCAAAGACTTTAGGATGTGGGGAGCCCTACGAATGGAATGTAGCTACTGCCCCCACTAGTTCCTGCCCCTGAAGTGCTTCTGTCATCAAACTCTGTTCCCTCCCTCCATTCTGCCACTGCTCATCCAAAAAGATGCATTAGAAAACAACTTGGGTCTTCAAGGCAGAATAAGTCATGCAATACAAAACATGCAGGTTTGCTTAATTAGAATACTTTTAAAAATACTAGAATTTGTCAAGAGTTGTACAGAATTTGAAATTTGTGTGACCATGTCATGTTGAGTACAAACAGCTGTAGCCTTGGCTAAAGTTCATAGCCAGTCCTGAAAAGCAAAAGGAGTGTAGCAACTTTAAAATGCAATTGAAGAACTTAAGTATGAACTCATGGGACAACGGCGCACTACAACCCTGGTACAGATAAAGTTACCAGACAGCAACCATAGAAAAGATTGAGACAAAGACTGTCTCTTTCTAGCATAGGCAGAGAGCACAGAGTAGTGATTCCACCTGGCAAGGGGATGGAAATGTACATATCTCACCTCAGACGCCCGTTGCCTTTTAAGTAGAAGACCATGGATTCTGATCTGATGCAGTGTTTGAACCACAGGGTCCCCATCAGAGGAAACAAGGTTTCCCGCACTTACTTTGTACCCTCTTTCTTACAAATCTACTACACAAGGGCTGAGTTTCTTCCTCACTCAGTTCCAGACACTCAACCAGATGGGGGATTGCTATGGCAACCTCACTGCTTCCCTACGTGAGGGACAAAGAGGTTTCTGTTTGTCCTCAATTTGCAGAGGCAAGAAACTGCAAGAGTGGTCGAAATGAAAACCAACACATTGGGTGGGTTGGAGAGGTGCAGTTCCTGGCACCTTTCACCCAGGTGTCGAATTTGGGGGCGAGGAAGCCAGCTATGAAAACACTGGACATCCAGCAAGTAATAGTTGGAAGGGAACAGAACCTTAGACTCTCGCAGATGGGCTTATACCTTACTAATAATCCCTTTGTGTAAACATAAATAGCAATGAAACAAAACACTGCTTAACAGTGATGAGCTGCAGCAGGGGGAGGGGAGAATCTCTTTCAGCCTGAGGGCCGCATTACCTTCTGGGGGCCACATGCCAATTGGGGATCCACAGCCAAAGGTGGGCAGAGCAACGGGTGCAAAATTTACCTTTGTACAGCAGGCTGGTTTCTACACACATTCAGACACCTCTCCTCCATCCACCAAAGCTGGTGAGGGGTGTGGCCTAGGGAGAGGAGGTGTGGTCCCAAGGGCCAGACAGAGATAGGACCTTTGGGTCTGAGGTTCCCCATCCCTGAGTTAAAGCAACAACAGCCAAGTTAGCAGCCAAGCTGAAGGATGAAAGGAAATGGCCTGTCTTTGATCTCAGACTGCCCTTCTGAAAACTTTCCTATGTGGGGTAAAAAGGCACAAGGAACCATCAGATATCAGTGCCATCCCCTTTGTTAGTTGACTGCAGGGGTAGGCAACCTAAGGCCCAGGGGCCGGATGCGGCCCAATCGCCTTCTCAATCCAGTCCACAGACGGTCCGGGAATCAGCGTGTTTTTACATGAGTAGAATGTGTCCTTTTATTTAAAATGCATCTCTGGGTTATTTGTGGGGCATAGAAATTTGTTCATTTCCCATTTCCCACTTCCCAAAATATAGTCTGGCCCACCACATGGTCTGAGGGATGGTGGACTGGCCCCTGCTGAAAAAGGTTGCTGACCCCTGGCTTACTGTACAACAGGCACGGACTGATTTCCAGAATCTTAGCCTCTAGTCATTTCTTTCTCATCACCTCTACGCAGACTGCTCTCTTTGCTGCCTTGGCTTTTGTAAGCATTTAGATCCTCCATAAGCTGCAGCTGCAGCTTTTTAACAAAGCAGTTTACTCAGAAGTCAGACCCACTGAGTTCAGTGGGAGTTACTCCCGGGTAAGTGGGTGTAGGATTGTAGTTCGCCTGAGTAGCCGAATGCTGCCTTGTTCACAGAGCCCTTGGGGGGGGGGACCAAGTGGATCTATGGCATCTATGTCAGAGAGCACAGTTTGCATTCTTAGGCATAGTTCTTCCCAGTGCCTTTTTTTCTAGAAAAATAGGTGCCAGTACTCACCATGAAGTTGTTACAATAAGTGCCACACTTTTTAACAACAACAGAAGAGGTGCCAGTACTGCATACACTTGAGTATCCCCTGAAAAATAGCACTGCTTCTTCCTATTTAACTGGTTATTGTACATGGGGAAATAAGTGGATTTGCTGCCACCCACAAATGGAAATACATTCCTCATTGCCCAGAGCAAAATATTTTGAGAGGAGGAAGGTGCCCAGAGAGTTCGAGAGAATTCCTAATTCTGCATCAATGACATTTAAAAGTAAGTGTTCAGAATAAACGTTGTCAAATGATGTAATTTGGCTTTTTCATAATTGCATGAACTATTGCGCCAATCTACTGGTCGTATTAGCATTTCCTTTGGCAATGGACGAGGAACAGGAAGGCAAGGGAAGCAGGGAGGTGTAGCAAGGGAAAAGAGAGAAAGAGCCTGTGAGCCGTGGAAAGTGACTAGGCATGTGCTTGGGAAGGAATCTCTTCACCCCTGACTCCCATCCCCATAATCCTGAAAGCTCTCTCCCAACTCCCTGTTCAGTTTCTCATCCTTGAGTTACGCCTTTGCAGCAGGTGGGAGAAATAGCAAACTTGCAATGAAAATGCTGCCCACTGGAGGGAGATTCTCAAAGTCAGAGAAATCACAGCAGGGCACATTGAAATTAATGTGTGCTGTTCTTTCAAACACCATGTACTAATAAGCAGCAACCACCACGTGAGAGATGTGAATTCCCTCAGTTATAAACTTCACGTTACGCCCCTGCAGCCCTTCGATTCCCAGCCCCCTCCCTCTGCTTGAGCTTACCTGCCTGACGAAACTGTTTGAAGTCGTGTCAGATGAGGTGCTGCCATCGGAGCGTTTGAAGCGATTCTTCCTTTTGCTATATTTCCCCTAGGAGGTTAAAGAGGATGCAAAGATCAGAGAGTGTGCAAAGGTGGTAGGAATAAATACAAGCGCAGACCTAGGTAAGTGTATGCAACTCACTGCTAAACCAAAGCTACAAAACAAAACAAAAATACACCTAGTTTTGCATTGTTCTCCTTGGCTTGCTCCCCCAGTACCATATTGTTGGACCCCAACTCCCATTGGCCCCAACTAGCATGGTCAATGAACAGGGATGATGGGTGCTGTAGCACAACAACATCTGGAGGGCCAGAGGTTTACCAGACCTGAGCGAAACAGTATCTTGATCTTCTCAAGGAAGGCAAAAACACTGGACAACAAATAGGTAAAATACATTCAGTACCAGAAGTCTGCTATGTGCTGAAAGCAACAGGCACAGCTTCCTGCTTGGAGAGTTTATATCTACGTAAGATGAGAATATAGAGAATAGTGTCTGACAAAGGTAAAGGGAGAGTGGGGGTGGATGAGGTTAGCCAATAAATCCACACATCACAGGACTGTCCCAGCATGGACCAAAATGATTTTAAATCATGATGAGCTGTAATTGTTTTGATACTGAAATCAGAATCCTCTCCACCCTCACATAGGGGCAGCTGGTCATCAGCCACAGTAATCAGAGAGGATCTTCTCCAATATGCATAAGGAGGCAATTACATTTACCTGAGTACCAGGCCTTGGCAGTTGTCAAAACAATACTGAGTAGGGTTTTCAGACTCTGTTCCATTTATGTATATCATTATGTTTTTATTTGCTACTTCTCTCCCACACATACTCATTTTCTCTCATATATCCTTGTGCCTAAACCTAATCAGAGTGTGGGTGCCTGTGAGGAGATGGAAAAAGCAGGGCCTCTCTCTCACACACACACACACACGCACACCACTCGACCCTGCATGGCACGGCCATAAAACCAACTGACACATCCATCTGCTCTTCAGAGTCCTGGATGGTCTTGCCACCCACCCACAGCATCATAGGCCAGACACCAATTATCAGAGCACAGGGAGATGGTAGTGGAAGGCTATCCAAACACTAATTACCTTGCAAAGCATATTAGCAAGCATAACGGGAAGCCACACCTCATACAAGGCCCTGGATCAAAACAATCAAAAACTGCTTCAAAGCTGCAAAAGGAAAGGAACTCCGCACGCAAGGGTACATGCAAAAGATGACCTTCCTTTTAGTCTGCAGTAACTTAAGAGACAAGGGAGGCGGGTGGCGCTGTGGGTTAAACCACAGAGCCTAGGACTTGCCGCTCAGAAGGTCGGCAGTTCGAATCCCCGTGACGGGGTGAGCTTCCGTTGCTCGGTGCCTGCTCCTGCCAACCTAGCAGTTCAAAAGCACATCAAAGTGCAAGTAGATAAATAGGTACCGCTCCGGCGGGAAGGTAAACGGCATTTCTGTGCGCTAATCTGGTTCGCCAGAAGCGGCTTAGTCATGCTGGCCACATGACCCAGAAGCTGTACGCCGGCTCCCTTGGCCAATATAGCGAGATGAGCACCGCAACCCCAGAGTCAGTCACGACTAGACCTAAATGGTCAGGGGTCCCTTTACTTTTACCTAACTTAAGAGACACTGATTCTGTACTCGCATTTCACTAACGCAGATTAGGATCGCCACTCCATAACTCCACACAAACATGCCCAGAGTTATACATGCAACTGATTCATTGCTAAGGAGTAGCTCAGCTGGGATGTGTTTTGTGCTCAAACCTGCTACAGGCACAGAAGGGTTAAAAAGGAATGTGAGAATATTCATTTCCACTTAATGGGAGGGGCAACGGAGTAAGCACTGCAAATTCATGAGCTGTGTATGGGTCATGTCAGATGCAAGGACTCTGCAACTCGGATCCAATGCTAAGGATGCCAAAAGTTGGCCTAAGGATGGCCATGTTGGCTGGGGGTAATGGGAGCTGTAGTCAAAAACATCTGGATGGTACCAGGTTGGTGGAGGCTGTTGAAAGCAATAGATCAGTGCTCTATAGACCAGGCCCTGAGATAGGCAGGGGAGGGCCTGTTGGTGTTGCCCAGTTGGCACTGACCCATAACATTCTTGGTGGCAGCTCCCCATTCGTGGAATGCCCTTTCTGGTGAGGTGCAGCTGCTTAATTTTCAGCATGAACTCAAAAATATTGATGGCTGAAACATAACCCAGGGATTTTGTGGCTGAAAGACACTGCCCCAGGCAACCTTAACATTATTAGCTGGGGGGGGGGCTGTTTTACATGTTTTTAGATGTTTTAAATTGTTTTTTGTTTTGGACCAGGCTTCCTCAACCTCGGCCCTCCAGATGTTTTTGGCCTACAACTCCCATGATCCCTAGCTAGCAGGACCAGTGGTCAGGGATGATGGGAACTGTAGTCTCAAAACATCTGGAGGGCCGAGTTTGAGGAAGCCTGTTTGGACCATACAAGGATTGTTGGAGTGCTGTGGAACCTGGGGCCCTCCGAGTGTAGTTGGCCTCCAGTTCCCAACAGCCCCAGATAGCATGGTCAATGGTTAGGGATGATGGGAGCGCCAGCCAAGGGACACCAGGAGATCACAGGCTTCCCTACCCAGTCGTACGAACTGCCGAGATGATTATGAGAAATTCTTGGAGAATTTGGAGAAAGCCCCTGATCAGTTGCAAATGTTGCTATAATATTGCAGGCCGTGGGATATTTCCCCCACATATGAGGCCGGAAAGGATGGAGAGAACTAAGCACAGTTTTCAGTGGGAGAGAGCAGGAAGATAACTTGGGAAGGCCAGCAAAAGAACAGGAGCAGGGAGGAAAGTGTAGGACTCAAAGCAAAAAGAGAAAGGGAGGAAGAATCTCTCTCCTGCATCCTCAGGTGTGTAAGTATCAGGCAGCCTCTTGCCATATCCCCCACAGTCCTGCTTCCTTCCCTGCCCAGTTCATCACCCTCTGCTGGTCACGGCAGCGTTTCCCTCTCCCTCTTTATATAGAAAAGAAGCATCACCAGGTTCCTTTTTTGGAGAGGGGGGAAATAAATGTACCGGCTTCATGCTTCCACCTGCTTCTAAGAATCACAGCTCCGCCCCATGCCTTTTTTTTTTGCAGAGGGACAGTCCCCAGAAAAATCCAGGCCCTTCTCTCTAGGGTGTGTTGAGAGAGGGAGCGTGGGGGGGGGGGGGGCTAGAATGAACCAGACACTTCCCAAGTATGTCTCAGGGAGAGGGAGAGGGACAGCTGGCAGAGGAGAAGGCAGTTGTTACCAGGCCCCCGCAGACATGGTTCTCGTAGTTCTAAGGCCAGGCAGGGCAAGGCAAGGAGGCAGAGACCGGAGGGCTGGGTATTTTTAGGCCTTTCCTCCCCGCTTGTTCTAATTAAGGCACGTGCGTCATACATAGCTGCAGAGAGCAGTCGGGATCCACCACCTGGGGGGTGGGGGTGGGACCACAGAGAGGGACAAAAGGAGGAAAAGGGGTAGACTCACTCATGACATTCCACACACCAAGAGAGTGGGTGGAGCACTACTCTCTGCGAGTTTCAGATGAAATGGGGGAATTGCTGGTGCTGGGAGGCTATATGTTTAAGGTTCAGGTGGGGGTATTGCTGCTGCACTGAGCTAGACCAAACTACTTAAGGACCACATATTTCACCATCACATCAATAAGAGCTAACCTGTACTCTAATGTAGAGGTGGCCAACTTCAGGTGTTGTTTGGAGCACAGCTGCCATCAGCCCCAGCCAACATGGCCCATGGTCAGGGATGATAGGAGTTGTCGTTCAACAGCACCTAGAGGGCACAGTTTTGGCTAAGGTGGCCTTATATTGGGTTCTGTCACCAGAAGCCTTTGCTTGATACTCCCATCGAGCTACTACTCTCTTATCCATCATTCAGCTTGGGGTATATCTCCTCTGAGGTCTTCCTTCAAGCTGGTATTTCTCACACTCCCTTGAAGCACATAAATAGTCATTAGAACCTGGAATCTTTAAAACACCACCACTGGATCCTGCTGTCTTTTTCTGTACTTGGTTGTCTGTACCTGTTTTATATTCCAACCTCCCTACATGTACCAGTGGCTTACTTGATAGCTATGTTTTGTTCTTTTTCTTTTGTAAGCATACTTGAATAAAATTAGGAAAAATATAAAATGAAAGAAAAAGAATCCAGAATCTCCCATTTCTTAGATCTCACAAACAGCACCAGGTAGGTACATTTGCTTAGTACATTCTGCCACTGAGATCCACTTACTCTGTTATCATCCATCCAACCGGCAAAGAGAGAGGGAGGCTGGACATTTTGGCCTCTCATATTATCTAAAACTGACCTGCTGTCCAATCTGAGTTGTTGTCTCCCAGTACCTACATTTGCTCACTAGAGTCAAATACATTAGTACCCCTTCCCTAAAATGACTCAAACAATGTCTTGGCAACCTCCTTACATGCTCCATCAGAACCACAGGTTCACACTAACCCTTGTCTCCCTGGGCCAATCCTCTACCCCTAGGGCAAGAGTGGGGCAGCAGGTAATGGTGGACTTGCTAGGGGAGCACTGCCGGTTTTCAGTGGACCACTTGCAGCAGGAGTGGGGAATCTATGGCGTTTCAGATATTGCTGGACTGCAACCATCACCCCTGACTACAGGCCAGGTTAGCTGGGGCTGATGGGAGTCCAACAACATCTGGTGGGCTACAGGTTCCTTACTGCTTGCTGGGATTCTTGGAGAGAATGATGAACCGAGAAAACCTCAGCCTGAGCCACTGAGGTGCTTCTTATGTGCTTCAGGAAGAGTGCGTACAAAAGATGACAACTATGATGAACAAGAGAAGCAGCGAGACAGCCATCTTGCACTTTGAGATAATGGAACAGGGACGTTTGAGTCAGAGGTTACAATCAATCCAGCAGTGTACAAACAAGCCCTTATTCTGTGTGAGTTTATGTTGCAAACCCACCTTGGGGTCCATTATAATAAAATATAGTAAATAAACAAGGACACACTACTCAGAGCGCTTAGTGCAGTGTTGCTATGCCTGAACTGTTAAAAAGGGCTGAGTATGCAGTTTGCTATATACATTTGAGCATACAGCAGCAGACGACAGGAATTCTAGATAAAACAGAAATAGCTAGATCACACAAGATTGATGTTGGCTTATCTTCACCCTAGAATTTTCCTACCCCACAGAGAAGACTGATACCACCTCCGCAGTCCCTTCTGAAACTTGTTGATAGATCCACCAGTGTCCTATTGGCTGTAGAAGCTGCTGGGAGATACAGAGGTGGGGGAGAAGCTCTGGGTGGTCTTGTGTGTTTAGTGCCAAGTTTCCTCAAGAGACTGGTATACTCCCAAACCAACCCATGGAGATTCCATGAGCACCTTCTCCATGTGCAGCTGGGTGTGCCATCCAAATACCTCAAACCATTACTCCTCTTTTTCCAGATGAAAGGAATCTGAGTCATGGGAGATGAGGCTGGAAGTCAGTGGCAGAGAGCAGGAACAAGTGGTCTTCATCTCCCAATGTTTTAACCCAGCCTTTGCTAAGCTGGTGTTCTTCAGACGTTTTGGACCACATCCAAGTTGTAGTCCAAAACATCTGGAGAGTACCAAGCCGGCGAAGGCTGCTTTAGCCACTAGTCCCTCACCTGAAACAGGAACAGATCTCAAGGGCTATGGTGCTTAACATATCTGGTGCAATCCCTTTCTTCATTTGATGCAGCCCCTTCTAGACCCCGCACAGGCCACAGCCAGAAGATCCTTTGGTCTGGCTTTCTGCAAAATGTTTGCGTGTTTGGATGGATGGACGTGCATTGGTTTAATCTCATCCGCTTGCATGGAAAGGCACGGCAGGGACAGCACGAAAAGCAATGCATTTTTTCCACCAAGTGGGTGCCCTTGGCGTCTGGGAGCCGATCCCGTAATGGAAGAGGCAAGGGAGCGGCTATAACTGATCCCAAGCGGGAGGAGAAGGGCTGTGCAAGGTACATTCCTGGTGCGCCTCTATGTAGCTAGGCAAGCTTCTAAAAAACCATCGCAACCCTCAAATATGCCATTCTCTCCCTCCAACTCCATGACTCACATCTCTCTCCCTTTGGCTCAACGCCCCCCCCCCCCAGGTGCCTGTGTGTCCAGGATCAAAGTCAGAATCTAGGAAAACATAAAAGCTACCCTCTCCCTGCCTCGACGACGCCATCCCCCTCAATAACACGCGGGGCTGTGGTGGTGAGAAACGGGTGAAAGCCAGGACCGAGGGTGGATCAGCCCATGTCTGGGAAGGATGCCTGGCTGTCGCTTACAATTAAAGGTCTCCTTTCCCTCTCCACCTTCCGATTTCTTCCCCGCGCAAAGCTCTCCACCCGTCCAAAGTTCCCCACGCCCTAACGCCATGAGTCCTCCGCCCAGCGGGCTGGCAGGAGAAGGCAACGGATCGGGCTGCGCCGCTACTCACCTGGAGGCCCGGGTTGTCCAAGACCTCCATCTGGATGTCTTGGCTGGAGCTGTAAGGTGTGCGTGACATGCCGCCGTCCTGCACCATGGAGATGTCCGTGCGCCCTCGGCTGCGCTCACGCCGGACTCATGGTGGAAGCCGGAGGTGGCTGGGCGCGCCTTTCGCCTGCCAAGAAAGCCAGCCTCTTCCTCCTCCTCCTCCTCCTGCCGCCACCCACCCCCACCCGCTAAGCCCGTAGCCTCGGCATGGCCCCTCCTGGTCCGAGACGCGGCGAGGAGCGAGCAGGCACCCTCCGCCGGCCGCCCTGATGGATGAGCGCAGCGTTCCAATCAGAGGGCATCGCCGACGGACGGCTTCCTGGCAACTGGCGAGGGCTGGCTGGCTGGCTGCTGCCTCCCGCTCCCCCGGGGGAAGAAAGGAGCGGGTGGGTGTGGTCTGAGCCAAAGTGCGGCCGAGCAGATGGCGGGGAGGGAGGGAGAGCGAAGATGGAGACTCGGCTTGGCGCTGGCTGCCAGCCAGCCACACCCCCACCCCGCGCACCCAGATCCTATCGAGATCTACCTGCTGCTGTTGCTGCGGCCACCGCTCCAGACTCCCTATGCAGCCTATTCAGCTATTTTCTCTATCTAGTCCTAGCATTCACCCTCCCCTAAACACACACTCTTCTGTTTAATAGTCAGGGGGTGGATGCACACGACCATTTTTCCCCTCCCAGTTGCCAGCTCTTTTCTCTCTTCCTCACTACTCAGGCTCGGTACACATCAATATTGCTGAGAAACACAACATCACAATCTTTAAATTTTGGAAAGCCAAAAGACATACCCTCCAGTACTCTAGGAGTTTCTTCTTCCTCCCACCCCAGCAGTTGTTCCTCCATCCTTCCACCAGTTCCTTCTTTCTTCTGCCCTTAGGGAATCCCACTTGTCCTCCAGGTGGTGGTCTCTTCCTAGCACTTTTCTCCCATAATCTCAAGTGGTGAATGGGTAAGCTAGGGTCCCTCTCTCAATTCAATTATTGGTGGGGGTGGGCAGGAATTGGCAATCGGTCTCCACTCTATGAAATTGGATTATCTTTCTGTGCCACTGCAAGTGAACATTAAGAGCCTGCTGGATCAGGCCAATGGCCCACCAAGTTCAGCATTCTGTTCTAACTGTTCTATCCCAGAAGTGCTTAGGAATCACACAAACAGGACCTGAACGCAGCAGCAATCTCCTTTGCTTGTGATCTCCAGCAAATGGTATTCAGAGGCATACTGCCTCTGACAGTGGAGGCAGAACATAGCCATCCTAGGCAGTAGTAGCTGTTGAGAGCCTTATCCTCCTCGACTTTGTCAAATTCTCTTTTAAAGCCATCCAGACTGGTGGCGATCACTGCCTCCTGTAGGAGCAAAAGTCCATACAGTTTAACAATGCACTGCGTGAGAACTTTCTCTTGACTATCTCAAATCTTCCAACATTTCAGCATTCTGCAACAGGTGCCTTTAAACATTTGTCAGCTTTGCGTCTGATCTTTTGAACATGCCATTACCAGTGCATAAGTTACACCTCAGGTACTGGACAAAGATTTTTGTAAGCAGATGTTGCAAGACAGCTTGGCTTATTTCTGTGCTAAGAAAACTTTGCAAAACCTTAGCTTCTACGGACTGGAAGCTTTGCAAAGATGCTGTGCAAGTCTTTAGTTCCAGGACCAGCAGTCAAGCAGGAAGCCTTAGAATTCATTGAGTAGTTTGATGACCTCTTTTTGGCTTTTGAATCCTTGACATGGCCCCTCTTGCTGGCACAGAAAGAGGATGAATTAGTGTTGAACTTCCTCTAATAAATGTTTATCTCCTGGTTTATCTCCTAGTCACTCTCCTGGGAGGTTAGCTCATCCCTATTGAATATAAGTGCGTGTGTGCCTGTGCCAGCTCTCACTTTGTAATAATCTGCAGCAGGTTTCTGCAGGAAAGAGATGTGGCCTGTTTTGCTGCAGCTGCTCTCAAGGTTTCATGTCTCTAGTTGGTTCCTTCACCAGCAGCCATGCTCTCTCAAGGGACCAAGTAAGAAAGAAAGGGTTGCAATGGAAAAACAGGCAGGATAAAAAAGCAAAAGAAACTGCTGAGGGAGTTTCAGGTTGGAAGACAGGTGTGTGAAGGAAACTGGGGAGTTTGAAAGAGTTGCAGTCTGTAAATACACTTAACCCACATGGGAAGCATATTCCGGGTTGTGCAAGGACATAGGCTACATACACTGGTACCTCGGGTTACATACGCTTCGGGTTACATACACTTCAGGTTAGACTCCGCTGACCCAGAAATATTACCTCGGGTTAAGAACTTTGCTTCAGGATGAGAACAGAAATCGGGCTGCGGCGGCCCGGCAGCAGCAGGAGGCCCCATTAGCTAAAGTGGTGCTTCAGGTTAAGAACAGTTTCAGGTTAAGAACGGACCTCCAGAACGAATTAAGTACTTAACCCGAGGTACCACTGTATGGCTTTTGTAGTTTGGTAGTGTTGCAATTACTGCAAAATGCTAGCATGGATTCTTAAGGGAGATAGCAGGATAATCCATCTCAAAACTGACCACTAGTGAGAGTAGAAATGAAAAGGAGGCTTCTGAAGTTTATGAATGTTCTGGCAATAGCTATTTGATTTAAACCAACCCTACCTGATGTTTACTACTTTTAAAACTGACAAGGAAGGACACCAACGTTCAAGAGAACACTCAGGCATCTGATTCTCATCCTGAGGCAGGTCATCTTCCACCATGCCAAGAGAAAGTCAAAAGGTGCTTCTGGATTATCCCTATTTTCAGGTGGGATTAAATCAGGCTTCCTCAACCTTGGCCCTCCAGATGTTTTTTGCCTACAACTCCCATGATCCCTAGCTAGCAGGACCAGTGGTCATGGATGATGGGAACTGTAGTCCCAAAACAGCTGGAGGGCCGAGGTTGAGGAAGCCTGGATTAAATCACATACCAGGGAATTCAGGTTGTACAGTGAGAAAGCCTTGCACAACAAACCTGTTCCCTACAAAGATCAAGTTGTTCGCGATAAGGAACTTGACAGGAAATTGTACTGGAAAGTGTGGGCAATACTTGTGTTGATGCAATATCTAACCTCCCTGAGAACAAATCTGAATGCATAGGTAGTCTGGAAGTGTCTGAAGTTTAAGTTTCTGATTCTTCATGCAACATGACAGCGATTGCACAACTCTTCCTAAGACCAGCAAGGATCATGGTTGGTCCATCTAATTCAGCATTGTCTGCAATGACTAGCAGTGGCTCTGAAGGGTTTCAGACAGGTGCCTGCCTTTCCCATTCCTACCTGGGGTACACCAGAGTCTGAACCTGAGACCTTTTGCATGCAAAGCAGATGCTGTACCACTGAGCTATGGCCCTTCCCCACATGCTTCATCACACTCTCTTCACTTTAAAATGAACACTGAAAATGTTAGTTTTAAGGATAAAAAGGCACATAGTTCTCCTTTCACGAGGTGGGTTGGAAGAGTCAAACTTGAAGCTGACATAAATTCCCCAGTGAATAATAACAAAATCAGTAGAAAAAGACTGTCACATTTAATTTCACTCCACCATTCAATAGCACAAATAAACCTCAGTCCAGTTACCAAAGTTCTAGGGTTTATTTTTAACTATCTGAGCTTAAACCTTGCCATAGCCTGGATGCTCAGAGCACATAAAATTGTTGAAACACATTACAATAAAAATAAAAATAAAACTTACTGTCCGTGCACACATTTAACTCTAGTGGCCAATTGCCTGTTTTATCAACATGCTTCGGCAAGGGCTTTACTAAGCATCAAGGTGAAAGGTGTTTGAAAAATGTATTTCAGCTATTACTTCCTTTATGTTCGAGGTCAGTACAGTGGACGCTCGGGTTGCGAACGTGATCAGTGCGGGAGGCACGTTCACAACCCGCAGTGCTGCGTCTGCGCATGCGTGGGTTGCAATTTGGCGCTTTTGCACATGCATGAGCTCTGAAACCCGGAAGTAACCCGTTCTGGTACTTCCGGGTTCGGCGTGGTGCGCAACCCGAAAACACGCAACCTGAAGCATCTGTAACCCGAGGTATGACTGTACAGTTAAGGATCACCAGGACAGAGACATAGGAAATAGGATACAGAACAGGAAGATTTAATGTTCAATTTTAAAAACTTGTAATCAGGTGAAGAGTAGGTAATAATATTAACAACAACAATAAAAATAATAACACTATTTTAAACAATCATATGCTATCAATCAGTTTATTTTTCAGTAACACTGGAATTCTAGGCATATCTCCCAGGAAACGCTTCAAATGGGGTTACTTCTGCGTAAACATATTTTGGGAAGGGTCATAGTTCAGTGGCAGAGCAACTGCTTTGCATCCCAGGTTCAGTCCCTGGCATCTCCACACAAGGGCTGGAACTGGAACGCCCAAAATCCTGGAAAGCTGCTTCCAGTCAGTGTAGGCGATAATGCATAAGATGCACCAGTGCTCTGATTCCAGTAGAAGTTGGCTTCCTATGTAGATAGTCACACTACTATTTACATCCAATGGTAATGTAATGGTAAGTTTGTTTGTTTATTTATTTATTTATTTAATTTATAGCCTACCCTTTTCTTCCAGGGAGATCAAGGTGGCATACCTGGTTATCCCCCTCCTCTCACTGAATCCCCACGGCCCCCCCTTGTGAGGCAGGTTCAGCTGAGAGGCAGTGACTGGCCCAGGATCATCTAGTGAGCTTCATGGCTGAGTGGGGATTTGAACCCTAGTCTCCCAGGTCCTAGTCTGACCCTGTAATTGGCTTTATATTGTCCTTGTTGTTTTTATACACCTGCATGGCGTTTAAGATAGCATACATAGTTGTCTACCCCACCCCACTTTTACCCACACAAGGATGGACTGGGAGGTAAGATAGGCTGAGAGTGAGAGTAAGTCATTGACCCCAGGTCACCCAGACCAAATGAGCTATTAGGGACTTCAACTCCCATCAGACCCAGCCATAGCCAGCTTAACTTGATGGGAATTAAAGTCAAAATATGTGGTGAAAGCTGCCCTAGTCCTACTCTCTGATCAAGCAGTACATCAATATATATATTTACTCAAATGCCATAATTGGTATTTTAAGATGCCCAATGAAAACCTACCGGTGAGCAACCAAAATAAAAAGATAAAGCACCGTGTAAGAATTAATTCAGCGCTAGGGAAACATTACCAGTTGTCAGAAAGGGAAGGGGGAGAGTGTTTCAGAGAACATCTAATATTGCTGTTCTGCTTCAATGGCTTATCACATGCGCCCAAGCCACAACCTTATTTGCTTTCAGCCGCCCTTTCTCCCTGTCAGTCAACGAAAACAACCCCAGTAAACATATCAATGATTTCACCGAATACATCAGAAATTGCAACATGCTACACTCATCGCGCAGGCGCACTCTTTTCAAACAAGTCCGGACATGTTTTGTGCGATCAGAGTCGCAGCGCAAAGGCGGATGGATTTAGCCATAGACTTAGGAATGTAGAGAAGCACACGGGCGATAACTTTCGGGTTTACGTTGGGCGCCATTTTTTTAGTCTCTCCCGAAAGGGAGGTGAGGGCTGTCTGCAGGAAAACAGGGTTTTCGCGTAGGTGTGATTGGTCAGGCTCCAGCAAAAGGCTGCAGCAATGGACAAGATTTTCTACTTTTCCTAATTCAGACCTTTAGTGGGTCTGCAGGAGTCACTAGCTGCAAGTTAAAGGCTGTTTTGCATAAGTGAGTTTTAGCTGGAAATCTAAATCAGCCCTACCCCACACCAAATAATTTGCACTGTTAATAGGCTACATTGCAAAGCTATCCTAAGCCCCTCTCTGTGCCACAGCAGCCCATCCTGCAAATAGAGAGTAAATGGACCGTATTGATACTGTCCTGTTTTAGCATGCGGGTGGGACGCTGTTTTCAAACACAGTTAAAATAAAATGTGGATTTCTCCATTTTTTATTTATGGGCGGCTCTCAGATCCAGAGGGAAAAAGAGGAAGCCTCAGAAATCATCAAGTTTAATATCTCCAGTATGAAGAGAAAGTCTCCACTTGTTTCTTTTCTGCAAGCGCCTCACAGCAAAACTATGGCGTAATCTTTCCGGCCATGCGCAAAACTCTTTTGGCTCAGGCGCAGAATCCTCCCGGAAGCGCCTCCCCACGCGAGCATACGCCTAGACATCCGCGCAGGCGCAGTTGGGCTTTAGGTCATACCACTCTCAGCTCCATAGGGGGGACAGAATTTGTTGTTTAAACCACTTACCCCAGCTGCCTTAACTCTCACATTTTCCTCCAGTTTGTCGTTTAAGGTGAAGAACTTTCAATCCTGGTGGGGGACCGAAGGCGAGTCGATGAAGGCGGAGTGAAAAGGGAAGAGAGGGGTGAGTGGTACAGCCCACTGACGCGTCGACTAGTAGGCTGGCCAGTGCGCGCTTCCTTCCTCTCTTTCTTTTTAGTGCCGTCGGCGCCGCCGCCATGAGGTGAGGAGCTGCGGAGTAGTAGGCGGCGGGGGGGCCTTCAGTCTCCGTGGGGAGTTTTGGGGGGGGGAAAGGCCGAGGCTCGACGAGTGAAGGAAGGGGAGAGAACAAAAGCCAATAGAGAGAGGCTGTTTCGTTGAGGGCGCGCGACACCGTTACGGAGGGACGGTTGGGAGACGCGGCCTAGTAGCGCCTGAAGGGGGAGGCGGCGGCGACGACGACGACTGGGGGTTCGAAAGGGGAGGAGCCTCCGCGCCTGCCACGAGGGGCTGGCAGAGCCGAATTGGCGGGTTGGGGTGGCGTCCTCCCTCCTCTGGATGGTCCAAAGTGGGCTGTGGGCGTTAAAAGGCACGGTGGGGCCCGAAAACGGAGGGAAGCCATTGAGGATCATAGAATTGTAGAGCTGGAAGGGAGGTCCACCCCCCATGGGTCATCTAGTCCAGCCCTTTCCAATGCAGGGATCGCAACCTTGGCCGATGGCCTCTATACAACTTTGGATGAGAAACCTCCAGTGAGGAGAGAGGCCGTCCGAGGGAGACCCTTCCCACTGTCGGAACAGCTCCTCCTGCCAGAAAGTCCTTTCTTAATGTTTAGTCGGGAGCATCACAACAAAAGGAGGGGGGATATTTATTTGTTGCAATTATATACCATTTTCTTTCCTCCGAGGAACTCGAAGGTGGTGTTCGTGGTTCCCCTCGTTTAATCCCCACAATCAACCTTGTGGGATGGGTTAGACTGGCAGGCAGTGACTGGCTCACAGGGTCACCCAGTGAGCTTCACAACCAAATAGGGAATTTATTTATATGCTTATTAAATCTGCCTCCCTTTAGCTGAAGATCTCAGGGCAGTTCACAGCATAAAAATACAAGATAAAAATACAAAATACATAATAAAAGTGAGCAAAATAAAAGCAAACCCATAACACACACTCCCACAAACACATTTAAAATGACATACACTGTTAATCAGCCAAAAGCCTGGTTGAAAAGGAATGTTTTTCCCTGGCACCCAAAGATGTATAACGAGGAATTGAACCCTGGCTTCCTAAATCCAAGTCATGCAATAACCACTATACCACACTGGCTCTCAATGCTTCTGCTTCGCATGCATTGTTTCCATAAATTTTTCAGCCTATCTGGAAGATAATCACACCCCCTTCCCCATAGTGCAGATAGTGTTTCATGAGAGGAGAGTGGTCAGTTGAAGGCTGGCCGGTGTGTTCCATGGCTATGCAAGAGTTAGAATATCCAAACTCTAATCTCTCTCTTGTATACACATCTGGATCTCTGACATGACAAATCACCAAAGCAAAAAAAGTTATTACAAATGTTATAAAGGTGTACCAGGGTTTGCAGATGGTTGGTAGCTGTTGCTTTACTATCACAATAACCCACTCCTGATTCAAAAACGTCTTAATAAATAATACTGTTGGATTTTGATATCCTGTACTGTACTTTATCAGTACTGTGCTATGTTAATAAAGTGTACACTGGAGTTATAGGAAGGAGTCCTCATGCAGCAAACCTGTTTTTCCTCTCAGAGTAATTGGGTTAAAATCAGATTAAATTCTCTTTGCAGGAATACAAATAAAATGTCAAATGAATCAAAATCTCAAATTTGATCTTCAATGTTTCTAATCATGGCACTGATTAGAGTGGCAGAGGTGGCACACATTGAATGATTGATCTGACTGAAAGGAAGGTAGTTATATACTCATCAGGGTACTGGACTGGACATATAGACTTAACTTGCTGCGCACCCCAGTATTTCCTGTTTTTCCCCACTTTGTGCCACCGCTGCCAAAATTAGTGGGGTCTTTGTGGGGGGAGCCTAGATTAGGTTCCCAGTGTCTAGGCTCATTGCTCAGAGTCCTGTATAGTTTGCTTATTTTAGTTGTGCAGATGAGCAGTTAATTTTTGCTACTGTGGAATAACACTCCCATCTAATATCTCCACAAGTCAGGATAACTTCTTTGCTGTTCTGTGAAATCTCTAACCTTGTATGTTTGTCCTCAGTATGCTAAGGCTTCAGAAGAGGCTGGCCTCCAGCGTCCTGCGCTGTGGCAAGAAGAAAGTCTGGTTGGATCCCAACGAGACCAATGAAATTGCAAATGCCAACTCTCGTAAGTGAACATTTGCCATGTCACAGAAGCATATGAGTATGTACAGCTTGCTTACATTGTTGGTACTTGTAGCAGATGCTAGTTTTTGCTGATAGGGTGGAACCTCGGTTTCCAAATGCCTCCGTTCTTATACGTTTTGGTTCTCAAACTGAAAACCCAGAAGTAAATGCTTCCATTTTTCAACGTTTTTCATAACCTGAATGTGTGATGCAGCTTTGGCTGAGTGCAAGAAGCTCTTGCAACCAATGGGAAGCTGTGCCTCGGTTTTCAAATATTTCAGAAGCCGAACGGGCTTCTGGAATGGATTTCATTCAAGAACCAAGGTACCACTGTAATCGGTTTTGTTTAAAACCATAGCAAACATCTGTTCATAGTGCAAGTCACTAGCTTAGTAGCAATTTCTTACTCTGTTACATAGACTTTCCTTAGCTTACCTGTCTTTAGTTAATTCAACAGACCAGAAAATAGACAGTCTGTGAATCAGGTGGATTTTAACTTGGAAACAGAAATGTAGACATTGGCATAAACATAGTTTTGCTTACTTATGTGAAAATAGATTTGCAGGTTCTCCTTGGTGATATTAGTTATTCTTTCTGATTATTGTTTTCTCTTGTCTTCTAGGTCAACAGATCAGGAAACTGATCAAAGATGGCCTGATAATCCGCAAGCCAGTTACCGTTCACTCACGAGCACGGTGCCGGAAAAACACTTTGGCTCGCCGCAAGGGCAGGCACATGGGCATTGGTAAGAGCTGGTTTCCATCAATTTTGAGAATCTCCAATTTAGAGGCAGTTTAGTTTAGGCAGATCTAATGAAACAAAGCATCAGATATCTTTAATTCTACACTTAGGAGGCTTTTGCAGAAATGCAAACATTTTTGTACTCTTAGCACAGATCACTGAATCATTCTGCCTAACATTTTCCTTTGCTTTCCAGGTAAGAGAAAAGGTACAGCCAATGCACGTATGCCTGAGAAGGTTACTTGGATGAGAAGGATGAGGATTTTGAGACGTCTGCTTCGCAGATACAGGGAATCCAAGAAGATTGATCGCCATATGTAAGTCTGGCAAACAAATACATTTGTCAGTTTTGTCACCTGAAGCATCTCTGGCTTTTTCTGCCTGTAATGTGGCGAACTTTTTATATGCGTCTATTCCAGTGGTGAGAGCCAAATTATGCTAGTTTATGGAAGGCTTACTGAATAGTGTGCTAGGTTTCAGACTTCATTTAAATTGGATTTAAGGATTATGGAGCCCACATACTTGATGACAAGGCAAAGCCACTTACAGTATGTCTAGGGGACATTGCTTTCTTTTAAGGTGTTAATATTTATTCAGAGCTATGGAGTGGCATACTCAGCCCTTGCTGTTTCTCCCATCTTTTCCAGGTACCACAGCTTGTACTTGAAGGTGAAAGGTAACGTGTTCAAAAACAAGCGGATCCTGATGGAGCACATCCACAAGCTGAAGGCAGACAAGGCTCGCAAGAAGCTTCTGGCGTAAGTGTTTTCTCATTTTGCTACTGGACACTTGCTTCCTTTGAGTAAAGTCATTTCCCTCCTTTGCTCTCCTCCCTGAATAAAGTCCTGTTCTTGGCATAGCAGTACTAAAATTCTTAAGGTAGCAATAAAAAGGTGTTGCGGGCTGAAGAATGAGAGGTGTAGCACAAACTCCACAAGTAATCAACTTACAGTGGTGAGTCATCTGAGGTATTTGCTCTCTTTACTCTTCTGTTACTTGCCATAAGGCTTCCGTAGAAGGGCTTCCCTCATTTTGATTGTTTGCCTGGCTCCATCACTGAGTTCGGAAGTGATGTTTCATTGTTCCCTCCCAAGTTAATTCGCTTATTGGCTTTTTAGTGTAAGTTGGCAGCAATGACAAAGTACTCTCTATGGGGAAATGTTTGGTTAGTAGACAGGATAAAAATGCTCCAAAAATAAATTTAAAATACCACAAAGTTATGAAGGTAGCTTGCACTCTATATTAAAAACAATGAAATAGACAACAGTAGTTGTTAGGGAGGGGACAAAAGTTCTCTTCAGATGTTCCAGCTGTCAGACTGCAGACAGATCTGAAAACTGGATTCATATACATACTTGGTGAATTTGGTGACAGTAATGAAGTGAATCTGTTGATGCTGTGCTTTTCACGGGCCTTCCTTTGCTTTTCAGTGACCAGGCTGAAGCCCGTAGGTCCAAGACCAAGGAGGCCCGTAAGCGCCGTGAAGAACGCCTGCAAGCCAAGAAGGAAGAGATCATCAAGACCCTGTCCAAGGAGGAAGAAACCAAGAAATAACTTCTGCCTTTTCTGTGTACATAGTGCTCAAAGGGTATCTAATAAATCTCTTAACAACACATCTGTGTCTAGTAGCTTTTCCTAGATAAGTGGGGGGGGGTGATCTTAGAATAAATGCCCATGGGGGGGGTAACATGGCAGCTTGGCCTAAATCTTGATCCACAAAGCTTGTACAATTACTCAAGGTGGGTTGGTTGAAACATTTCTGTAAGTTGGTTTCTAATTTTCTGTTTCATGTTTCCCGAACAAGTGTGTGCATGCTCATCATTTCCTAACAATTAAGCCTTGTTGGTTTCAAACTAGAGGCTTTACTCTAGTCATGCAGTTTGTGTGACTTATGCGCTACATAATTTATATCTGCTTTAGAGGAGAGTAGTTATAGTTTCAGATGATTTCCTATACATTTGTTGGGACACTAAAGCCCTATTTGGACATTCAACCCAGTTCTAGTCATCTGAGAAGTCATATGTGCTGGCCTTGCTCCCTCACTTCCACCACCCTCCATGAGTTAGGTAAGGTATGTATAGGGAGACTGCTGTAGGTGTATGAGCTCCCTATATGATTTAGAACCAGGATGACCAGAGTGGTGGAGAGAACCAAGCCTGTTCCTGAGTGCTCCACACAGCAAGAATTGAATGCCTGAATAGGGTCTTCAGCAAGCTTACCTGATTTGAAGGTGGAAGTACTCAAAACTTGAAAGGAAGCAAGGATGGATCTTTATTGGGCATAACAGCCTCTCTAGGAGGCCAAAGATTCAGTTTTAAGGATAAACTTGGTACAACATTCAGTTATTTAAAAAACTGATATCTGATCTTTATTTTATATTTTAAAAATCATTGATCTACACTACATGTGCTTTGTGGTGACGTTACTGTTAGCTGATATAATAGATCACTTCTGCAACATGCAGCATTGATTTTATGTTTCTGGTTGCCTGACTTGCAGAAGCTGACACTGGGATATTTCATAGCCCTGTTGGTACTTACACATTTAGAAATCGCAGGCATTGTATTGAATTGGGCCATCAGGGCTCCAATAAAGGGCAGTTTTTACTTTGAACTGATGCTTTCAGCATTTGAGATTCAGAGAAGCTAAAATAATGAAGTATCTACTAATCCTTCCTTTTTCAGCTTTCTACCTTCAGAGAACCCTTTGCTCTTTGGCTTCTCTTGCAAGGAGCCCCTGCTATGCATACTCCACATATTCTACAATAAATACTCTGTAATATTGTTAGACTTGTTGCCTTATATGAATTAAGTGGAGCTGAATCCAATCCCCTGCAGCTGTATATTAGAGGGAAAGAGCAGTGATAGCAGGCAAGTGTCTTTCATAGGAAAGAGTATGTCATCAGTCTCATTGAGAAATGTCGGCTAGGCTGCTCAGATACCCCAGAGTTCACAACACCACTTACAAACTTAACTGAAATGTGTAACAGAGCAACAGACAGGCAAGCTTAGCCCGTGATGCAGGAGGCTACTTTTTTATATAAAAAAAAACAGCTTTCAAATTCAGAAATATCCAGCTGGTGGACAAAACAGTTAAAACATACCATAAACAATTAAAGTGATACAAGTGGTAATATGAAACAGCTGCACATTTATGTTTGGAAAGGAAGCTTATTAATTAGTCTTTAAGCTATCATACAGTGTTTTTGAAGCACTGTGTGTTGAGATTTGTTTCTGTTACCGCTTGTTTCAGTCGGAAGAGAAGGGCTTGGGTTAACGCCATGCTTTATTTCCAGTTTCAATTTTTTAAAAAAGCAATTGAGAAACTTTTGGTAGAAAAACTTCTTACTGACGAACTGGCCAAGGGTTTACATTGCAAAATAAGACAATACTAGATTGGAATGTGCAGCTTCTGAAATGGCATTTAAAATGGGAATAAAACAGTTTGAAATGTACTATCAGTTTCTAAATCCCTGTTCACGTATGAAACTACCCTTAGGCTGAGAGATACTGACTATCCCAACTTTCCTGGCAGTGTTTGTGTGAGGTTAATGTGGGATACCACCCTGATGTCCTTGTAGGAAGGGTGGGATTGAGTTGTGATAATGAATGAAAGATAAATTGATGGAATATATGGTAGTGGCTCAGTCAAGGTATCTTTAGCCAGTAACTTTAGCCAGTTACTGCATGATGTGGCCTAGTGGTCAATGGGAAGGTGCTGTATCAGTTTCTGGCAGGGAAAGTGGGAAGTGTGAATCTGTTTATTTGGAACTTCTAAAACATCCATTGCACGTCTCTCTCTCCTCCCCCCCCCCCCCCGCATTAACAATTCTAGCACATGTTAACACAAAACAATGACCAGCAGGAATTTCAATAAGCCAAAGAATCCAATTAACTCAACTCAATTAGGTTGTGAATTTTAATTCCCAAGGATGACTTTCAAAATGTATGTTGTACAAGTTTTGCTTTAGGCTTGATTCTGACAATGACAGTTCAACCTTCACAGCCAAGGTTAATTTCACAAGCATCAAATGTGAAATCAAGGTTTGTTTGGGTCCAGAGGTATGCCACATTGAAAGGTAGCCCTTTGCCCATCAATTTTGGTTGACATTCAAACTGCTGGCCTTCCTCCCCCTCTGCTGCATGTATTACTTGAGGCAATCTGGGTACCTGTAATAACCAGAAACTAACATGATCCCATCTGCCAAGTGTTGTCTGTTAATTACCTAATTAATCCCAACATAGGATCAAGACAATTAACCCCTGGCATGAATGAGGGGGCAAAGGTGTATTCTGCATGACTAATGTGGGGAAGGAGGGCAGGTTTCTTGGCTACTAAGCTCAGAGAAGTGATATCTGTTGCGCACTCTGTAATTCAGAACAAGAAATGCTTTGCAAATCACATGCTTCTCTTTGCAACTGGCCTGTGAGGTAGCAGACCCTCCAAGTGTCCCTGTTTTCCAGGCACATTCCTGGATTTACTGAAGCCATCCTAGTTTCTGATTTGATCCCAGAATTTCCCGCTTTTCCTTAAAGGTAAAGGTAAAGGGACCCCTGACCATTAGGTCCAGTCGTGGCCGACTCTGGGGTTGCGGCGCTCATCTCGCTTTATTGGCTGAGGGAGATGGCGTACAGCTTCCGGGTCATGTGGCCAGAATGACTAAGCTGTTTCTGGCGAACCAGAGCAGCGCACGGAAACGCCGTTTACCTTCCCGCCGGAGCGGTACCTATTTATCTACTTGCACTTGTCGTGCTTTCGAACTGCTAGGTGGGCAGGAGCAGGGACCGATCAACGGGAGCTCACCCCGTCGCGGGGATTCGAACCGCCGACCTTCTCATCAGCAAGTCCTAGGCTCTGTTGTTTAACCCACAGTGCCACCCGCGTCCCTCCCGCTTTTCCTTAGGATGTCCCTATTTTCATCAGAAGATATGGAAGTATGCAACCTCTGAGCCAAGGAGATAAGTAACTATACAACCTTTAGAAGACATCTGAAGGCAGTCCTGTACAGGGACTTTAAAAAATAAGTTTTATTTTTAAAAATATACATAGGAAGCCTCCCAGAGTGGCTGGGGCAACCCAGTCAGATGGGTGGGGTATAAATAAAAAGATGATAGTGATGATGATGGAATAGGACATCCCTATTTTCATCGGAGAAAAGTTGGAGGGTTTGAGGTAGGCCACTATGATTTCCCTCTTTTCTGGGCAAAGAAACAGAAAATTAGAAATGTCAACTTTGCCTGAGCAGCATCTGCTGAACCCACAGTTGTGTGCCAGAGACAAAGGCTTGCTAATGCCAAAGGCAATCAACAACGTAATAGGCCTAACAGCTGAAGCAATGATTACAAAAAAACAACAACAACCTGTTAAAAGGGAATCCTTGTTAAACATCAGTGGATTTCCAGTAAGATAAATAATAGCTGATGGGGTTCCCTAGAACAGCTTTTCCCTGCCTGTGTATCACAGCCTGCAAGTAGGTCACGGGCTTTATATGTAAGCCCAACATAATTACTGCTTTTTAAGTGACACAATGAATACCTCTTTAACAACTTTTCATTTCGTTGGCATGTTACAATGCTGTGCTGACAGTTCTAACCGAACATCAGAAACTCTCGAGTCCTACATTTTAACACTTGGGAATTGCTCTCTGGTGGCAGATCTGGTGACAGTTGTTATAATTTCATTTATTTATATCCCTTGGGTGCTGCAAGCGGTGGTTATAAAATAGGCAAACCTGGCAGCTAAAATGTGTGAAAGAGAGAGCAGGCTGCTGAAGAGCTAAGATCCGAAATCCATTTGACGATAAAACTGATGGGTCACAATTCCAGGTGATTTTGGACTTGTGGGTCACCCTACCAAAAAGGTTGGGAAGCACTGCTCTAAAAAACAGCTTGCCTGAAACTCATTATTGTCTCCTGCAATCTTGTGTGTGTGTCATGTTCCTGTAGAAGAATGGTGAGGCCTGACAAGAGTTGGTCAGTGTCCTCAGCAAATTGAAGCTTCGCTTGAAGTGACATCATCAGCCTGAATATGGGCTATGGACAACAGGTGATGGGCCTCAGAAGGCCAAAAGCCCCTTCATCCAAATGCATTCCTTGCACAAAGAACACTGGATATCAGGGAAAGCAAAAACTCTTCTCCGCAATACATAATTTTCTACGTGCAGCGGATGTTTTTGTAAGGAGGAGCATTCAGGCTTTGTGAGTCCCCTTCACCTGCACCTGCAAATCTCAGGCACTGGCTTTCTACTTCAGCGTTGGATATAGGATGCTGGTCTTCAGTCTGTGCTCTTAGATTCTTAAACTTTCAGGTTTGGAGCATAACTTTTTGCTTCTTCTTTACCCTATTGGTCTTGAATCTGGTGGTTTCTTATCCCTGACCGACCACCCCCGCCCCGGCCAAACCATGCTTTTCAGCATCTGCATAAAACTGCTGTGAGGTCACCTGAAGATTTGGAGCAAGGCATAACCAGAATTCTGATCACACAGAGCCTTCTTGGGGGTGGCACTCATTAATGGAAAGCGGCTCGCCTGGCACCTACATAGTTAACTTTTTGAGGCCCAAGGTTTTGATTTCTGGGCTTTAAAATGGGTGGAAAATGTTTATTTGGGGGTAATCTGTCGGGGCCCAGAGCCAAAAGTATGTGAGACACC